GTGGTATTGATTTGCATCGCTCTGCTAGCTATTGATACTAAACATTTTTTTCTTGTATTTTGGGCTTTTAGTGTTTTTGTTTTTGTTTTTGAGAGATATCTGTTCACATCCTTTGCCCAGTTCTTCACTGCTTTGGGCTTTTCTCTATTGAGCTTTTGAGTTCCTTGTATATTCTGGATGCTAGTCCTTTATCAGAAGACTACTTTGAGACATTTTCTCTATTCCTCAGTTATCTCTTTACTGTGCATACGCTTCTATGATGCAGTCTTGTTTCTCTTGCGTAAGTTTTGTTTGCTTTTGGGGTCTTTCCCCAGAATTGTTTGTTTTGTCCATGCCTTGAAGTGTTTTTCTTTTTTTCTTATAGTAGCTTCGTGGTTTCATCTCTAAGGTTCTTTACACAAAACTGGACATTCTTTGATTTTCTCTCATTGCTTCTTTAGCTTCTAAGGACAAGGTGTTCTATTTTGTCAGATATTCAGAAGTGAAGGCAGAGCTGCAGGTCATCTAATGGTAACCAACAATGAGGTCAATAGCAGGTAGCAAGACTATGGAATCCCTGCTCAGAACTTTACTGTTTTACAGTTTTATGGGAAGTGTGATGTATTTGCTAAGTAGCCACCTCGAATTAGACTGCTTATGCCCACTATTCAGTATTTTAACCTAAGACTTGGAGATAATACATTGCACTCCCCATTTGCACTCTTCCATGCACAAAATATGCATGTAGGAATCTTGACAAAGTCACCTAGCTGGTATTTCTGGATAGGTTAGCTTTGAAGAATATTGTTCTACCAAATAATAATCTTGTCTTTCAGACTACAGGTAGGTGAAGAGTTTGGGGCACAATGCTGATATCTCCTTTTTGAGTCCTTTTGTTTGAGAACTATAGATTTACTTTGCTTGATTCAGTGGTTGGCGGCAAGCATTCAGCAGTCCTTAGCGTTCTAACAAGCATGCAGGAAGGACGTGTTCTGAGTGCTTGCTCCAGCGTCACTGCTGAAGAGAACATTGCCCATACTTTCTTTCCCTCTTCCTTTTTTCTTTCCTCTTGCCTTCGTGCAGGCTCAGCCCTTTCTGTGAAAATCAGAACACCTGCCACAGGAATAGATTGCTAACTCTTTTTTCCCTTCCAACAAAGTAGAAGTGTGTGTGTGGAAAAAACAAGCTAAGATAACGCTTCATCCCTCCCCCACAACCTACAAGAACTCTATGTTCATTCCTCTCCTTTGTTTTTATTGAATAGGATCAGATAGAACTCAGGAAAGAGGCAAGAATCAAGCAGCCTGAGGAGGGCTGGGAGATGAGAAGGCAGGAATCAGAGGGACTATGACTTGTTTCTGCAGGTGGGGGTAATAGGAAGGACTCCCTAGCCAGTTGGTCGGGTTACTAGACCAAACAAACCCCAGATTTTGGAGTACTTTTGGAGTTTGCATGGCCAGTGGTTTGCAGTTGCATAATGTCACTTGACAATTAGGGAAAGAGTGGAATTCTGGCCAAGGAAAAGTGGACCTTGGAAACATTGACAATGCCCAGATTCTTCCCAGGATTGGGACCCATTCCCAAGCCAAAGATCTTTTCCCTCATACCTGCCTAGACCCTTGGTTGATTTTGACTTTCTCTTGGATTTGCCAAACCTCCAGAAACTCCTGCAAGGAGGTTTGCAGTCAAGGTGCTATGGGTGGGACTTCGAAGTGGTTCTGAATTCTAGAGTCCTGCAGGCTTATAGAGGGCTGTTTCTCAACTTTGTAGCAAAACCGGTTTTTAGTTGTTTGCTACTGACCTGTGGCCTGGTAAAGAATGACAAGGAACCTGTGATAATGCGTAGATCAGATGTAACTGCTGGGGAACTCTGGAAAATAGTAGAGGCACCTCCTGCATTTAAAGCTGAGGATTTCTTGTGCCTCTCTTCAGTCCCAGGCCCTAGTGACAAGACAGCTGGCAAGCATCACTTGCAGAGATGAGTCTGTCACCCAGACAGAAGGAGTATGTGTGGAAAGAGCCAGGGTTCAGATCCTCACTGCTTCTAGAGGTATTCCCTAGGGCATGTTTTTCCATCCCTCTGAGCTGTTCAGTGGGAATAATGATAGGCTTTCCTTTATGGAAATGTGGGCAGGAATAGAGAATCATAGTGTAAAGCACTTGGCACATGGTAGTAATTAGTACTAATTGTTTCCTCTTTCCTACAACTTCTTCAAGTAGAATTTGCTTTATTGCTACGATATTGACTAGTAACCTAGTTTCTAAGTGGAGAGGAGAGGGAGGTAAGAGTGTCAGTACAGAAGCCAGTAAAAAAAGTAAATTTGAGTTTATTTCAACTTGAGAGGCAGACACACACATCTTTTTTAAAATTTAATTTAAGTTTTGATGTTGTTTATGTAGTTGACAAGAATGTAGGCCCATGAGGACCATCGAATGAGGAGGGAGAGTTGAGGTATGGGGTAAGGTGCGTTAAGCAAATGCTTATAATTTTCCTTTTCCTCTCTCTTCTCCTGTATTGGGGAGAGGAGAACACTCCCAGCTACCAAACTACATCAGTACCTGGGGATGGGGAATGTCCCTTTGATATATTGGAAAACCTGATACAGAGAGGAATGTCTGAGGGTATTGCTTTAACACAGAGATCTTTCATCTCATTCACTCTTCAGTTGGTTTGCAACAAGCAAGGTTGGAACAGGCTGAAGCCAGGAGTATGGAATTCAGTCCAAGTCTCCTATGTGAGAGGCCGAGATCCACATTCTTGAACCATCACCAGTGCCTCCCAGAGTGCGCATGAGCAGGAAGCTGGAATCAAAAATGGAGCCAGGACTCAAAACCAGGCTCCCTTAGAGGATATGGGTGTTCCAAGTGACATCCTAACCACTAAAGCACACATCCTATACAAGCTGCAGGAGCCGCAGATGGGCAACATCCATAGCCTCTGTGGGCTACTCTTCCATTGATCATTTTTCCAGTTGGGCAGAACAGTAGTTTTGCTGTGTTGCAATTGCTTCTGTTTGGAGTTAAGATTTAAGTCTGAGGGCTGGCATTGTGGTATTGTGAATTAACCCATGACCAGTAGTGCTGGCATCCCATATAGGGACTGATTCAAGCTCCTGCTGCTCTACTTCCAATCCAGTTCCTTGCTAATGCTCCTGGAAAAGTAGTGGAGGATGGCCCCAAATGGCCCCTGAACCCACATATGAGACCTGAAAGAAGCTCCTGGCTTCAGCCTGGCTCAACTCTGGCTGTTGTGGCAATTTTAGGAGTGAATCAGTGGATGAAAGACCTGTCTCTCTATAACTCAGCCTTTCAAAATAAATCTTATATATATAATATATATATATTTTACAATCTTTACATAGTTAATTAAGGTAAAAAGGGTCAAGGGCTACAGGAAAGTGGGTAAGACTATTGTTTTTTCTAAATTGTTTCTTTCATGTTTAAAGGGGGATATTAACGGAGAAAGTCCACCCAATTTTGCACCTTCCCCAGGTCCTGGATGTAGGGCATGCTCTGAGGTTCTTGCTCAAGTGGTTTTGATATTTCAACAGTTATGAATCGCTGCCAATCTTCCCACTCCAAGCACTATGAGGTCCTTGAGGATTCCACTGATAGCCGTAGTCCATCATAAAGTCTGTTTGCCCTGTATTTCGCTGCCAAGATATAGCTGAGATGGTTGGTTGACTTGTTCTGTCTTCTCTCTTTTCTTGGTTAGGGTTCTGAGTCCAGCATTTTGATTGGGGAGATCTCCAATGAAACTTTGTCTGAGGTGTTCTTGGACCTGATTCTTGTATGTGCTAGCAAGTACAGGGTCCGGCACAGTCCATCACCCCATCAGCTGGTGGTTGCAATTGCTGGGTTGGTTTTCACTCCCGACTTCCACTGGAACCTATGGTTGTTGCAGTCCAGCCTGGTGCTGCCCAGCACATACTTGGCCCTTGCATAAACCAGTGGGAGCTGCAGCCAATAAAATAAATCTTAAAAAAAAAATTAGTGAAGCCTGGGTTGTGGCATGGGTGACAAATCATAGGGATAGTAGCACTGTCACCTATTTAAATCTGTCTTCCAGTCTGTGGAATTAGTCAAGTTGTCTAGCTCCTGTTCCAAAATGTTCCTTTGTTGTTTCCTGGATCTTTTGTGCTGCCTCCTTGCCTCCTGATTTAGTACGTGTCCCTTACCTGGCATTGCAAAGTGCCCAGTTATGATTCTCAACTGAACATGTGCTAGAATCAACTTGGAGATTAAAGATGGTGATTTTTGACTCCTTTCCCAACGATTGTGATTCAGGAGATGAAGGGGTGAGAGGTGTTACTTAGGAACCCTTAGTTAGTTAGTTAGTTATTAACAAAATGACCAGGTAATTCTAAGATTCCTAGGGTATGTAGGTAGCTACAATATGTTCCTGTATCTCATAGTACTTTCTTTAGTTTCATCCAGTATCCCCAGAGAAAAAAGCCCATTGCCCAGGGTGGATCAGATGTCTTACCTCTCTCCTGCCAAATGGCAGCTGATACCAGTACCAGGAGAGATTCGGAAGGACAAGCAGTTCCTATGGTCAGGACTATTAACAATACTTCAGAGGTTGTTGTAACAGGAAATTCATCAGAAAATAGCTACAACCAAAGTTCAAGGTTTATATGGCTTCATTGTGTCATCTGCTGTGGACTCTTACCTCCTGCCAATCCACAAATCTAATTGGAAAGTCTGTTCCTATATTTAAGATGTACTGTGTGAGACAGCCTTCATTTATATTTTTCTTTCTGACCAGTAGAACAGTGTTGGGAAGTTATAGAAATAGAACAAAAGAAACTTAAAGTTTTATGCTGTCTTGAGAGTCCGTTGCTTGCTTTACAAGTGGCTTAGCCCAAATCATTGTTTCCTAAGAGTGTCATTCTTTTATTTGTGTAAATGTCTCCATCCCCCTATTTGTAGGAAGTGATTTCTTTAAGTGAATGTGTATCATAGTTGTTAAATGAGATTCAGTTTCCAAAGCAGAAATAAATGTCCCCTTTCTTTTTCAGAGACACGTGGCCATCAGTAATCATGAACAACCCATTCGCACACCTTGCTGAGCCATTAGATCCTGCACAGCCAGGAAAGAAATTCTTCAATTTGAATAAATTAGAAGATTCAAGATATGGTAGGCACATGGCTTAATGAAGTTATTGCTTTAATAGCAGTTAGAAACTGCTAACAATTTGCCTAACAATCCATTTTTATAAGTGTTGAAATATGGAGTAGTAGAGAAAATGGATGGATATTCTTGGATTAAGCACAAAACTCACATATGCCTTTCTTGTACTGATCATTTTTAAGTAGGTAATAATTATCTATAAAATTGTAGTTTCTGTGACACTACATGATAAATAGTGTGTATATATGGGTAATATTTTATCTGAATAGCAGCTCTGCAGAGTCATGTTTATAAACTAAAAGAAATTCTGAGGAACCTGGGGCCCAAAGAGTGAAACAGACCTGCTCAGTAGCAAGTGTATGGGTAGTAGCAGAGGACAAGTACAAAGGTCTTTTTTCCCAGATCCTGTGTTTTTTCCTACCTATGCATTGTTTTCTTCTAGCTTGCATTTTCCATGTTGATCAGTAATTTTCTTTTAAAAAAAAAAAGTGTTTTTTTTTTTTTTTAAACTGGAAAGTCACATAAACAGAAGTGAAGGAGGTAACAGAAAGATCTTCTGTCCATGGTTCACTCCCCATGTGGCTGCAACAGATGGAACTAAGCCAATCCAAAGCTAAGAGCCAGAGCTTCTTCTGGGCCTCCCAAGCAGGTTCAGGGTCCCAAAGCTTTGGGCCATCCTCTGCTGCTTTCCCAGACCACCAGCAGGGAGCTGGACCAGCACCCATGTGGGATCCCGGCAAATACAAGGCAAAGATTTAGTCACTAGGCCATTGTGCCCGACCCCGAACAGTAAATTTCATGTGTCAAAGTAGAACCTTTATTTTGATGAATAAATTAATTTACTATTTTTTTAAAATTAGATTTATTTAATTCCAGTTTCTATTGACCATGGTTCACAGTGTTTTAGACATGTATTTCCTTTGAAAGATGGACGTGCTTTGGTCTTTGGTCTTAATTACAATAATTACAAAAAGATCACTTATTTTTTTAGTAAAAGCTTTCACAAGAAATATTCTCCATGTGTGTAAATATATTTTGTTGATATCCAAAGCAAAGCAGCCAATTTAATATGAGAGAGTAAGCTGATCTGTAGTATTATTCACTCTGTGGGCAATTCCTACTGATACCTATTTGCTAAACTTCTTCCATATTCACGTACTTTATTAACTGTTGGTCACTATGTGTGAATGGTCTGATGTCTTGTATCAAGTTTATCTAGAAATTGGCTTTAATGGAGCTCTGATGGTTTTGTTTGTTCTCTGTTATTCACAGGACGCTTACCATTTTCAATCAGAGTTCTGCTGGAGGCAGCTGTGCGAAACTGTGACAAGTTTTTGGTTAAAAAAGAAGACATTGAAAATATCTTAAACTGGAATGTCATGCAGCATAAGAACATAGAAGTGCCATTTAAACCCGCCCGCGTCATCCTACAGGACTTTACGTGAGCCTGAATCACTTTCCTCTCCTCTACCTCCCGTGTCAGCCTTTCAAGAAATGAACCAAAAAAGAGGGGAAAAAAAAACTTAGAGTGACTGTGTGGTTTATTACCCACACATCCAGACATCTTTGAAGACAAAAGAGAGCTTTTGACTCCCTAGTAGGAAGAGTAAAAGGGGGTTTTCTTAGGGATGCTAGGTTGTGGAGTTACCCCACTTGGTCATAAAGATTCTAGTGTTTGTGAATGGGAAAGGCATGGCAACACATGTTTCTGTGTGTTGTTTTTTTAGATTTCTTCTGTTTGGAACATGGTTGTCATTAAATTTAATACAGTGATAAAGCCATGTAGAGATAACACTGAGTCATAGTATTTATTCCCTATATGTTTTCTTTTCAACGAGACAGTTAAAAGTTTTCTGTTTTCTAGTTCACCTTTTATTAACCTCCTCTGAGATAGTCTGTTGCCCATGTTATCAAATCTGAAATAGTATACATGTGTAAGACTTATTTTTTGCTTGCTTCTCTTTTCTTAGGGGTGTACCAGCTGTGGTTGACTTTGCTGCAATGCGTGATGCTGTGAAAAAATTAGGGGGAGATCCAGAGAAAATAAACCCTATCTGTCCTGTTGATCTTGTAATTGATCACTCCATCCAGGTTGATTTCAACAGAAGGTGAGAGATTAAAAATGAAGGCTTGGATATTCTGTTTCATGCAAAGTTTTAGATCACAGGTCTTCTTTTATAGCTATATAAAAGAAAATTTTAAAAATATTTTTAGGAACATTCAATATGTTTCCCAGTGACAGTTTTTCAGGGGAAGGATATTTAAAATGCATGTTTTCTTGGGTGAGAGCAGCCTGCCCTTGAATACAGCTCGTGAAAACACTCATGTGAAGTTCTGCCATAACAGTTGTATGTGTTTTTCTTTCAAAGGATTTGGGTTTTGTTTTTTCATCCATTGGAGCTGTATTCCTTCTTCAGTCCGAAACATTTGTTCCATATCTGGCTGTCGGTAACTCTGATCTTGTTTCTGTGCCTACTGCTTTTATCCTCTGATGTTCTTCCTCCTTCTTTTGTTTGAAATATCCTCTCCTCTCTTCTTAAAACACATGCCTTTCTTTCAAAGCCGGTTTAAATTCTCTTCTATTAGAAATGTTGCAGCCTGTATCAAGCTCCCTATTATTCAACTTGCTAGAAGACTTAGTGTCTGTAATTGGGTAATCCTCAAAGGAAGTTCCTCCTTTTGTTGACTTGGTAAGGAGAATGTCAGCTCCCAGAACACAGGAGTTCAGTGTAGGGCCTGGCTTGATGGGTTAATCTTTACCTTCCAAATGCTGGGATCCCATATGGGTGCTGATTCATATCCTGGTGGCCCGCTTCTCATCCAGCTCCCTGCCTGTAGCCTGGAAAAGCAGTAGAGAGTGGCCCAAGGCCTTGGGACCTTGCACCCGTGTGGGAGACCAGGAAGAAAATCCTGCCTTTGGAGCAGCTTAACTCTGGCTGTGGTGACTCTTTGGGAAATAGTCTGTTTTCTCCATAAATCTGGTCAGCCTTCCCAATTAAAAAAAAGTTAAGTGTATAATAGGAAGTTCTGATGCTAAGCCAGGTGTTTTTGAAATTAACATTGGGTTAAATGAAAATATTGGTAGCTAGATTAAAGTGGTTGTCATACTTGTGGAAAATGAAAAAAAAAAACTAAATCTTTGAAAATATGTTAAAATAATAAAAGAAAAAAATCCCTCATTTGGAGAAAGATTTGGGAAACAAAATACAAGAGGGGCACAGAACTCCCAATAGGGTTGACCAAAAATGATCTTAACCACAACACCTGATAATCAAGCTCTCTTCAGTTGAACAAAGGCAAAAGATTCTTAAATATACATGTGGAAAAAAATTCGATTAACATTATAGAGAAACCTCAATCAGATTCACTGTTGACCTCTCAGAGGAATTCTACAAGCCCAAAGAGAATAGAGAAGCATAGCCCAGATTCTAAAAGGAAAAAATTCGTCAGCCCAGAATAGTTACCCTGCAAAGCATTCCTTTGTCTTTGAAAATGAAAATTCTTCCACAGTGAAGAAAAGCTCAATGAAATTTGCCTCTTCCAGACTTGCCCTACAAATGATAAAGATGTTCTCTTGACAGAGAGAATAACACCCACCAAAACCAAAGACAAATATGGAGAATGTCCCAATAAAAAACAACAAAAGACAACTAAGCTAACAGTGAACAACTCATTGCTAAAATGACAGGATCAGACTATCCATGTTAACCCTGAGTGATGGCTTAAATTCATCAAATCAATTGTCATAGGTTAGTAGAGTAGAACAAAAAATAAGACCCATCTGTTGCCTACATGAGAAACATCCCACCAATAAAGCATTGCAGAAACTAAAAGTGCAAGGTTGGAAAGTGATATTCCAGGAAAAACAAGCTGGTGTAGGCATTCTTAAATAATATAGACTTTAGCGCTAAGGATCGATTAAGCAAGAAGAGATCACCTTGCTAGTTTCTTAGGATGTTTTCTTTTTCATCTCTGATTTTGCTTCGTTTTTCTTTCTTGCTTTTCTTTGCTAGTCTGGCTAAAAATAGGTTTTGCTCTTCTTAAAAAAATGGCTTGGGCCCAGCTCAATTGCCTAGTGGCTAAAAGTCCTTGCCTTGCATGAGCCAGAATCCCATGTGGGTGCCAGTTCTTGTCCTGGCTGCTCCACTTCCCATCTAGCTTGCTGCCTGTGACCTGTGATGGCAGTCAAGGATAGCCCAAAACTTTGGGACCCTGCACCCACCTGGGAGACCTGGAAGATACTCCAGGCTTCAGATTGGCTTAGCTCCAGCCATTGTGGCCACTTAGGAGTGAACCAGCAGACAGAATTTCTGTCTACTCTGTATAATTGACTTTCCAATAATAAATAGATAAAACCTTTTAAAAAGTTTAATTTAAAATGGCTCTTATTGCAATTTGTAGTCTTTCAATTTTAATTCCATTTATTTTTGCTTTGGGTTTAGTCATTTCAATTTCTTTTGTAAGCACCTGATGTTTTAAATGACCCTCTCAATACTGTTTTTGCTACACCTCGTGGTTTTTATATTTTTGGTTTTTATTTTAATTTCTTCAAAAAATTTTTTTCTTATTCAGTGATACATATGTCATACAATAACATTTTCTTCAAGAAGGTTTTTGATTTTCATTTCTTTAGCTACACATCGTCATTCAGTAGCGTGTTACTTTGTTATAAATTTTCTGTTTTTCTTCCTGTTTTTGTTTTATGGTTTTCGTTTAAGAGGATGTATAGTAACTGTAACAGACTATCATATCCAGATGTACAGATACAATGCAGCATGCTTTTCTACTTCTAGATCAAAGATGGACACCCAATGAAACTGTAAAATATATCTTGACTCTGCCATTGCCCATACCTACATTGTCAGGTTACACTTAAATAGCAGAATGGTGGACTTATAACTGTTTATGAATGACTATACTATTGTCATAATTTAGGGGATATCAGTAGGGAGGAGGGGATTTGGGGTGAGGACATCCCAGAGCCTATAGAATTGTATTATAAATAATGTAAAAAGAAAAAAAAGTTTAAAAGGATTATGAAACAGAACATCCAAAGGGAATCAGAAACAATTTTGCTTTTTTGGGTATTTAAGTAGGTTCTGAATACCTTCAAAAGAGATTTAGAAACTTGTCATGTTCAAATCAGTATTAGGTGTTATAGTTGGTTAAGTTTGGGTTAATGAGAACTCTGCCTTCTCCTAAATTGATAATTCAATGAAACAGACTCAGGAGTCACCATTCCATCCCTTTGCTTTGAACTGTTAATTTACCTTTAGACATAGCTTTCGTATCTACCCCCTCCCCTTAAATCACATGTTATTCATTGATTCATTTGAAGGGCAGGCTGATAGGAGAAAAAGGGAGAAACAGATCATCCGTCCACGGGTTCACTCTCCAGGGCTGGAGTACATCAAAGCCTAGAGCCCAGAATTTGTGCCTGGGTCACTTGCATAGGTGGTAGGGTACAAATACTTGAGCCATCTTGTGCTGCCTTCTTAGTGTAACAGAAAGCTGCATCAGAAGCAGGACCAAAACTAGTGCTTAGAGATAAGACTCTCATGTGGCTTATTCCAGTTTATCACAGTGCCAGCCCTGAATGTTTTTATTTTAAATAAAAGAGTTGAAAACAAAACAAAAAGTGAAGTAAGAGTATGGGAGATTCCTGAAGTCCTACCTCAGAAGTTATTTAAGTCAGCTTCATGAATCATTGCTAAGTTCAGTTTCATCTTTCTGGGGGTTTCTCATTGATGTTGATGGATTATTGATCATTTCAGAGGCCTGGAAGGAGAAGTGGTAGGTAGAGACACAATTGTTGTTTTCATGTCTAAAATCTGCTAACTCCAGATTCAAGGAGCTCACAGCTGATAGCCTCTCTTGGTCATCACCAAGTTGACTGTGATTTTTTTTTTTTTTTTTTTACCCTTTAGACCTTATAATACTGAAAACACTATAAAGAAACAGCAAAATCAGGGTTGTACTTTGATCAGATAAACATAACTTTGGCAAAGATGCACAGATAAAGATTTGTCTATTCCAAGTGTTTCTGTTGGTGGTGGTTTGTTTTTATTTCTTGAATTTGCAATTTGACCTACTCTCTCCCTTTTTATAAGGAATTACATGTGACATTTGTGTTTAGGGCTTGTTTCCAGCTGTTTTCAGAAGTGAGCCTGAAAGCTGAGGAAGCGGTGTTGGGATCATAATTTCTCCCTTAAATATTTCTAAGCTTTTGCCTTATTTGAATATTAATTGACCTGAACTGTCTTTAGCAATTGGACATCTGACTAACACATTATTGTAATGTTTTACAAAATTACCATAGAAATTCCTTTTTAGAATATCTCAACAATTTTATAACATTTTGTACTAGAATTTATGTGTGTGAAAATTTTCTCTGTAAATGTTTGAGTTTTTGGAACAACATTCATTGAAATAATTCTCAGAAACTCGGAAGTACATCCAACTCTGAATTAAAATTATGTAAGTACAGAGAAATTTCCTTGTTAGTTTGTGAAGCCTTTCCCTTTCAGAGATCTTACTTAGAAGTGGACTAAATTAGACTGATTTTGGAAAGTTTTGAGTGACAAAAGGAATTATTAATTAACAATTTTTATTCATTCCAGTAACTAAAAGTAGCCAAGCTTGGCATATAGTAGATATGTTGTTTTCACAAGTAAGTATTTTCACCTGGAATTGCCATATTATAAAATAGCCTACGTACTTATGGCTTGTCTTAACCTGTGAGTGTGTTGGTACTACTGAACTCATGTCTCTTACATTTTCTGGGCCTATGTTCTCTTCCATCTTTGCTTCCACTGTGAGCAGCTCTGACATCTGCTTGGAGTTGCAGGGAGGACAAGCAATAGTGATCAGCTGACTGCAAGTGCTCAAAGGGTAACAGAAGAAAAGAGGCTACCAGGGTCGGGGGCCACATATGATTATAAATCTCAACTTTGCTGGTAGAAGTAATGCCTGGAGATGGCTTTTTTTCCCCCTAAGATTTATTTATTTTTATTGGAAAGACAAACCAGATTTCCAAAGAGAAAGGTCTTTCATCTGCTGGTTCACTCCCAAGTAGCTACAGGAGCCAGAAACAGGAACCAGGAGATTCTTCTGGTCTCCTATGTGGGTGCAGGGTCCCAAAGCTTTGGGCCTCTTCCACTGCCTTCTCAGGCCACAAACAGGGAGCTCAGTGGGAAGTGGAGCAACTGGGACACAAACTGGTGTTTACAAGGTGAGGATTTAGCCATTGAGCCATTGCCCTGGGCCAAAGAGATGCCTTTTTATTTTAATTTATTTAACAGACTTAAATAACCAGTACTTGTTCAAGAAACAGGTAGGTTTAGAAGAGGAAAGAGTACTGTGGCTCAGTTGTCTAATCCTCCACCTTGCAAAGGTCAAAATCCCATATGGTCACTAGTTGATGTCCTGGCCGCTCTACTTCCTAACCAGTTCCCTGCTCGTGGTCTGGGGAAGCAATGGAGGACGGCCCAAAGCCTTGGGACCCTGCAGCCACATGCGAGATCCAAAAGAAGCCCCTGGCTTCAGATCAGCTCAGATTGGGGAATGAACCAGGGAATGAAATCTTAGTCTCTCCTTCTCTGTAGATCTGTCTTTCCAATAAAAATAAATATGAAGAAAAAAATGAGATTAGTTAACATGATTTTTACACCGTTGGCTAAACATAGTCACTACAGACAGATATGCAGAGCATCTGGACTTGGGGAATCAGAGAATTCCCTGGAGACAGAGATGTGGCACAGGAGAGTAGTGCTGGAAAAGGCCTTCCAGTGTTGCTGGAAAAGAGAAGCATGTGCAGTGATATGTGCATGAAAGTCCTATGAAAGTGGGGATTGTGGCAGAGCAGGAGGGCTGAGTCTGAGAGCTTGGACTGGAGCATAGGTGAGGGTGATGAGGGAAATTTGAGTTCAGTTTGAAAGATTTGGTTTTTGAAGAAGAGGACTTTGATCCTGTTAGAAAATGGGAAGCCATCAGCAGATTCCAGCTGGTGCAGCATAATCTATTTTAGAAAACTGATTGTAGGGCCCGGCGCGGTGGCGCAAGTGGTTAAGGTCCTCGCCTTGCACGCCCGGGATCCCATATGGGCGCCGGTTCTATCCCCGGCAGCCCTGCTTCCCTTCCAGCTCCCTGCCTGTGGCCCAGGAAAGCAGTCTAGGACGGCTCAAAGCTTTGGGACCCTGTACCCGTGTGGGAGTCCCGGAAGAGGCTCCTGGCTTTGGATCGGCATAGCGTCTACTGTTGCGCTCATTTGGGGAGTGAATCATCGGACAGAAGATCTTCCTCTCTGTCTCTCCTCTCTGTATATCCTCCTTTCCAATAAAAAAATAATAAAAATAAATCTTTTTAAAAAATAATAAAAAAAAAAACTGATTGTAGCGATAGTGTGAAAACCATTTTGACTTGACAGAGAAAAATATCGAGATGCTACTTCAGGAATGAATGCCTAGATAGAGGTAGGTAATACATTCTAAGAGAGGTGGTTATTTGATGAGATCTGGGCAAAAAGGCAAGAGGAGCAGATTTTGTGAAAATGGGCACAGTTTGGCCCATTGACCATAAGGCCCCCAAGGCATTTTTGTACAAATGCCCAGGAGTTCACTGGTCTGATCTGAAAAGGCAGCGAGTCCAGAGGGCTGGAACCTTCCGGGTACCAGTGAGAAGGAATTGGAGAAGAGCACAGGTCTGTGGATCCAGGATCTGCACTGGGGTCTCCCCGTTCTGCTCTGCCAGAGTTCCCCCCTTTTACTTTTGCTCTTCTGTAACATGAACACATACTCTCTCAGGCAAAGACCAACAAACCCGCTGTAAAAGGAAATATAGGAAATGTCCTCAGTCTTACATACTTCTTTTCCCACCTCTAGCCTTTAGAAACTTAAAAATTGAGAGCTAAACATATTGAGGCATTGAGCCAAATTTGGCCCATGGGCTACAGTTTGTAGGCCCTGCCCTAAGACAGTCTCAAGCATTGATGCCATTGAAGCAATTGATACTTACCAATACTCCCACCAAGGCAAAAGAGAAAATTAGTTTGGTACCTGAGTCTTGTCCTTGTAAGGTGTGCAATAAGGGCTTCCAGTCCTTTTCCCCAGTTCTACTTCCCTGGCCGAAACCCTTCATCTTACATACTTCGTCAGTTCCCTGTCCTGGAAGGCAGTGTATGCCATGGAACCATGTACTTGCCCTTTCAAACATTGATAATTATGTTTTTATAATTACCTGGTTACTTCTCATATCAAACTCTTAGCTCCAGTGGGCAGGGACTGCGTGCCTTTTGTACTGTTGTACATCCATATCATAGGCTCTCAGTAGAAAATAAGTGACAGGAGAAAGATGGGTGAGGAAGTAGTGAAGGTAGAGACCCCAGAGCCAGTCACAGCTGGATTCAAGGGACAGTTCTGTAACTTATCAGTCATCTGACCTGGGACAAGGTATCTAGCCTTCTGTGCCCCTGTGGCTATTTCTGTGAGGATAACAGTGAAGGGTTTAATGGTGATTGAATGAGTTCACCTGTGGAAGCACTGAGCACTGTGACTTGAGTTTTCATTTTAGCAGTATTGTTCATGGCGGTTGTTAATACCACTACTGGTGCTGTGACTGCCATAGTCCCTGTCCCTATGACTATTCCTTCAGGGAGGCACTATCAGGACTAAGAATGCCAACTCTGGAATCAGACTTCCTGGGTTTCAATTCTGTTTAAGCCAATGTCTTCGCTGTGGTGTCTTAAGCAAGTTTCTTAATCTCTCTGATTTTCATTTCTCTCCTTTAACCTATGTGCATACTAATTGCACCTAATTGAAGAGGTGTAGCTAATTCAAGAGCAATAGCTATAGAGACTGGCATTGTGGCACAGAAGGTTAAGCCATTGCCTTTGATTCCAGCACCTTGTGTGAGTGCTGGTTTGAGTCTCAGCTACTCTACTTTTGATCTATCCCCCTGGTAATGAGCCTGGGAAAGATGGCCCAAGTGTTTGAGCCCCTACCATTCACGTGAGAGACGAGGGTGGAGTTCCAGACCCTTGTCTTTGGTTTGACCCAACTCTGGGATTTGTGGCCATTTGGGGAGTGAACCAGCAGATGAAAAGTCTGTTTTCCTCTCTATAAATCTGTTCTTCAATTAAATCAGGTAAAATCTTAGCAAAACATTAGCTTGGGTCTTTTTTTAAGATTTATTTTTATTGGAAAGTTAGATAAATAGAGAAGGAGAGACAGATAGGAAGATCTTCTGTCCGATGATTCATTCCCCAAGCAGCTGCAACAGCTGGAGCCAAGCCAATCTGAAACTAGGAGCCCAGAGCTGCTTCTAGGTCTCCCACTTGCAGGGTCGCAAGACTTTGGGCGTCCTCTGTTGCTTCCCAGGCCACAAGCAGGGAGCTGGATAGGAAGCGGGTTTCTGAGATCAAAACTGGTGCCCAGATGGGATCCCGGTGCTTTCAAAGCAAGAACTTCAGCCACTAGGCTACCGTGCCAGGCCCTCAGTTGCATCTTTTCATTTTCCTACAGTTCCTTAGTCCATGGTATACAAATTATAGGGATCTTCTCTATTGAACCAAAGTTGCAACTAACTATTTACCATGACTCTGACCTCTACAATTTGTAAAATCTAAAGTTTGACGCCCTGTATTGCTGGTGTCATTCCTGATTTACTGAATTACCCTGATTAAACCTCAGAACATTACTCAGGGTTTACAGATACTGGGCTCAGCACCAGCTTTCCTGTAAACCTCTGTCCAAGAGGCAGGAAATTGTGATTAGTAAAATGATACCTCCCGTTGTTGCTGGTTTGCTAGCTCCCAACATAAACTTGAAAATAGCAGTCCAGCAGATGGGACTCTGCCAGGGCAGGGTCATGGCAGGGCACAGATGAGAAGGGGCTGTGGAAGTAAGTGTTCCTTTATTGTTTAAGCTGCTGTTGTTGTGAATGCCTTGAGTCTGTTCCCATTAATAGATTGGGTTTAATTTGAATTCAGGCCATGTTTTCTGCCTGCCATGTTTGAAGGTATTGTAGGAGTCCCTTGTAATAGTAATACTGTATTTGTGCTGCTCCCTGCTGTACTGCTGGAGAATTCCCCATGCCATCCAGCAGGAACACTTTTTTAGTAATCACCAGTGAGTTTTACCCAGTAACATTTTAAGTCTTGGAATTTATGCTTTTTTTTTTTTTTAATCTCTGACAGGGCTGACAGTTTACAGAAGAATCAAGACCTAGAATTTGAAAGAAACAGAGAACGATTTGAATTTTTAAAGGTATAGGCAGAGTTCTGCTCCATCCTTTGGTTTTCTGTGTCTGTGAGATGAATGGATAAGGAGGAGAGGGCTGAAGACATGTCAGATGCTCACAGTGTTCTTTCCATTGTTCAATCTTAGTGGGGCTCCCAGGCTTTTCGAAACATGCGGATTATTCCTCCCGGCTCAGGAATCATCCATCAGGTGAACTTGGAGTACTTGGCAAGAGTGGTGTTTGATCAAGATGGGTATTACTACCCAGATAGCCTTGTGGGCACTGATTCTCATACCACCATGATCGACGGTTTGGGCGTTCTTGGTTGGGGTGAGTGTTCTTCCAATTCCATTCCATATATGCTTTCCTTAATTCATACTGATGCCTTTGAATCCTAATAAAATGAATTTACACAGCCACAAACTCAGGAGGAGATATTTTTGTTTTGTTCAGTGCTATGCCTTTCACCTACTAGGCACTTAATTATGTTTGCAGAAAGAACTGGAAAAGGGCCAAGGATGTTTTAGTATAAATGGAAATCACCTGAAGTGTTTATTAAAAATGGAAGCGCCATAGCTCTGCTGTTCATTGGGTGTGGCACTGAGGGACTTTGATAAAGCTCTTTGGGGAAAGCAAGTGATCTTTATATAAACATAACTGAACCAGTTAAGCCTTTTAACTAGATTTATTACTTGTTACTGACACTGAATCAATAGCTGAGGGCTCTAGTTGAGAAATAACAAAAGCCTTCTTCACCTTGCAGGTGTGGGAGGTATCGAAGCGGAAGCTGTCATGCTGGGTCAGCCAATCAGTATGGTGCTGCCACAGGTGATTGGCTACAAGCTGATGGGAAAGCCTGACCCTCTGGTGACATCCACTGACATCGTGCTCACCATTACCAAGGTAACAGTGGCCTCACAAAGTGACAAACAGAAGAGGAACACATGAAGGAGTCCTGTTTTTAGTTTCCAAGTACTCTGGAGGTCCTAGAAAATAGGATGTCATGATTCTAAGAGATGAAATCCAGAGAGTATTCTGTGGCTAAACTTAGAGAATTGTATTCATTTTACTCTTTTGGTGTCAAATGAATCTGTTTTTAAAATCTTAATAATTGTTCAATAGCTTAAATATGCAGAAATTAATATGCCTACCACCTGAATTCAGCAGTCAATAATACTTTTCCCTGTTTCAGAGTTCTCTCATTTTGAAGGAATTGTGTGTGATGTTCATGGTAAAATCACTTCCCCATTCCTGGAAATAGTCCCGAGGTTTTGCAGAATCATTCCTATACATGTTTATAATGTAGTTGCATTTTTTTCATGTGGCTTTTAAAGAATTTATTTATGTATTTGAAAGGCAGAGGCGAATGATAGCTAATCCGCTGATTTATTTCCCATAAGGCTGAAATGGCTAGGGCAGAGTCAGGGCTAAGCCATAGCCTAGAACTCCTGAGTTTCTCCCATAGGTGGCAGGGGTCCAAGCACCAAAGCCATCTTCTGCTGCTTTCCCAGACACATTAGTGGGGGAGCTGGATAGAAAGTGGATCCGCTGGGACTTGAACTAATGTTTGTATGGGATATGGGCTTTTCAGGATGGAGATTAACCTGTCACCACACTGTCCCCCATGTCATTGTTTATATGTTGGTTTGTTGGTTAGTTCTGTGAATAATTGTTGTGTTTAGGTTTCTCCCCTCATGGTGTCACATTATTATAACATGCTTTTCCAAAAAAAGCTGGAAAGTGTTCTATTACTTTTTCGTTTTTAAAGATCTATTTATTCACTAGAAAGGCAAAGTTAGAGGGAATGAGAAATATTCTTTCCATTTGTTTCATTCCTAGAGCCAGGAACTTCTGAGCTTCCCATGTGGATACAGGGGTCTAAGCACGTGCGCTATTCTCTGCTGCTTTCCCAGGCCCCTTAGCAGGCAGGTGGATTAGAAGTGGAGTAGCCAGGACTTGAATTGGTTCCTGTATGGGATGTCAGCAATGCTGGCAGCAGCTTAGATCACTATGCCACAGCACTGAACCCCACCTTAATGTTAACATAGCATAGTCCTGGAACAGTGATCAAGATCAAACTGAGAAGTTAGCATTGCATTGTATTCACTCAGACTTGACTGCTTTTTTCAGTATATCTCTTTTCTGTTCCAGAATAACATGTTGTATGTGAGAAACATAATTTTTTTGCCTTTAAAAAAATTAATCAAAAGCGTATTGGGCTAATTTGTTTATGAGTTTATAAGAATTGCGAGGTAGTAATTCTGCATCTTAAATCTGGACTCTCAGGCCCCAAACTTTTTCTTGTTTCCACTGCTTAGCACCTCCGCCAGGTTGGGGTCGTGGGTAAGTTTGTTGAGTTCTTTGGGCCAGGAGTAGCCCAGCTGTCCATTGCTGACCGAGCTACGATTGCCAACATGTGTCCGGAGTATGGAGCAACTGCCGCCTTCTTCCCAGTTGATGAAGTCAGCATTAAGTACCTGGTGCAGACAGGTAAGTGAAGGCCGTGCACATGGGGGCTCCACATTCAAATATCTGGAGCATTGCCTTTTGCTTCTAGCTCCTGGGATGCTTTGGGTAGATTTAGAGAAAAAAAAAAAAAGTTTTTCTATGTATACAGTCAATGGGTTGTTATAATTTAAGTAAGAGAAAATGTGGCCAATTGAAAGTTGACAGAAGCCTAGGTGTTTGTATGATTCTCCTACCACTCGTTTTTTGATGATAAACAGTGCTCTCAGTGATAGTAACTGCTGTCTATGAGTCCTTGGAGACTCCCAGATACGTGATTGTCCTTGGCTGTCATCCTGGTCATAGTTTGTGGAGGGAATTGGCTGATGAGTTAGCCACCTAATGGAAGAGAAAACTGAGAGTCAAGGAAGTGGTATTACCTGAGGCCAATAAACAGTGGAGGCCAGCTCCTAGCCTGCCAGCCAGGGAGCACTCGGACATGCCCAAGGCAGCAGGGCTATGCAAAAGGAGAAATGGGAGATTGCATGTGAAAGCATTTTTAAAACAGCAACAGTTTCTAATTTGTATATTTGTTTGGTAATTTAACTCATGTTTAGAAAGCTTTTTAATTTTTAATTGCTGGGTTTATTTTAAAATCATTAAATATTCTTTCAGAAATTCATTTAATGATTCAATATCTAGTGTTGGTCTCAGAGGTCCCACAGTGAGTAGGCTAAAAGCAGTTCTTGCCTTTTCTGAGCCTAATATTCTAGTGAGCAGGAAATGCAGTGAACAAGTCAACAAAAGCCTAAACAAGAAAGTTGGGCAGGGGGTTGAGTTAGCAAGAGTACTTTGACTGTGTTAGATGGTCAGCAAAGGATCTTGGCAGGTAAGGTTTGAAGTGAGGGCTGGAGACTCTTACCTCATTGGAGTCTTACTCTAAGTAAATCCACATCTCCCATAGCATGAGGAAGTTACTTTGGCAATAGTAAAAAAAAAGGGGGGGGGGATGAGAAAGCTCAGTTTAAAAAGGTTTTTGTTAATGTGTTCCAGTGTGATTATATTTAATATGTGCTCACTCCCCAAAGGATCTGAAAGAAAAATTGACTGCTAGTCAGACTCATGGTCCACCTAATGAAGTGTCACAGCCGTAAGGAGAGAGAATTGCATCTTAGAATCTTTCTGTCAGAAAATGAAATGCTCGTTTTGATAAGAATGACAGATGTGAGGGCTAGAATTGGAGCACTGTGTGTTAAGCTACCAGTTGCAAAGCGAACATCCTTTATCAAAGTGCCAAGTCAGATCCTGGATGTCCCACTTCTGATCCAGGTTTCTGCTAATGTACCTCAATAGATAGCAGAAAATGGCTCAACTGTTTGACTCTTGACTTGGACTTGTGCAAGCCCCATTGTTGTCATCACTTGGGGAGTGAAACAGCAGATGGAAGATCTCTGTCTCCCTCTCTCTGGCACTCGGCCTTTCAAATAAATAAATCCTTTAAAAAAATGATCTCCCAAATTAAAAGCAGCAGCAGGGGCCTCGTTCTACGGCATAGTGGACAATGAGGAAAGCTGCCGTCTGAAGCACTTATATACTGTATGGGCTCTTGTTTTAATCCCAGCTGCTCCAGTTCTGATTCAGCTCCTTGTTAATACACCTGAGAAATCACCATAGTGGCCCAACTTACCCTGCTGGATCCCTGCACCCACTTGGGAGACCTGAGAGAAGCTCCTGGCTTTGGACTGGCCTAGCTCCAGCCATTGAAGCCATTTGGGGAATGACCTAGCAGATAGAAGGTCTTAGTCTGTGTCTATCTTGCTCATTTTCTCTTTCTGTCTGTCTGTCTCTCTCCCTCTATTTCCTCTCTGTCTTTCTAACTCTGCTTTCCAAATAAATAACTTAAAAACAGCAGCAGCTTGAGTCAGGCTAGCCTGAAGTTAAAATATCTATGCAGCTGTTAGTGTGTGTGTCAGTCCAGTGCATATTACATGTACAGTTCATGATGGAAGTTTGAGTTTATAGTCTCTAACCAGAAAACACTAACATATGTTACTTATTACCCCTTAAAATGTTCTTTAGGTCGTGATGAAAGCAAAGTGAAGCATATTAGAAAGTATCTTCAGGCTGTGGGAATGTTCCGAGATTTCAGTGACCCCTCTCAAGACCCAGACTTCACCCAGGTATGAGAGTCCCTTCCTTGAATATCTGCATCCTCTTCCTCAAGGCTGTGGTTTCAGTTGTGTGTATCTTTTCATCAAAGTGCATGTGTAAGAAATCCATCACTTGAGCTGCAACTCCAAAGGTGAGCATGAGAACCAGAGTTGAGGGCAAGCTTGGCTAGACAGGTGATGGTACCTACCAGTATGAGTGTGGGCTGGATCGTGGGGTCAATTGGGTTGAATTAGGCTCCAGCGCCCCATTCATGTGTATAAGAGATGAATGGAATTTAGGATAGCCTGGACCAGTCTGCTGCACATACTAACATACACAGGAATCGGGGCAGGGGGTAGGCCTGATGGGGTTGTTGGGGGTCACTCTGACTAGGCTGTATTCCCACTGGTGTACGTGAGGGTGTAGTGTGTAGTGTGTAGTGGGCTGGTCTGGTCTGAGCTGCAGCATTCATTGATTAGCGTAAGAGATGGAGCTGGAGACAGATCTAACCCAACAAGTACAACTACTAGTGTGTGCATTGGCTGATGTGGGCAATAGATTGAACCAGACCAATAATGGCAAGCATACACAACAGTCAGGTTGGGGGTCAACCTCGGACTAGTTTTTTTGGGGGATCCCCCCAACTGAACCGCTGACTGTGGAGTGCATGTGTCAGAACTCGGCCTCCTCAGTGGCTAAGTTGGAGCATTGGATAGCAGTCCCAGATACGCGTGGAGGGTGTGGCAATCCACTGGGGCCTGCAGAGGAAGGAGGGCAGAACAAATTGAACAACTATCCCAATCAAGCATTGACAATGAATATCTGGGTAAATGGAGACTCTGGGATGGACTGTGTCAGTCAGTGGACCTTGGAAGGATTTCCTCATTCTTGGATTGGCAAAATTGACAGCATTCATAACTACTGAAACCGCTTGAGCAGAACCCTTGAAGCATGGGCCCTTGGGATGATATCAGGTGGCCATTCCCCATCCCCGGGTACTGAGGTGGTTGGGAGGCTGGGTGTGGCTTTTCCCCTTCTCTTCCTCTCTTCCTCCAGATACAGGAGGAAGAAAGGGAAAATTTGGAAACAGTGGTATTACACACTTCCCCCTAATCTTCAGTCTTTCACACCCGAATCAGCTATGCAAACATGATCAAAAATAGAAATAAATCAATAAAAAGAAACCCATCACTGTCTAGTCAGAACAGAGTGCTAAAAGACTGAGAAATCAAAAGAATGAGGCAATTGCAGACGTAATAATATAACATTTTGCACTCCTGTTTGCCTAACAGTCCTAAGTTGAGTGAGCTGCCCTTTTTTGAGCTACTGTTTCACAGCTCTTCTATGGAGACCATTGAACAACTCCAGGTAAAGGCACAAGAGCTATTTAAAAGCTAAGGCCATCATTATTGTAAACATGGAAAGAAGTGAAGATACAAGCATATCAATTGGTTCTGTGCATCTGATGGCTTATCTTTATTTTCCAGGGTGCAAACCCAATCCTTATTTTTTCATATGGGCAAGATCAGAGGGAAAACTGGATGTTGGACTCTTGTTTTTTTTCCACTTATATTGAGAAAAGGAACTGTTGTTGGACTTGGTCCATTTCCCAGCCCTGACAGTTTACTAGCTGAATCCCTCTCCAGTCACCTTAGTAGTATAATGGTTTATATACTTTTTCAGTAGAAAACCTATCTCGATGAGAACACATTATATACATTTACTGAAATACATATTGTACTCTATATATATGCAATTATTGTCAATCATATTGTATTTAAAGGTGTTGAAAGAGAGATGCTAACTCGCCTTGTTTGCTCTTCAGACATTGGATACATATATTGAGTTAACCCACTGTACCCCATACCTATGTGTAATTAAAATAATTTTAAAAGAAAAAGGGTCACAGCTTAATCTAGACAATGAAGAGTATAGGTGGTCCTGCTTTGCAAGGATTAATGAGCGGAAGGCTCTGGGCAGCAACACAGGTGCACCCGAACTATGTATGAGGCAGAATGGCTTCCAACCTGTACCACACTACTGTAGTGTCCATGTAGATCTTGGAAACCAGTGACCTAAATGTTGACATTAGCACTGGCCTGCTTGTATGAGAACTGGGTAGTTTTGTTTGCATGTTAGTGTTGTGTGATGCTTTAGATTCCCCAACATTGCCTTGTGTTTCTTCCTGATGGGACTGCAATGTGAATTCTGTAATTCCTTTGCCTTTTGGTGAACAGGTTGTGGAATTAGATTTGAAGATGGTAGTGCCTTGTTGCAGTGGACCCAAAAGGCCTCAGGACAAAGTTGCTGTGTCTGACATGAAAAAGGACTTTGAGAGCTGCCTTGGTGCCAAGGTAGGAGCTGAAAGAAGAGGTTGAAGCCCCTCCTGGCCGTGACCTGAGCCCAGTTACATAGAACTTGGACTTGTACCCTGTCAGTTAGGAATCATCCTGCAGCCTGGTACTAAGACTGTTTCCTCTACTGTGAAACCTTCTCTGACTATGCCCAGTAGCTATAAATCAGGCATCTTCTTTACAGCACTTGAGCATCTGTGAGCACAACTCATCTTTTAAAACGCATGCACTTTTCACAGGCTTCTGACCACATTGTTCTTGCCTAAGCTTTCAGGCAAATCTCCCTCTTCCTGCATGTCCTACTCTGCCAGTATGTTTGGCTGCCTCTCAGCCCCTCTGCAACATGGCCTTAATCTCAGCAGAAGGTCTTATTTCCTCACTTGAAACTTGATGGTACTAAGTTTAAGATACTTTGATGGTCTCCCATATTCTTTTCTTTTTAAAAATAATTTATTGCAATGATAGATTTACAAAGAGAAGAAAAGACAAAGATCTTCTGTCTGCTGTTTCACTCTGCTAGTGGCTGCAGCAGCCAGAGTTGAGCTGATTTGAAACCAGGAGCCTCTTCTGGGTCTCCCACACGAATGGCAGGGTCCCAAGGCTTTAGGCCGTCCTCGACTGCTTTCCCAGGCCATTAGCAGGGAGCTTGGTGGGAAACTGAGCAGCCGGGAAATGAACCAGTGTCCATATGGGATCCTGGTATTTGTAAGACAAAGATTCAGCAACTAGGCCATTGCACCAGGTCTGGCCTCCAATATTTAACTTACTTTGTTGCAATATTTTTTTAAAGACTTATTTATTTTTACAGGAAAGGCAGATTTACAGAGAGGCGAGACAGAAAGATTGTACATCTGATGGCTCACTCCCCAAATGGCCCTAACAGCCAGAGCTGATCTGATCTGATCTGAAAGAGCTTCTTTCTGGTGTTTTTGTGTGGGTGTAGGGTCCCAAAGCATTGGGTCATCCTCTGCTGCTTTCCCACATCATAAGCTGGGCGCTGGATCAGAAGTAGAGCAGCCAAGACATGAACCACCACCCATATGAGATACCAGCACTTGAAGGTGGAAGTCACAGTTGGTTTTATGGCACAGTAGATTGAGCCACCACTTGATGATACCTGCATCCCTTCCCCAAAGTGCTAGTTGGCCTGCTAATCTGCTTCTCATCCAGCTTCATGTTAATGTTCCTGGAAAGGCAGTGGAAGATGCCTCCACATAGGAGACCAGGATGAAGTTGATGACTTCTGTCTTCAGCTTGCTCCGGCCCTGGATGTTTTGGATATTTAAGAATTGAACCAGCAGATGGAAGAGCTTTTTCTGTCTCTGCTCTCTTTGCGTTACCCTGCCTTTAAAATAGATTATCTTAATTTTAAAAAGGTATTCTCTTCCTTTCTAAGTAAAGACTTTGATTATATATTTTTCTTCTTATAGCAATCTATGTATAAATTTTTCTTCATATATTTGCTTCTATATATGTTATCTCTACATATATACATGCTTTTGTTTTTTGTTTTTATAGCAAGGATTTAAAGGATTTCAGATTGCTCCAGACCGTCACAATGACCAGAAGACGTTTATCTATAATAATAGTGAATTCACCCTTTCTCATGGTTCTGTGGTAATTGCAGCCATTACTAGCTGCACAAACACCAGTAATCCATCTGTGATGTTAGGAGCAGGTAAGTGCCCTTTAGTTTATGGATGTGTGGGTGAACATCTCCCATGACATGACCATGGAACTTGACGGAGTGCAGCATGTTGTCCCCTGAGCCTTGTCTTCTAGATGTAGAGATTTGTTGACCTTGAAATACCTAACTAAAAGTAATGTCCAAACATATGGTAATCTTTCTCTTTAGAATAAACACATTTATCAGAGGAAGCTAAATTCTTGGAAAGCATAGAATCTTGTTTCAACTTAGGGGTGAAAGGAAAAACAAAACAAAAAACAGTTTTTTAGATGTTCTCTGAGACACCTCTGGCTAGTGCAATTTAGTTCTGTCTCAGTGCTTTGGAAAGTGTGACTGAGTCACAGGGCACAGGGTACAGAGGGTGCTAGTTGATAAAACCCAGTGCACCTGCCCTGTTGCGCCATTCTAGCTGAGTAGTTAATATTTACAAGCAGGGTTTCACTAGTACAAGGTCTCCTTTGTATCTAAGTTTCTAATCATCCCCAAGTGTTCTCCTTGTATCTACAGACCAAAAGCCATCAGTAATTCTTTGATTATGGGTCTAAGAAAAACACTTCTCTGCCAAAGAGTTCATCTGTTTCTACCTATACTTTCCTTGTCTGGAGTAAGCTACTTTGAAGATAACTTGCTTGTCCCCAGCTTGTCCCTTTAGGCCCCCACCCCACTCCTCACTTTCTTCTCCACTTCTGTGATACCTCAGAGCACTGTATTGCAGTAACAGTATGTATTTGCCCGAAGGCTCAGGAATCCTTGACCTTCCACTTCAAGAAATGCCTATGGTTTATATTCTCACATCTGGGCTGCCTGTGCATCTCACCAGCTAATATAGTAGATGCTTTCAGGAGGGAACGCTCCAATCACATTTTTTACCCAAATCAAATGTAGTCAAAATGATCATTCCCTCTAAAAAGGCAAGCCTCATTCTATCATATATTCCTGAATGATCTTAACAAAGATGCACATACCTGTTCCTTTCCATAGCTTCCTGTGAGTTTATTGCTTGCCAGTAAATGACACTAGGCTCATGGACTTTTACTTTCTATTCAGAAGCAGGGGTGACACAGGGTGCCTACCTGAAGTCAGTTTTGTTCAGGGGTGACAGAGAAGACACCAATTTCTTCCTTGAAGTATCTCTAGCACCTAGATTGGATGACCATCCAAACTAGATCTGTGTTTACCATTTCACAGGTCTGTTAGCAAAGAAAGCTGTGGAAGCTGGCTTGAATGTGAAGCCTTATGTGAAAACCAGCCTGTCCCCTGGAAGTGGCGTGGTCACCTACTACCTGCGGGAGAGTGGAGTCATGCCTTACTTATCTCAGCTGGGGTGAGGGATGGTGTGATTTACCCTGATGCTGTTGTTTTTTATTCCTCATGGGTATTGCTCTGCCACTTTATATATATAAAAAAAAGAGAGCTTATTTGGTGAGATTTAATTGCCTACCTAGTCTTTTATCAGGAGCCAGGGACATTCTTAAACCCTTACATTCCATCTGAGTGTGGCAGGTTGTTCATCCGACAAGGATTGCCCTCCAAGAGCAGGACAGGCTGAAATCGGGGCTGTGCTCGGTTTGCCAGGCTATTACTTAGATGCAGTACTGAATCCTTGGAGTACTGAATCCTAAATCCTTGATGCACTTGGAGTTGCATCATATGCACTGAAGACCAGCAGAGGCTCTGCAGCTGAGAGGCTACCTTTTAGTGTGAAAATAATTACTTACCATGGCTGAAAACGTTCTGATTCCTTGAGGCAAATTTATTATTTGTTGCTAAATACTGTGTTTCCTTCCATGTGATTCTTCATTTAGGTGACATGTATTTCCATCATGTGCATCCTAAAATTTGAAGTCACTGGAAATATTTGCTTATCTGAGTACAAAAAATAGTAGTGAATGGAGATATTAAATTATGATGCCTTTGATTTCAACTGAAAAATTCATAATCGTGGAATTCAACTTGTTAATATACATTATGAATAACATTTATAAATAATGCTATAGCAAAATGCTCTCAAGAACAAAAGCTTTATAGAAATAGCGCTGCAGAAAACTTACTTTGTGCATCAATGTCTCATTTTGTACTGTGGCCTCCAGGAATTGTTACCTGAAGAAGGCTCACTGAAAGTCACTGTCTCATGCTTCTGCTTTTGGCCCCTAGGTTTGACGTGGTGGGCTATGGCTGCATGACCTGCATTGGCAACAGTGGACCCTTACCTGAGCCTGTGGTAGAAGCCATCACACAGGTAATTACAGCCTGTAGATCATCAGAACTGTCACTTCCTTTCAATATACTACATGAGCCAAATGATGAAAATTTAAAACAAAAAAATTTGTGAAAGCAGAGTGTGAAAAAGTATGCTTTTTGGAGTTGATCTAAAATGACTAGTTGTGTAACCTTGGACCAGTTAATTAAACTGTGCCTCTCTTACTCCAGCTTTAAATTGGACATACCAATAGGTTTGTTTTACATAGTTGTGAGAAATAATGCAATGATGCACCTAAAACACTTGGTTCTCAGTGCCATGTGCAAACATCAATACTGTCTGATTTTGACTACAAAGTATGTTAATCATTTGAAAGTTGGTTCAAGGCCGTGTCTTCATACATATCTAAATTGTATTGCCTTGATTTTTCTGTCCTAAAACTGCTGTAGCTTTGAAAAATGTTATTTCACTTGCCTTTGTGTTAGTATGATAATCTCTACAAATTCTTGTTGGTGCTTTTAACTGTCAGTTTTAGTCCTTCCCACCTGTTCTTAGGTCTCAGGCCGCCACCACCAGGATGTTGCCTTCCAAACTACTTAGTATTTTCTCATGAACAGAAATGATTCCCATGACTCTGCTGCTTTTGGCACAGAGTGCTTCCCACAGTGTCACTTGAGGCTCTTCCTCCTCACCTGCATTAAGGAGACAGGCAGGTGAAAGGGTTGCTGAAAGTGCTACACCTGAGCAATTGTACATGGTCTAAGATAAGCCTAGGTAATCTATTTGTGATCTGATTTTTCTCTTGCCTTACACAGGGAGACCTTGTAGCTGTCGGAGTACTCTCTGGGAACAGGAATTTTGAAGGCCGAGTCCACCCCAACACCAGGGCCAACTATTTGGCTTCTCCTCCTTTAGTCATAGCATATGCAATTGCTGGGACCATAAGGATTGACTTCGCGAAAGAGCCATTGGGTAAGATTCTGTGTGGCTACTGTTTTTGTTTTTTTTTTTTTTCCAGTGAACTTGAAAATAAAACTGAAAGTTACTGCTTTCCTTGAATAGCAGCTGCAGCTGGAACCTCGGGAAGTAAGGCCCAGAGGAGACTCTCCCCCTTGTTCCCCAGTACACAGCTAAGATATGCTGGGAATAGTTAACTCCACAGCCTGCTTCAGGATAGTGTGGCAGAAAAGGAAGAAGTGCCCAGAGTCTCAGAGCTCGTGCTCTTCAGCGTCATTGCTCCCACCTTTTCAGGTCCCACTGTTGTTAGTAGGCACTGTGAATACATGCCCAGCAGCAGCTGTTCCATGTGTTCCAGTGTCTCAGAACTCAGAGATGCTGCTTTGTCTTCCCCATTTGTGGAGTCTGTATTTGCAAATTTACTACTTCATGAAAAAGGACTTTTAACCCCCAAATCAATGCTCATGAGGCTTTCCTGGTCATTTTTAGATATACACAGAGGGGCAAAAACTTCTGTCACTGCATTTGGCTCCAAGCCAACGTCAAAGAGGGTGATTCTTAGGCTATAACTAAGCAACCATTTCATGGTCTGTTTTCTGTCATGTTTTTTGTTGTTGTTGGTTTGGGGTTTTTTTTGCGTTTTTGTGCTCTTTATGGGGATTTTGCCATTTCATCTGGCCCAGTACCTGATACCGAGGTGCCACCCAGTGTCCCTAAGTACAACCTTGGGGATGCCCTGTGTTCAGGCATGAGTTGAACTGCTGTTGTCAGCAGTACACAGGTATTTCATGGTGTCCTTGGGAATGAGTGCCAGTAATCACCTCAGAGATCAAAGCTGCAGCAACATAAGTGATTGCATAAAATGGTGTCATATTTGCACATAACCTATGCAGTCCTTACCTGCTTATTATTGTTTTATAAACTTTTGTTTGAAAAACATAGTGACAGTGAGCAAACCAAATAGAGTGCCCGTTTGCTGATTGAGTTACCAAATGCTCACAACAGCCAGAACTAGGTAGGCCCAAGTCTGGGCACCAGGACCTCAGTGGGTGGCAGGAGCCCAGTAACTTGAGCCATTTTTGCTGCTTTAGGTGTGCAGATAGCTGGAAACTGAAAAGCCAGGTATCAAGTCCAGGTCCTCTGATAATATGTGGAGGCATCTTAACTGACCTTTTAACCATCCGGCTAACATTGGTCTCCTCCTGTGCTTTACGTCCTCTCTAGACTTCACGCAGTACCTCATGTACATGCTGTGTATGTAGTTGTCATATTGCTTAGGTAATAATCACAAGGAATAGAAGGTCTGTGTGTGTTCAGTACAGACAGTGCTAATTTTTAGTGGATATTTTCCACTGAATTAGTTGAATCCATGCATGTAGAACACACAGATGCAGATGACCAACAAGGTGTCTTTAGACAAAAGCACACATAAAGTTGTGTATGCATTGGTTGACAAAAACAGGAAGCTTGCCAGCACCCACTCCGCATGTGCCTGGGAGACTTTCACAGATTCTAAAATATGTCCATGAAAAACGAGACTGCACCTTAGGTAACAGTGAAGCCAGAGAATCAGTAAAGTCTTTCTCACTAGCATAAATGTTTTCCCCAGGGACAAATACAAAAGGGCAGCAGATATTTCTGAAAGATATCTGGCCAACTCGAGAGGAGATCCAGGCAGTGGAGCGGCAGTACGTCATCCCTGGGATGTTCACGGAAGTCTATCAGAAAATAGAGGTGAGGCCCAGACCCAGGGGCTTTTAGGGCTGTAAACTGTGGGAAAGAGCCTGTATTTCTTCAGGTAACTAGGGCAGTGAAACCCCACACTCCCCAGTGTTCCACGTTTGGACAAGAGTGACAGCCTTAGGGAAAAAGGTTCAAGTTCTGCTCTCCAGCGTTCTACCTGTTTCTCCGACACCCTGGAGTGTGCAGGTTCCCTGTGAGGAGGACCTTTATGGATCATTATACCTCACAGGGCTGGAGTCAGTTGGCTGAATTCACTGGACGCTTTAAAAAAATTAAGCCATTCCATAAGAGGTCTGTGTGTATGTGCATTTTACAAATGGAAAAAAAATGTTTGGGACACTTGGATGTTACTCCTTTTCTGGCTTTTTGGTCTGGGCGTGCATTCAAGCCAACTGCATAGCAGTTGTCATTTCCTTTATCTAATGTCCATGTGACCTGCAGGACCACTTCTTAGAATATTCAGAAAATATTCCCTCTTGGATTATTATGTGTGTTTTTGATATGTATGTAAGTACTCCTATCTATTGCTGTACAACAAATTGTTCTGAAACTGAAGTTTCTCTGAAATTCAGTGGAAACAATTGGTTTCTATGGGTCAGGAATCCAGACACAACTCCATTGGACGCCTCTGCCTTCAAGAAGATCCAGTCAAGGTGTCGCCTGGGCCTATGACCTCTGGTGGAGGGGACCCTCAGGCTCTCTCATGCCATTGTTGGGCTGAGGTTCTTTCTTGCTGCCTGTTAGCTAGAGACCTTGCTCTGTTGCTTGGGTCTCCTTCCAGCTCGCAGCCTGGTAACTTGCTTCCATCATCACAGCCAGCAAGAGGGCAAGGGAGGGAAACTCAGACATCTTATTCTGGAATTGAGTTATTAGGTCCTGTCCACCCTCAGGGACCTCCTGAGGGTGTGAATCCACAGAGGGAGATCTTTCCTGCCCTTCTTGAGGCTGCCCTATATAGAGCGTGTGCATTTTTAATTTGTTAACTGGACATTGTGATACAAAAGCTCTTTTGTTTTGACTACTTAGAATGAAAAATGGTTGGCCTGAAAGTTTTATGTTTGCAAATTTGAATTTTTCTTTTATTTTTTAAAGACTGTGAATGCAAGCTGGAATGCCTTAGCAGCCCCGTCAGATAAGCTTTATCTCTGGAATCCTAAATCCACATACATTAAGTCACCACCATTCTTTGAAAACCTGGTATGTTGTTTTTACTTTATGTCATAAAGTTCTTGTAAAGGTTTCTTTCCTCTTAAAATCTGTACTTTGTTACTCCATTCCCCTTGACTACCTATTGTGTTAAAACCTTTGCAAACCCAAGCAGATGCTGCTGGGGCATTTGGGTATAGTGAGCATACAGTTGCTGTGTCACACATCCTATATGGTTGTGCACAGATCTTGGCAATCAGCTGTCCCATATAGATAGGCTCAGATGAGTCTGAGGGACTCCCAGGAAACACCTCACCCTACAAAAATGAGGACCATGTTTTTGTTTTGTTTCATTTTACTTTTATCATTATTATCATTTTATGATGCAGTTCCATAGGCCCTAGGATTTCGCTTATCCCCTCCCCAATTCTTTCTCCCCTCACTGAGTTCCCCTATATCATTACTATAGTATAATTCTTCATACACAGTCATATACCCATCATTGCAGGCATGGACAATGGCAGCTAATCCATCATCTTATTGTCAAGACACAGTAAACAGTTTCTTTGGGAGTCCATCTTTGATCTGGAAATAGAAATGCATACTGCATTGTATCCTCACACCTAGATATAGTCTCCATTACACAGTTACTGTACATCCCCTTAAATGAAAAACCATAATACAAAATTAACAGGAAGAAAAATAGAAGCTTACAATGCCATGAGGTTAAATAAGATGCTACTGGATATGATGGTCTCCATTATTCTCCTGGAATGTGCCCTGTCTACTTCACACTCTGTTTAAACGTGTCCTTACCCTATTCTGCCATCTTGATTATCCTGAGGGCCATCTTGCCCAACACCAAAAGTCAAGAAGCAACCCATGTGGGCCACTGTCAGGGACACGAGGAGCAGAAAAGGAAAGGGAGTAGAAGTCAGGATTTCAGTGGTCCTTAGCATTGCAGGAGTTGTGTGCAAGCAAGGAAAGCACATGCCATTTGCAGTTGTATTCCAGGCACATTCAGTGATATTACCAGTCCTTCTCGTCAAGGTGGACATGTGAACACTTTGAGTCCATTCCCTTCACCTTTATAAGCATTCTTGATAAATGTGGAAAACCAGAATTTTCCACGCACTGATGATGTGCAAATGCGATGTCCTTTGGGTCCGTGGATCACTGCTGTTGGGAATCCCCTGGTGTCTGGGTTAGGAAAACCCTGGTAGCCTTTGACTTCTTGTGTCCTTTGCTAGACTTTGGATCTGCAGCCCCCTAAATCTATAGTGGATGCCTATGTGCTCTTGAATTTGGGAGATTCAGTAACAACGGATCATATCTCTCCAGCTGGAAATATTGCAAGAAACAGTCCTGCTGCTCGCTACTTAACCAACCGAGGGTAAGTAGAAATAGTATGAGACAGGAAATATTAAGGCAAAAATGGAGTGAATGAGGCTAGTATTTCACATTTCACGTAATCTCTTTGGAGTCAGGCTCTAGCCTTTCACTGACCCCTGGAGCTTGTGTTTTCTCTTAACTGCTCAGGTACTTCCGAGGGAGAATCCTTTGGTGTGTGCTTCCCAGGAGGGCAAGGGGAGAGGAACCTTCTTTTGGAAAGTATGTGCATTGGGCTCCTTGTGTCCCTGCCCCCCAGTTTGGCTGGTCGTTAAAAAAAATCTAGCCAGGCTCTGCATCATGGCCCATGGCAGAGCCTGGTTGTGCCGGAAGCACAGGGCAGAGATGTGACCTCAGAAGCACTGCTCAGTTGTGACTGAGGGGCAGATGTTGACAGAGAACTACCTCGGTTTTGCAGCTATCACCCATTTTTCAGTCTTCCCAGCCATATTCTGACATCGTAGGTATTATTCTACTGGTGCCAACTGCTCTCTAATTTACCAATATTAATCAAGGGCAGTGGTTTCCAAATCTGAGTTTCTGTGAGAATCCTCTGCGGAAATAATTCCTGATTCCTGTTCCCTCTCCTAATTCAGCCCTTTGAGGGCTGGATCCAGGAGCACATTTGAGAAACAGAACCCAAACACCTTTCTTTTGTTGATGTTTCTTGACCTCTTTGGAAGCGTGAACACTTTGGAAAGTGGAAAGAAAGCAAATACACATACCCACAATATTTTGGGTACGGTTCCAGGGGTTCCTATACATGCTCACCTACTTTATTCATAAACTCGGGCTTCAAATGAGCTGTGGCCATTAAATAACAACAATAATATAAACATCCTTCCTCTCCTATTTTAATAAACAGGCCAATGAACTGGTCACTGTTAACTGTGAGATGTCATTCCTGATGTCACTAAATCTTTTGTTGGAGCCCACAGACAACTTTTTCCTCTGGTTTGGAAACCAAAAGCACAACTGTTTTGACTCTTTCTCTCTGCTTTGATTTTCTGTGGTGCGAAAGTGGCAAATTATGTTGCTAGTTGTGCTGGTTTTTGCATTGAGCTCCTTTCTGACTACTCAGGGACAAACTTGAACCTACTTTGGGTTAGTGTATGAAAGAAATTCTGGGTTTACTCCTATTATTGTTTCTTCTGTCTGGGTAGCTTTCCATGATTATTCTCTGTTTTCATTTTCTTATTTTTAATCAGCTTTTTTTTAACGTTTAAACAGGCATTATAGACTACCCCTACTGTACAACTGAAGTAAACTAGGTATTCCTTTTTAAGTTCCTTCTGATGTTTCCTGTTTTGAAAAGTTCGAGGCTGACTCTAGGGATATGTTTATTTCCACCTTTGACTTCTGTCTTTCTCCAGCCCAGTTCTCGCTCTGCTACCAGATGTAGCTTAGGGCGCAGCTTTTCTGCCTTAGAAAACAGTGCTTAATAGAGTGAGATAAATAGTTAAATGGATGGATTTTTATTTTCTTGGTATAAGTTACTTTAATCTTTGCTCTAGAACAACTTTTCTCCTGCTTATTTTATTTTTAGCCTAACTCCGCGAGAATTCAATTCCTACGGCTCCCGTCGGGGAAATGATGCCATTATGGCACGGGGAACATTTGCCAACATCCGCTTACTGAACAAATTTTTGAGCAAGCAAGCACCACAGACTATACACCTGCCTTCCGGGGAAACGGTGAGTGCTCTTCAGCTTCCTTCAGCAAGCAGTGCTTACCAGACCTAGAGATTGGGATTTGTGCAGAGATTTTGTCCTACTTGCAGGTGCACGTTTATGTGGGGTTTATTATCACTGGTGAAGAGTAAACATCTCCTTGCATAGAAATTATGTACCCATCATTTAACTAAGTATCATTTCTTGGGAGCTGATCCTAAAAAGTCTTTTGCAATTTCATCAGTTCCAAGTATTTAAATGCGAAACACCCCATTCAATCCAAGTGCATTTATCAAGAAACACTATTGTGTTACTTTATTAATATTTACTGTTATTCACTACACATTAGGAAAAGCAGAACTGTGTAAGAGGCCCTTATGGGCCTGCTAAAGACCTAAAGAAGCCATTTGGAGTTGGTGTGTTTCTGCCTGACTGTTGAGATAAAGAGGTGGGGAAAGCCCGTGGTTTGAGTCAGGCAAGTCTGGTTTCAAGTCCCAAATCCACCTCCTACCTCAGGTAGTGACTTCCTGACTTCCCTCTCAGAGCTTTATTTTGCTTACTAATAAAGTAGGAACATATGCCTCTCTTACAGGGTTATGAGAAAATGAAACAAAATGATGTGTAAGCCTCACTTAATGTGTGCTCACATGGGGAGTCCTTAGCATTACTTCTCTTCCCAAAGAATGCACTAAAAACTGGGTAACCTCTTGAGCAGTAATCTTGCCACCTTTCTCTAAAGTGTCTGTGCAGCTTGGCACATTCTAGCTACCATTCTAAACTGCAAACTTACAAAGGACTGTACTATTGTAGCAACGTGGGGAAAACCAGCCGGTGGGGGGGGGGGGATCCCAGTGTCTACAAAATTGTACCATAAAATTTGAAATTTCAAAATAAAAACTTAACAAAAAAACTGCATAAACTGATTTAATTTTAATTTTTAGTAAGGGTAGGCACTGTAATTGCTTTAAGTTGAAGTATGAAGTATAGAGAGGTCATATAACCACCCGCTAAGATCACATAGTGGACAAGTAGAAATTAAAACCCGAGCAGTTTAGCTCTGACGTCACTGTTCATTACCACACCTGCTGCCTCATCCACAGCTAATTAATTGGTTAAATTTTTTTTAAGATTTATTTTATTTTTATTAGAAAGGCAGATATATACAGAAAGGAGAGACAGAGAGGAAGATCTTCCGTCCGATGATTCACTTCCCAAGTGGCTGCAACGGCTGGAGCTGAGCCAGCCCAAAGCCAGGAACCTCTTCCGGGTCTCCCATGCGGGTGCAGGGTCCCAAAGCTTTGGGCCGTCCTCGACTGCTTTCCCGGGCCACAGGCAGGGAGCTGGATGGGGAAGTGGGGTCACTGGGATTAGAACTGGCAACCATATGGGATCCCGGCACGTGCAAGGTGAGGACCTTAACCACTAAGCCATCATGCCAGGCCTGAATTGGTTAAATTTTTGCAAAGCACACTTTCTGTGTAAATGTTCTTGCTCAGTGAATAGTGGGGATAATAAACCATTCTATGAAAAAATAGCTGTTGGGCCCAGTGCTATAGCATAGCAGTTAAAGTCCTTGCCTTGAACACATGGGAATCACATATGGCCACCAGTTCTAATCCCAGCGGGCCCGCTTCCCATCCAGCTCCCTGCTTGTGGCCTGGGAAAGCAGTTGAGGACGACCCAAAGCTTTGGAACCCTGCACCTATGTGGGAGACCCCAAAGAAGCTCTTGGCTCCAGGCTTCAGATGAGCCCATCTCCAGCCATTGTGGCCACTTGAGGAGTGAATCATGGGATGGAAGATCTTCCCCTCTGTCTTTCCTCCTCTCTGTATATCTGCCTTTCGAATAAATAAATAAATAAATAAATAGCTGTTGATAGAGGGGCAGATGTGCTTGCAGACACTAAGGAGAAGGGAACTGAGCAATTAACTGACAGCTGTGGATCGGTGATTTTTAACAAGCCCTGCCGCAACTTTGAGCTTCTAGTCAGATGTCAAGAGTGTGTGGAGAGGGAGAAATGAGCAGACATTTGGACCACAAGCTGAACCAGACATAACTAGACCAAGAGGGGAAGGGAAAGAAGACAAGCAATACAAAAGGTGGAAGAAAACTTTGTGTCCAACGAGATGATTTTCATAAGACTTAACTTTCTGTTACAATAATGGAACAGTCGAGACAGCAGAGAGCTCTTTAAATTAAAAAAAGAAAAATTGAAGCCCCATCCAAAGAAGTGAGTAATTGAGAGAAAATTCTAGAGTACAGAACAAATTAGAAAAATAGAAGGAAGATTCGAGAAAAGAGTACAAGAAAATTAAGGACTAAATGCAGGAGGTCCAACATGTGACTTAATAGAGTTGTTAAAAAGGCAACAGACAAAAATGGAAAAAGGGAATTTGTCCAAGAAAAACAAAGGAAAAATTACTCAGCTGAAGGATATGAGATTCCAGATTGATAAGAGTCACTAAATGCCTAACAAGATAATTTACCATAACCCTTTCCAATTTGCAGGGCAGTGAAATTAAGAACAACAAAAACAAGGAAAAGATTGAGAAATTTCCAGAGTTGAAAAAACAACTTACAGAACAATAGGTTATCAGAAGCATTCCCAGACAGCTTGAAAACATCACTGAAAACTCAGATGGAGGAAAATGATTTTTATCCTAAAATTCTGTGCTTGTTACGTGAAAGTAATGACACATTCTGATATTCAACAGCTTAAAAAATAGCTGTAAACCTTTCTCTCCCAGGAAGTACCTTGGCAAGTGTGTTCCACCACAATAAATAAGCAAAAAGCGGAAGCTGTGGGGTCCAGGAATAAGAAATGAAGGACTCTGCCAGGACACTGCCTATTTCAGGAATGAACCGCTCCTGGGGAGCTAATGTGGAACTGGACCAACAGAACAAGGAGTGGGAGAATGAAGATGGCAGAATAGGTTAAGGACATGTATAAATGGACAGAGAAACATTTAATCAGGATGAAGCAGAGAGGTCACATTCCAGGAAATAGGAGAGGACAGAACAACAGCCCAGGAGCCTGTGGGACTGTATCATAAAATGATAATAATAATAATAATAAATTTTTAAAAATTAAAAAGAATTAGGAGTGACATAGTAGTGAGATTTAAGTGATATATACCTGGTTGAAAAGACCTGTATTTTTTGACAGAGTATTTAGAAATTACACATAGGTAGGATTATAAACATCCAAAAAAGTGAAAAATCAGTAATTCTAATAAATATTTTAAAAATCGTCAAGAGAAAGAAATCATAGCATATTACATGGCTCAGTGATAAAATAGTATTTACAGAATCATAGTGATTTCAAATCCCAATCCTTGTCTTAGCTGGGTGATACCAATATGGGAGGGATGAGGGAGCTGGGGGTTGTGAAAGGAATTAAGTCCTCACCAAATAGAAAATTGACAGCAAAAATTGAGAAGGTTTAGCAGCCTTAATGTAATACCTAAATATATAAAGGCATGATCCAAAAAAGAATGCCTGTTCTTCTGTTGTGTTCTTAGAGATGAGGGCTTGCACAGGTAATGGCTTCCTGAGCCAACCGTTTAGTGGCCTTGGCATGGCTCATACGGTAGATAAGACAGGAAATGGGAATTCTAGACCTTCTAGACCTCCTAGACCTTCTGATCTTGGACCTGTCTTGCCATGCACCTTTGTTCTGATTGTGAAAGCATACTTGAAAATACCTCCCCCACTCCTACTGACCCCATCACAGGATTCTTCATGTGTAAAGCTAGCAGTGTCTGAACATATCAGGGAGATAGTTTCTTAGCTTTGAAAGAATAGAGACTTGCTTAATTGAACAGAAAATGAATCTTAATGTTTTTATAAATTCTGTCCAAATGAGGACATATAGAATGTACCAAGGTTAAGTAACACCCTATAAAATTAACCATAGGCTTTATTAGCTCACCAAAATAGTAATTCATGGAAAGTCTACTACAGAATTTGCTTTCTTGAGTGCCATTCACTTTAAACACACTGTTTTTTAAGGGATTTTGTTTCCTGGCTTGCTAAAAAGGAAGAATTGTGAATTTTTTTTTTTCTTAAGAAGCAGACAGAACTCCCACCTGCTGGTTTACTCTCCAAATGTCTGCACAGGTGAGATGAGGCCAGGGCCAGGATGCAAGGCAGAGCTCTGATATGGGTGGCAGGAACTGCTGTCTCCCGTGGTGTGCATCAGCAAGAAGCTGGGATCTTGCCCAGATGTGGATTGCAAGCATCTTAAGTGCTAAACTCTTGCTCCTGAATAAATGTTTCATCACTCAATCATTGTAAGTGTTAGCTGAGCAGAAATTCCAGGATCCTGTGAAAAACAAATCTATTTGTGCAAGGTGTTAAAATATTAACCAGGAGTAGATGTTTGGCATTTGGGTTAAGAAGCTGCTTGGCACCTGGTACAGTGGCTCAATTGGCTAATCCTTCCCTTGGAAGTTCCAGGATCCCCTATGGGCTTTAGCTCCTGTCCCGACTGCTTCAATTCCCATCTGGCTCCCTGCTTATGGCTGGGAAAGCAATAGAGGACAGCCCAAAGCCTTGGGACCCTGACCCACCTGGGAGATCCAGAAGAAACTCCTGGCTCTATCCATTGCAGCCACTTTGGGAATGAACTAGCAGTTGGAAGACCTTTTTCTCTGTCTCTTCCTTTCTCCGTAAATCTGCCTTTCCAATAAAAAAAGTAATCTTTAAAAAAAACAGTGCCTGTCTCCAGCAAAATCAGTAGACTGGTCTGTAATACAAACCTTATAATTTTTTTCAAAAAAAAAAAAACACCACTTGTGATGTCCATATTCCATATTAGAGTGCCTGGTTCAAGTCCCAGCCCAGCCTGAATCTAGCTTTTTGCTAATACACATCCTGGGTGGCCACAGTTAGCTCACTGCCACCCAGGTGGGAGACACAGATTGCATTCCCAATTCCTGGCTTCATCTTGGCCCTGTTGCAGGCATGTACGGAGTGAACCAGCAAGTGGAAGGATTTCTCTGTCTCTTTACTTTCCAAATAAATAATAAGTACTTTTTAAAAAAATTACTTAGTCCTCTCTTGTCTTTCTGATTTGTGCTTCCATCCATGGTCTACTGTCTCTACCCTTGGCTTGTGTGTAGAAGGATGACTAATAAGTTTGCATTCCACATCATGTCAAAATGAGACCTTTGTGTTTTGTTATCCTGCACAGCTGAATCTCTGATAGTTAGTCAAAACACAGGTGTAGGTAGGGCAGGGTTTTATGGGTTTTTAAAGAAAAACCCAGAAAAAGAGAAAAATAGGATCTAGTTTCCTTTTTTTCCCTAGATGTGTAGGGTTTGACTGCTTTCCCAAAACTCTCTTAAAGCATCTCAATTTAAAAAAACAAAAAACCCAGAGATTTCATTTAGTAAAAGTAAACAGATCAGGGAAACAGGAGATGTGTTGACTTTTCCATCAGCTGTGCAGTGACCTGATTCTCGGCAGAGCCCTCAGCCGTGTCCACACTCTGCTTCCCTGGCATCTCTAACGCCTGCCTTTTCTCTTCCTCAGCTTGATGTTTTTGATGCTGCTGAGCGGTACCAGCAGGCAGGCCTTCCCCTGATCGTTCTGGCTGGCAAGGAGTACGGCTCAGGCAGCTCCCGAGATTGGGCAGCCAAGGGTCCTTTCCTGCTGGTGAGTATGAAGCAGAGAGAACCCAGTGGGCAGCTGCCCTCTGAATTGGGAGGGAAACTGGATGGATGCCTGGGAATGGCTCCTAGAAGGTGTCGTGGCAGGAGCTCAGGTACTAGGACCATCACAGCTACCTCCCAGGTCTGCATTATCAGGGTGGAGATCTTGATCCTGCATTGGTCAGACCCACCCTGGCTTTTGCAGACACTTGGGGGTGAACCAGTAGATGAAGATCTTTCTCTGTATCTCTGCCTTTCAAATAAGAACAGACTATTATATATAACTAGAGAACACAATTTTATATAAAAGATCAGTGAGTACATAAAACAGGTTTAGATATGACCATATTCTTGACCTAGGAAGTCTTCTGTAAAGTATCTGTGAAATCTAAAGACAAAGTTGGAACCGTGTCCTGGCCGCTTACTCTGTGTGCTCACTAGGGAATCAAAGCTGTCCTGGCCGAGAGTTACGAGCGCATTCACCGCAGTAACCTGGTGGGAATGGGGGTGATCCCCCTGGAGTACCTCCCGGGTGAGAACGCAGACTCTCTGGGACTCACAGGGCAGGAGCGATATACCATCATCATTCCAGAAAACCTCAAACCACGAATGAATGTCCAAGTCAAGGTAAGTTGGAGCTTCTCCATGCTGGGCCCCACTAAAAGAGGCCCTGTTTAATTAGTTCTTTGGGAGAAGCTATTGGGCAGAAGAAAATCACTCAGTGGGAAAGCATTAACCTCAGCAGTTCTCCCAGCACCTTTCCTACTTGCCTTCACAACATGGAGACTGCCTGCCAATTCATGACTTATTTGTGCATGAATTCCTTCTTGTCACCAGGATCAGCTAGTGTCATCCCACCCCTAGAATATGGAATGGAAACTCAGAGTAGGACATTTTCACAATACCTAAGAAAACAGCTTTTCTCTATCATTATTAAAATGTAAAGAATAGATATACTCACACATTGCCTGAGCCTCAACCTAGACCTCAAACTTTTATTTCCTGAGGTCCCTTGGCAAAGTGAGGTGGCATCACATGATGTGCCACCCAAGTTGAAGCCAGCATTGAGGTCTGAGGGTGAGCAGATAGGCCAGCCACCTAAGGCAACCCTGGTGAGACACTTCTGTGCACAGGGAGGCTCCCCAAGAGGGTTTCGAAAAGACTACCCCAGGCAGCTCATTCTAGCTCTCAGGTGCGCCACGTCTCTGTCATTTACATGCTGTGATGCCTCTCAGATTTGAGTGCATAGAGGGTTTTGGCTGGGGTTCTTGCCAAAATGCAAATTCTCATCTTCCTGGTCTGAGCCAGGACCCGAGCCCTCACCTGTCCTCATGTGGGGCTCATGTATGCGGGCTGTCTGGGGTCTCGCCTGCTCCCTAGCCACTTTCCTCTCTTTTGTCATTACAGTTGGACACCGGGAAGACCTTCCAGGCTGTCATGCGGTTTGACACTGATGTGGAGCTCACTTACTTCCACAATGGCGGCATCCTCAATTACATGATCCGCAAGATGGCCAAGTAGGCTCTGGTTTCTTAGGAAAGTCGAACCTGGTGCTGCTCCCAGGCCAGCCGCTCATCAGCACAATTCTGATGGAGACACGTTGCCACGCCCTCACAGAGAGCTGTGCCTCACAGTGAGTGAGCACAGGGTTGTAGTGCCTTTCCTGGAGGCAGAAAACCAAAAGTTTTTACATTCTCTATTGTCCCTCTTTTTGTCCTTTTCTAGATTTTAAAAGCTGGAACTGTGGGAATTCTAGTAGTGCCAGAAAGAGAACTGAGTTCCTTTTTAAAGTTACTGATCAAAGGAGGCTGATTTTTTTCATTCTTACCTGTTAATCTTGAGTTGAACACTAACAAGTATTCTCCCATACAGTGGGTGTGTGCCACTCATGTTATTCCTGTTGTTCCTCTGCTCAGAACCTTTCCCTGGAGGCCCCCTTTCCCTGTTGCTATACCAGTGTTAACTGACCTTGGCAGATAAGAACTTTGCAGACATCAAGTGGGGGTGATTATGATTCCCCTCTTTCCTTCAGAATCAGTGATACAAATGCCTCATGGATTAAGTCACATATTGAAATTTCTTTGATATGTACCTTTGGTCAACTTCAATTAAAAAAATGAAATTCTCTTACTGTTCTCAAAATTTTTAAGCTTGAAGAAGTTTGTTTGAAAATGGTTTGGGCAACATGGAACATTGATAATTTGAATAAGATTAAATATTTTCACAAAAAATTGTTGGCTTTGGAATTGAGTTTTGCTCTGTGTGTGAATTTAGGTGGGGGATTTTTCAGAGTAGAACACATTACCCTGAAGCATGAATGCCCCTCATGTTTCCTGTTTCGATGCCTGCATTAGACTGTTGGAAGTGTAGTGTGGAGGGCCAAGATCTTACTGGCATTGTTTGGGAGCTGAAAAGGAGGAACAGGATTAGGCCAATAATGGTAGCAAGGTTGTGAGTATGGTAAGCAAATCGCAGTGTCTTTGTGCTTTGGAATTGATCTACTTTTAGCCATCACATTTTGGGGCATGTCCTAATTTGCTCAGACTGTCATAGCAAAATGTCACCATCTGAGTGGCTTCAAACAACAGAAATTTATCTTATGGTTCTGGAGGCTGGAGGCCCAAGATCAAGGTCTGACTGCATTGAGTTCTGGTAAGTTCCATCTTCCAGGCTTCACTGTGTCTTCACGTGCCTTTGCTTGGTGCATGCACTGGGAGAGGGACAGCATGGGCTCACTGGGGTCTCTTACAAGACCAAAAACCGTGTAAGGTCAGATCAGGGGACAACTTAAAGGGGGCTAATTACTGCTTCAAATACAGCCACCGACAGAGGGGAGCGTTAGGACTTGAGCACAGTGGTTTTGGGATTCACAAACATTCAGTCTACAACAGGGCACTTTATGCTTTGCAAATTAATCTTGTAATTAAGAAAAAATCACATTCTGAAGAGTTTAAGCAACACCTTGACATAAGGGTATTAGTATCACCAAACATATCCAAGTTTAACAAGTCCTAGAGCTAGTAAGTCGAAGAGACCTGACGTTCAAACACTGATTTTCTGAATTTAGAGATTTTCGTAACTTTGAAAAATTGACTGTTGGAATGTATGAAACTTTCATGCTTCACCACTGGATAAAGCTGTGAATTCCTTCCCTTCTCTAATTTTCCCTCTGAAAGCCAGCCTGCTGCTTGTCATGCAGGGCTTCCAGGCTATGGGCCGGATTTCCACAGCTCTGGGTGTCCCAGACTGCCTGAGAACAAGCTCAGAAGTCAGATAGCTCCACTCCTTGTCAGGCTAGCTTGGCCTACCCTAGCCAGTATGCCTAGAAGGATTAAAAATCAGTCTTTTTTTTTAAACTATTAAGTTCTGAATAAATGGTTGTCAAATATGCATATATTATAGAAATGGTTGGTCAATTAACATGCTACTTCACATATTTCTGTAATATTTAAAATTTACTCTGATTTTTCAGGAATGCTGTTTTTAACTAATCACCATATTATGCACTGCTTATTCAGTCTCTAACAACTGCATTGAGGGACATCTCGCGGACAGGCACCACCCTGTACCTGGTAACAGACATTCTATTTTCTATGCCTGTGAGTTTATCTTGTTTGGATTCCACATGTTATACCATCCTATAGAATTTGTCTTCTGTACCTGGCTTACTGCACTTTTAACAAAACATCCTCCAAGCTAATCCATATTTTCACAAATGACAAGATTTCTGCCTTTTAAATGCTTACATTCCAGTATGTGGAATATTTATTTATTTGTTGATGGCACTTAGTCTGCTTCTGTATCTTGATGATGAGGAATAATGTTGTCATTAGAGAAATGTTTATTCAGATTCTTTGCCTCTTTAGAATTAATGTAACAAATTTCATGTATTTCATAGATGAAATTCTAAGAAATTGAGTCTGCTTATTGCTGTGTTCCTTATATATTTTGAACATTTCCCTAGTTTGTTCTCTTCGCATGCATCTGTTTTTATGTTAAGAATATACTGTTTTGATTACGATAAACTTCTAGTGTATTTTAAGGTTAATTTGATGTCTTCAGCTCTGTTCTTTGTGCTCAAAATTGTCTTGGATATATGAAGACTCATGATTACATAAGAATTTTTAGGATTGCTTTTTTATTTCTGTGAAAAACATTCAAATTTTGATAGGAACTGAATTGAATCTATAGATTGCCTTTAGCTAGCTTGGGCCTTTTCACCATATGTAGACATAGACTGTTTCTCTCTCATCAGTGTTAGTTTCAATGTACAGGTCTGTAGAAGGATTCATTTCTGGTATATCTGTTCCACTAAGCTGTACGTCTGCTTCATGCCAGTACCCGGCGGTTAATTACTGCTACTCTGTGGTGAAGTCTGGTATTGTGGCACCTCCTGCTTTGTTCTTGTTAAGATTGATTTAGATATTTGAGGTCTCTCGTGTTTCCATATGAATTTTAACATTTTTTTTCTGGATCTGAAAAGTGTGTTGTATTTTGAGTGTGATCACATTGAATCTATAAATTGCTTTCAGCAGTATGGAAGACATTTTGGAGATAAATTCTACCAAAACTTCAGAAGGAAGATTGTTCCATTTTTCTGTTTTCTATTTCTTTAATGCTTTAATATTCTTGGTTAAATTAATTCCAAGATACTTGACGGTTTTTTCCCAGCTACTATGAATGGGCCTGATCTTACAAGTTCTTTCTCAGCCATGTGTTGATTTCATATTCAGTGACTGCCAAACTCTTACGAGTTCCATATCCCCTTTGCAGTCTTTTGGTTCCCCTGCGTAGAGCATCTTGTCGCCTGCAAATAGGGATAGCTTGGCTCCCTTTCCCTGATGATCTATAGTTGAATAGCAGCACTATATTGAATAGCAGTGGTGAGAGAGGGCATCCTTATCTTTTTCCAGATTTTAGTCGAAGTGTTGCCAACTTCTCTCAACTCATTTATTATGCTGGCTATGGAGGATTTTTAAAAGATTTTTTTTTAATTGGAAAGCAGATATACAGAGAGAAGTAGATACAGAGAGAAAGATGTTCCATCTGGTTCACTCCCCAAGTGGCCACCACAGCTGAAGCCAGGAGGTTCCTTGGAATCTCCCATGTGGGTCCAGCTATGTGTTTTTATTTGTTGCCTTGATTTTGTTGGGGAATGTTTTATTATTATTTATTGGAAAGTCACATTTACAGAAAGGACCTAAAGATAAGGATCTTCCATACACTGGCCGCAACAGCCTTAGCTGAGTTGATCCAAAACCAGGAGCTTCTTCCAGATCTCCCATGCAGGTGCAGAGTTTCAAGGCTTTGGGCCATCCTCGACACTTTCCCAGGCCACAAGCAGGGAGCTGGATGGGAAATGGAACAGCCAGGATATGAACTGGCACACAAATGGGATCTTGGTGCATGCAAGGCAAGGACTTTAACCAGTAGGCTATTGCGCTGGGCCCAAGGAATGTTCCCTCTACACCTAAATTGCTTAAGGTCTTATTGTTATATCATGAATGAATGTTGTATTTATGGAGTGCTTTCTCTGTATTTATGTAGATAAGCATATGATACTTACTATTCAGCTTTTTTAAATGAAGACTTATTTTTCATTTGAAAGCGTTAGAGAAAAGAGCAAGCTTTCATCTGCTGGTTCACTCTCCAGATGTCCACAACAGCGAGAGCTGAGCCGATCTGAAGCCAGCAGCCAGGAGCTTCTTCCAGGTCTCCCCACATAGGTGCAGGGACCCAAGAACCTGAGCCATCCTCCACTGCTTTTGCTGATCCATAAGCAGCAATACAAACCAGCACCTTTATGGGATGCTGGCACTGGAGGTGGAGGCTTAGCCTACTACACCAAGGCACTGGCCCCTGGTCTTCAGCTTGATCATGGAATGTATCATGTTATTTACTTTCGTGTGTTGAGCCATCCCCGCATACTAGGGATAAATCCCACCTGGACTGGGTGAATGAGCTTTCAATTAGCTAGGTTTTGTGGGTTTTTTTTTTCGCATTTTTACATTTATATTCACTAGGGATACCGGTCTATAGTTCTCTTTGTTGTCGTTTTAGAATTAAGGGATGTGGCCCTCATAGAGTCAGAGAATTCCCTCCCTTGCTGTTTCCTTGAAACCCTACTTGTTTCTTTATTTACTACCTGTTAGTTGGCCAGTAACTCTTCCTGGGTTTAATTCTTGGCAATGGCTTGCCTGTATGTAAATATCAAACAAGGAAAACCTAGGTTTGTGTTTTGTTTTGGTATGCTGTCCTTCTCTAGCTGAAAACAGGATTACTCACCTTCATCTAAATTAAATCACTTAAATATTTAAATATTTAAAATATTTATTGATAGGCAGAGTTAGACAGACAAGGAGAAATGAATTCTTTCATTCCCTGGTTCAGTCTCCAAATGGCCAGTGCAAGGCCAAAGCCAGAAACTTCGTCTGATCTCCCACACGGATGCAGGGACCCAAGCACTTGGACCCTCTTCAGCTGCTTTCCTAGGCGCATTAGCAGGGAGCTGGATTGGAAGTGGGGTAGCCAGGACATCAGCTGGCACCCGTGTGGAATGGCAGCATTTCAGGTGGTGGCTTTACTCTGACACAATGTGGAAAGGAAAGCCATTTGAGAACAATAGTAGTGCATTAACTGTTACTTTAAAATGACTTTAGATTAGCTCCAAATGAAGCAGTAAATCAGTACAGCAGGGTGAAGGTAAAACGAAAGAACAGAATAGCTCCTCAGTAACCACCCTATCATTTGTGTTCTCACTAAAAGCTGTCTACTACAGTTTTAACATTACCATGCCTGTCAGTGCATGGAACTAGTCCAAGGTACTTCACAAAGCTCATGGAAAATTAAGTTTATGTTGATACCAAACGCTTTTTCATAATGTATGTTTTTCACACTCATTCTCAAGGTACCAAATATTCAAGGATCTCAGAATGTATTGGAACAAAATGCACTTTGATTTTCCATGAATTTTCTGAAGTATCTTCATGATATTGTACAAACTGCTAGACAGATGAAATTGATATACAGTTCAGTGTCAAATAAAATAGTGGCAATCCATGACCATGCAGACTCATTTCTTCAGAATTGCATATTGCCTATAATTAAAGTCAGAGGCCCCGAGATGGTTAGGACATTTGTGTAGCTTCAAATGGTATCTTCTCAAAATTAAATTCCTTCCACTTTGAGGGATTCGTCTGTTTTCCAGTCTCAACGTCTTCTACCACAAAACTCTGAATCTTAATGAGCGGGATCTCCAAAGCATTGACCTTTGCACGGATTCCCCAGTCATGGCTGCAATCCGGTCTGGCACAGAATATCTTTCCTGTCTTGTCAAAATCCCCACACCTCTTTGGTTTGGGGTGTGGTTTAATCACGAAGCTCTTCTGGAAACTATTTCCAATTACAGTGTAATGGGAATCCTAAAATGAAGGGGTCAAATACAGAAAAGAGAGCATGAGAACCAGTACATAATCATTAAGAAAAAAAAAACCTCAACAGTCCACATTTAGAATCCTACTGGTTTTGCAGTTGAAGAGAGATGGAAAGACTCCTCTGAGAGCCAGATTAGGATCCTTATCCTGACTCCTTATACAAGTGGAAAGCAAGTGTTAGTGAGATGAGGCAGCATAGGAGAAAGAGGATTTGGAAGCTTGTAGGTCATACAAAAGAAATATGAAGGCCAGTGTGTATCTCAAGAGAACCAGGGACTGGTGTGTACACAGCTCTTACCACAGTCCATGTTAAACTGCACAGAGACTTCCGACTTACCATTACTTCAGGATCGCATATCTTTAAAACTTTTGTGTATTTGGTCTTTAGAGTGTGGTTTGCCTGCTTAATAGTTACAAGTCTTGAAGATTTTTTTTGCTTCTTAAAATTCATTTCTACTTGATTCTTTATTAGTTTATTTCAAAAGGATCAAATTCTGCCTGATATATTTTATCAATAGTAGCTCCCAGCTATATTTTTTTTCCAAAATTCACTGTGTTGTAAGACTTACTTGAGTGGCAGAGTGATGGAGATAAATCTTTCATCCACTGGCTCACTCCCCAGAGGTGATTCCAGCCAAGAGCCAGGAGCTTTTTTGTCACCGGCAGGATATTATATTTGAGCCCCTGCTTCCCAGGTGCGCCCAGGAGCTGGATCACAGAGAAGCTATGACTGGCACTCTGCTAAGGAATGTGGCATCCCAGATGGTAACTGAAACCATCGAGCCACAACACCTGCCCCTATTTATTATTTAATTCTAAAATGTCTGATTTTTTTTATCATTTTGCTGAATTTCTCAGTGTAAATTATTTTTCTGATTTCACTGAATTCTCTGTATTCTCATCTCAGGCTTTTTTTCTCTCAGATCTCATCAAATTATTTTCTTTGTGGTCCTTTGCAGCCTTCTCTGGCAGCACATGGTTCAAGAGCCTGCGGCGTTGGTGGGCACCCCTGCAGACCTGCTGCTTCTCCACTGCCTGTCATCGAGACTCCAGGATTGGTTTCAGCAGGGAAACAGGATGGTAGATGCTCTGAGCTTTGATCCTTGCACACATCTCCCTACCCCCAGGAGTCCCTGCACCACATTCCTAGCACCTTTTCATTTTGTCTTGGAACTTTATTGTACAAGGAAGCAAACCAAGTATCTGTAGTCATATGTCTTGCTCACATTACTCCATGGTAGCCAAATACTATTTATTTATGAATGTTCAGTTTTTTGTTTTTTTTTTTTACTAAAAGTTGTTTCAAAATGCACAGGCCATAGTATACCTGCTTCACTAGTAGGTAATAGGCATTAACTAGTGCTAAAATATGACCAAGTTCTCTAAAAAGATGCTTACCTTGACTGTTCTTATATCAGATGAATAACATGCCAGGGTTTTGCACTTCCCACACAGCAGTTTCTTATTTTTCTTATCAGGTATAGGTTTGGAGTTTTGTTGACTATCTCTGATAAATTTTTCAGCATTCTGTAAATGGAGAAGCTATATGCAAAAGAAATAAATTTGAGTGTAGTATAAGATGTAGGTAGATATATTCATCTATAACCTCCGTGGACATACAATACCTGTCTGAGCTGTTCGTAAAAGTCCTACAGATGATTTTATTGGTATTTAATGGTGCTCAGCTGTTGCCTTCAGTCAGTCTTAATATCAAAGATGCCTAAAAAGCACTAAAGATGTTCATAAAATAATGATGCTTACTGCCAGTTAGCAAACTTTTAGAAGCATTTACAAGTAGAAATGTAGTATGCACTGACTATTGCAAGCATAATTACACCCCACTTCAGGCGTAAATCAACTGAGTGAAATGACAGAATACCTACTGTCTAGAAATTCTGTTTTTCTCTCCTTCAGTCACTGAGCATATTGTTGAATTCCAGTGAAGTGAAACACATGCATAGTGTGATCCTATTCTAGTTCAAAATGTTGGCCTTGGCTGTGTTCACAGTATAAAATGAGTGTGAAGACAAAAGGCAATCACCTCGGCATGTAGGAATAACATGGTGATTATTTATCTGATTTGTATTTCCATCTCAGCCTGCAGCTGAAGAACACAGCAGTGCAAATTGCATACGGCTGCAGCCAAAGTTTAAGCAGTAGTCACCTTTCACTAGTCCAAGGACCAGAAAAGCAATATCTAGCAGGAAGGAAGACTTCTAGAAGGACAGTGGCTCACCGTAGCCAGACACCACAGGAAGAAAAAACAACCAACCAGCTGTGGCCCGTCCCCAACCCATGGCAGGACAAGGCATGAATGGACTGGGATATGATCTGTGCCTCACATGAAAAGGTCTGACATTTTCATTTCTGATTCCAAGAAACAGGGAGAGCTCAGCTTAATTGGGGGTGGGGAGAATAATTATCATTGTATGTCAAAACTGAGATGACCAAATATTTGACTTATGGAACAAAAGTTGTTTTTGTTTCAGAATTTTTTTTATGATTGGAAAGGCAGATATATAAACAGAAAGATTTTCCATCTGCTTCTTCGTTCCCCAAGTGGCCACAACAGATAGGCTGATCCAAAGCCAGAACCAGGAGCTTTTTCTGGGTCTCCCACGTGGATGCGGGGTTCCAAGGTTTTGGGCCATCCTCCACTGCTTTCCCAGGCCACAAGCAGGGAGCTGGATGGGAAGTGGAGCAGCTGGGACACAAACCAGTGCACATATGGAATACTGATGTGTGCAAGGTGAGGATTTAGCCACTGGGCCATCACGCTGGGCCCGGGGCAAAAGTTTTAAAGCTAATGCTTTTATAAATGCTTTGATGAACAATCAGATGCTCTTGAAACACGGAAGAATAAAGATTCACAATAACAGAAAAAATGTGGAATGTAAAGAAGCCAGTGAACTACAAGATGTAACAATAGAAATCACCAAATCTGGATAAGAAGAAGAAAATTGAAATTAGGCAGAACCTCAGGAACTGGGGAGACATAAGTCCACATCTACAATTTCAGTGGAGGCTTTGAAGGAAAATGGAGAGCAAGGCTTAAAAAGCATTCAAAAAATCAAATAATGACTGAGGTGGGTGGTGCTGTAGCATCCGGGCACTGACATCCCATCTGGGTGCCAGTTCGAATCCTAGTTTCTCCACTTCCAACCCAGCTCCCTGCTAATGCACCTGGAAAAACAGCAGAGAATGGCCAAAGTGCTTGAGCTCCTGCATCCACCTGCTGGACCCAGAAGCAGCTTCTGGCTTGGGTCTGGCTCACCCCTGGCCATTTGGGGTGTGAATGAGCAAACAAGCTCTCTAACTCTGCCTTTCACATAAGTATAACTCAAAAAAAAAAAAAACTGAACACTTCTTAGATTTAACAAGCAATAAATCTGTTTGATTCAAAAAGCAGGAAGAAAAACTAAATAGGATAAAACTAAATGTACTATGAGAAACAAAGTTTTAAAACTCTGGCTTCAGGAAATGTCATTAGTTCTCTGGCTGCCCTCAAGACACCTTTCCTAAAGGAGAACAGAACGATAGTTTGTCATCAGAAAATAATGATGCTACAAAGGAGTGGAACAACATTTCTCACATGCTAATGGCAAAGAACTATCACCCTAGAAACTATATACCCAACAAATTATTCTACAGAAATGAAAGGGACATTAGGACATTCTCAGAAGAAAAGTACAAAACAATAATTTCTAAAAAATGAAACCTGAGGGAAGATGTGTGGAAGGACTACCTGTCCCACAGAAGCACGTGGTGCTGTCACTGCAATGTCAGACCATATTTTCTAGTGTTCTGGGTGATAGTATTTCCTTTTCCTTTTTTACCAGCAAGACTTGTTTTTATTTAAAAAGCAGATTTACAGGAGAGAGACAGATCTATCTGCTGGTTCACTCCCCGAGTGACTGCAGTGAGCAGAGATGGGCTGATCTGAAGCCCGGAGCTTTTTCTGGGTTTCCCACATGGGAATATTGTCCCAAGGACTTGGGCCATCCTCTGCTGCTTTCCCAGGTCATTAGCAGAAAGCAGAATCTAAGGTGAAGCAACTGGGACAGACACCAGTGCCCATATGGAATGCTGGCACTTGAAAGTGGAGGATTAGCCTGTTGAGCCACCACACCTGCCCAGGACCTCAGTTCTTTAAGTACAAAATGGAAACAATGGAGGCTATCACAGTGGCTCATGGGGCTAATCCTCTACTTCCAAGAGGCAGCATCTCTTGGGCACCAATTCCTGTCTCATCTGCTATCCTTCCTACCCATCTCCCTGCTTGTGGCATGGGGAAGCAGGAGGAATGCCCACGTCCTTCGGATCCTGCACCCACACGGTGATCCAGGAGAGTCTCCCTCTCCCAGCTTCAGAGCAGCTCGGTTCTGGCACTGGGGCCATTTAGGAAGTGAGCCAGTGGATAGGCGACCTTTGCTGTCCTTCCTTTTCTCTGTAGATGTGCCTTTCAAATAAAAATAAACCCTAGGGGGTAAAAAAGGAAGTAAAGTCCATTTGCTTCATAGACACTTGGGAGGGTATGTGTTAAATGATAAAATGATCAGGACTGCCTGATGCAGGGTAAATGTCCACCAGCATTGGCTTCGGCCTGGTAGATTAGTCTTGCCATTAAGAACTAAAGAAGTGTGTGAGTATAGGCTAAACGCTGAAATTTTGGTCTACTATATAAGCTTCCAAACCACTTTTATCAACACGGTGTCATTTACTGTATGACAGAGGAAGATGCCAGCTAAGCAGTTGCTCCTGCAATTGTCTACTCACAGAGACACCAATTTGAACAGTTATCCATACACCAAATCAATTGCCCAAGACCACAGTATCTGGTTTGGGTGTAACAGTAGGAAAAAATACATTAGCAGGAAAGGGAGTTATCTATGTTATACCCACTCCCTCCCTGCACCCACGTGAGACCCAGAAGATACTCCTGGCTCCCAGCTTTGGTTCAACTCAGCTCTGGCCGTTGCATTTGGGGAGTGCACCAGCGGATGGAAGACCTTCTTTATGTCTCCTCTCTGTAAAACTACCTTTCAAGTAAAAATCTTTTTAAAAAAAATTTAAAATGACTCTGAAAATATCAGGAGATATAACACTATTTTTAAGACAGAATGTTTTAACATTATAATATAGATGTCAATCACTACATACCTTATTTATAGTATTATAAAGACAAAAGTAGTAACCATGTTAATGTGAGGCAGGCAATATAGAAAGACAAAATTGGAAATCAAAAGTTCAAAGAATGGAGAGGAAGGTAGAGAAATTATATAGTACTTTAGTAGCATCTCATTTCTTTCACTTCTCCCCATTTTACAATCAATGCCAAGTTGCTATAGTTTGCAGTTTATAACCAAAAGATATTTTAAGACTCAGAAACCATAAAGCAAAAGTCTATAACTGACTCACCAAAAAATAATGTGACTCAAAACAGTACTAGAGGGAAAAACAAGTTAACCACAAGACAGAGAAAGGAAGTGTAGTTCACTGGAAAACTAAGACCTCAGCCCTCAATAATGACCATGAGTGTAAATGAACTAAAACCCCAATCAGTGTCTTAATGAATTAAAACAAGACTCAACTCAGAAGAAACTCATTTCAGAGCCACATTTGACCTAGCAGTTGAGACCAGTGAGGACACTATTTCCCAAGTCTGGAAGCATGGTTTTGACACACATCTCCAACTGCTGCCTTTTGGTTTCTGCTAAAGCAGGCCTTGGACACCCAGGTGGGAGATCTGGACTGAATTTCCAGTTGGCTTCAGTCTCCGCCCAACCCTGATGAGTACACAACTCGGGGATCATGTTCCTGCTAGTTCATTCCTATCAAATTTTAAAAATTATTTTGAATTCCTTTCTCCTATAAAACTAACCCTAACCCTGAAGGGATGGATGAAGATGTTTTATGCAAATAAAATCCAGAAGAAGTCAGGAGAAACCATACTTAGATTAAATAAAGTCAAAAGCAGTAAAAAGAATAGCCAGCTTTGTGGTACTCTGTTGTGATGCCACTACAATGCCAGCATCCCACACTGCAGTACTGGTTCTACTCCCAGCTGCTCTGTAGTCTAGCTTCCCGCTAATGTACCCAGAAAGCAGCAGATGTCCTAGGCATTCACAGGGAAGACCTAGATGGAGTTCCTGGCTCCTGGTTTCAGCCTGGCCCAGCCCTGCCTGTTGGGGCCATATGGGGAGTGACTAGGGGGAAGGCAGATTCTCTCTAGCAGTGAAAGGAAGAGCTCTTTCTTGGTCCACTGTGCCTTTCAAATAAATAAATGAATCTTAAAAGAGATAAGGATGATCATTATACAAGGATAAAGGATTCAATCCGACAAGAGGAAATTAAATTGTAAACATGCTGTCAGAAGACCAAAATACATAAAGTGAGTATTAGAGACTCATTTCAATATAATTATAATAGAGGACTTCAATGCCCGACTTTGAAAAATGGGCAGAACACCTAAACATAAAATCCACAAACAGCAAAGTTAAATTATACCCTAGATCAGTAGATACCACAGACAAAATATTTCATGCAGTAACTGCAGAATACACAGGCTCTTCAATACATGGGACACTCAAGGATAGATAATGTGGTAGGTCAATATCAAAATTTTTAAAATAAAAATACCTACTTTTTCTAAATACAATGCAGTAACAAACCAATAACAAGAAAAACTTTGACAACTAGATAAATGCATGAAAATAGACTAGTACTTATTAGACAGCTGATCAACTAACAAAGATAATTATTCCTGAACAATCAATGGATCCATCAACTAACAACATTTAAAATGGGGCCCAATGCAGTAGCCTGGTAGCTAAAGTCCTAGCCTTGCATGCACCAGGATCCCATGAGTGCCGGTTCTAATCCCAGTGGCCCCTGCTTCCCATCCAGCTCCCTGCTTGTGGCCTGGGAAAGCAGTGGAAGATGGCCCAAAGACTTGGGACCCTGCACCCAGGAGGCCTGGAAGTAGCTCCTGGCTTCAGATCAGCTCAGCCCTGACCATTGTGGCTACTTAAGGAGTGACTCAGCGGGTCATCCTCTCTGTCTCTCCTCTCTGTATGGCTAATTTTCCAATAAAAATAAAGATCTTTTTTTAAAAAGTTCTTGCAATAATGACAAAACACAACACACCAAAACCTAAGAGCACTACTAGAAGTTTACCAAAAATCAAAAACCAAACAAAATTTCAAGCAGTTTAACACTTCACATAAATGTAAGACTTAAAGCTATGAAAGCAGTAGAGAACAATATGAAAAAAGTTTTGTGGAATTGGCAACTTTCTTTTTTCACCAGATCCCAAAACAGGAAACAAAAGCAAAAGGCAGACAAATGGGATCTCAAACTAAAGGGGTTCTGCAAAGCAAAGAGAAATCTACAGGGTGAAAAGACAGATTACAGGATGGGAAGAAATATTTGCTAGCTGGAAATCCAATAAAAGATTAAATATCCAGAATTTGCTAGGACCTCAACTCAGAGGCAACAATATAAGTAATTCCATTCAACTGCTGGCAGTAAAACTAAAAGTATTTCCTGAAGGCAGATGGCCAGCAAGTGTACACACACACACACACATATCACTAATCAGAAAAGTAAAATGAAGCCCCAATGAGGTCGACCTCATTCCACGAGTATTGGCTGTTATCACAAAAGCAAATGATAATCCACATTGGCAAATGTAGAGAAAAGACAACACTGACTTGCTGTGGGCGGGATGGTTTGTGCAGCGACTGTGGGAAATGGGACAGTGGCTCCTCAAAAACAAAGCAAAACAACAACAAAAAAACCAGAAAACTGAACAACTATATAATCCTGTGTTCACACCACTGGGTTTATACTTAGAGGAAATAAAGAGATCAGCACACCCATGTTTATGAAAGCACTATTCACAAAATAGCTATGAGATGATAAGCGAAGTGACCATCAAGATTTAAAAAGTTGGTACACGCACTCAGTACCACCCAGCCATAAGAAAGAATGAATCTTATCATTTACAGTAGCATGGCTGGAACTGGGGGTGGTTACGTTCCGTGAGATAAGCCAAGCACAGAAAGGCTTGCTCTCACTCATGTGACGTCTGAATAAAGTAGACCTCATATTAGTGACACTACAATGGTGGGTACTAGAGGCTGGGGGAAAAGTTACCTAACAGGTACTAAGCTATAATTAGAAGAAATTGATAACAAATGAGAAGACCTACCTTTTCTTTAAATTTTGCTTCATCCCATGCCTGAAGTTCTATAATGGATTCATTCATCATTTTCTCCTTATACATGTTTATGTTTTCTTTTTCGATTACATCAGCATTGCTAGTCAAAAGCAAGCACTTGCTGCCTCTCGCTCTTCCTCTGCCTGTTAGGAAATACATTTCTTATTTGATGTTTTTGCCTTAAAACTCTGGTCTAATCTGAGTTTAGGTAAACCAAGGATAGAGGTATTTCTAAAATGTAACTTTGGTTCATGGCATTCCACTTGCAGGAAGGAGGTTGGGCTTGCTGAACCTTGGGTGAGCCCTACATGTTAGACATGAGGGTAAATGAGCGCTCACAGCAGCTTGCTCAGGGCCTGCAGGGACACAGTGTAACTGGACAGTCATAGAGACAGAAACTCTGATTCCAATAAGAGCGCAAACCCTCAGCAGTATATCATAAAGGCTCCAAGATAAATAACAGATCCTCCCTCAATAGCCTTTTAGGTAATGCAGAAATGAGATAACACCCACAAACTCCAGAACATAGGTGGGAAAGTCTAAGTTCTTGCAGAGATAACTGTAAAGGGCTGCAACCATTCAAATGAGAGACAACTGGAAGCTGCAGGAATTAGGGCCAGTAAAATGAAGACTAGTAGTACACAAGCAATGCCTTCAGCACACCAGAAATCGAAGATAGACTTGCTGAAATGGATACTGCACAGGGAGAAGGACAGGAAACGAGATTTAAAGGTAAGTCCATGCAATGTTTTGAGAATTCAGCACCAGGCCAGTGTTCTGGTGCAGTACATTAAGCTGCTACCTTAGCACTGCTCTGAGTCCCAGCTGCTTCATTTTCATCTGTTTCCCTGCACATGGACCTGGGAAAGCAGTACTAGGTGGCCCAAATGGTTGGGCTCCTGTCACTCGTGGGAAGCCTAAATAGAGTTCCAGACTCTTGGCTTAAAATTGGCCCAGTTTGGACAACTACAGCCATTTGGGGAGTAAGCCAATAGATGGAAGAGTTCTCCCTCTCTCCCTTTCAAATAAATAAAACTAAAAGAAAATTCAACATCAAGTGAATTGAGGAACTACTAGAGTTTTTATACAAAGAAGCTGAATGACATACTCAAAACTTGCTGGGGAATAGTAATGTGGCAGCTGTTCTCAGGCAAGTTAGAAAAAAGAAAAGGAAGGAGAGACTAGTTAGGACATTGTCTAGTCCAGGTGGAACAGAGAACTCCAAAATATCCCTTCTGGAACACAGGAGCCTGGCAGCACCACAAGCATGACCATAAAAGGGCTACTTGTTGACCTGCAAAGCTTTTCATAGACTTTATGTAAGACAAGTAAGCTGTACCACTAGGAACAAGCATCAAACTAGGGTGTGAGCTATTGGACAAAATTGTTAACAACCACCCATTCTGACCAAATTAGTAAACCTTAGTCACCCCTAGTGATTCCAGAGTTGAGTTTGCCACAGCAACAGCCCAGTAAAGGGCAAAGTGACATACAAATCAGAAAGCAAGCCTGTGTGACTGCAGGGAGGGCAGCCAAGCTTCTCTTACCTCTAGTTTGGATCATTTTGATGACATTGCCCACATACTCATACAGGATGACTAGATTGCACTGAGCAATGTCAATGCCTTCATCAGCAACTGAAGTGGCAATCAAGATATTGTGGTCTCTATTGCTTCCGAATGCTTCCAATACATACTTTTGTGCTGGGAGGGTCATTCCTGTTGTCAGAGCAAAAGGACATTACATGACTCATCAAAGAGGGAACTTTCCCCTTGAAAGAAAACAGCACCTAATTACAGGATGCTTTTTGCATGACAGATATAATTAGTACTTTGTATTTATGATGGCACAACAATCCTGGGCTGTAGAGTCTCGTCCTATGCCTACTTTAAAAATGACATTGGGGGGCCCGGCGCGGTGGCGCAAGTGGTTAAGGTCCTCGCCTAGTACGCCCGGGATCCCATATGGGCGCCGGTTCTAATCCCGGCAGCCCCGCTTCCTTTCTAGCTCCCTGCCTGTGGCCCGGGAGGGCAGTCGAGGACGGCCCAAAGCTTTGGGACCCTGCACCCGTGTGGGAGACCCTGAAGAGGCTCCTGGCTTCGGATCGGCGCAGCACTGGCTGTTGTGGTCGCTTGGGGAGTGAATCATCAGACAGAAGATCTTCCTCTCTGTCTCTCTCTGTATATCCGCCCTTCCAATAAAAAATAATAAAAATAAATCTTTAAAAAAAAAAATGACATTGGGGGTGGCCTCTAACTCCTTGGATTCTGCCACAAGACTGCCTGAGTTTAAATCCCAGCTCCAACACCTACTAGCTATGTAGCTTTAGCAATGTCACCCCTCCAAAAATATTGACTATATGTAGTCTTCTACTGGTTTAGCTTTTCTAGTTGGACCCTTACTGATTCCAAGCCTTATTTAATAATTTAAATGTTGCATATGTTCCTATATGAATGGCATTCTTAACTCACGCAATACCTGTGTCCTGGCTAGTTTTGCCATGTCCAGTCAATATGGCAGGTTTCAGAAAGCCAAGTTGGGAATTTTCCTCAATCCACTTCTTTAAAGCCTAAAAAGGAAAAGCAATTATCATTTGGGCACTACTTGTAAACCCTGTATTATTTTAATATTGCAGAAAGTGACAGTTTCAAGATTGACAAACCTGAGTTCAACTTCTTTGAATTAAATTCCATTCTAATTCACCCTGATGGAATAGATTTTATAACTTGATAGAGTTTAATCTCGAAGTTACACTTTGAGTTAAATTCCAAAACATTGAATGTATAGAATACATGAGCCCAGATTACAGGATACAGTGTCAACCTACACAGATTGTATTTGTAAACACTAGAAATAACCAACTGAAATTTGGAATTTTTAGTTCCATATTTAACAACATCAACATTATTAATATTTGGTATTGTGGTACTTCAAGTTAAGCTGCTACCTGTGAGGCCAGCATCCAACATCAAAGCACTGGTTTAAGGCGCCACCTCTGCTTCCGATCCAGCTCCCTACTGGCTTCAATGCTTGGGCTCTGCCATCCATGTAGACCTGGCTAAAGCTCCAGGCTCCTGGCTTTGGCTTGACCCAGCTCCAGCCATCACAGCCATCTGGGAAGTGAACCAACATGTAAAAAATCTGTCTCTCTCAATCTCTATCTGCCTTTCAAGTAAATATATCTTTTAAAAATTAATATGTAGATTAACTCTGTGAATATTCTCTAACATTGATAAAAAGAAGCCAAAGATAAGGCAGGGAGCTGTTAAGGAAGCCCTCGTGATCTGCAGTTCCTGATTCAATCCCCTACTTTTGAGTGTGAACTGGACCTATTAACCAGCTTCTAGTGAATAAAATACAACTGATAATGATGCTACAGGATTTTCCAGATGAACTTACAAAAATAGCTGCGGTTTACAAATTCAACAGAATCTCCCTCAATCTCTGGGATCACTCTGGGGAAAGCCAGCTGCCCTGTTCCAGGCAGCCCTGGAGACAGCTCACTTGCATGGCCTGCCAACAGCTATGGAGAGTGAGCAGGGAAGCTGATCTTCCTAAGACAAGCCTTGAGCTGACTGCAGCCACAGGCCACAATTTGATTGCAGCCTCGTGAGAGCCCTGAGTCAGAAAATCACAGTTGTTTCCAAGCTTATGACTTCTGGATATTATAACAAATGCCTGTTATCTCCAGACACTAGATTTTGGGGAAATGTGTTACTCAGTGGTACATAAATAATAATGAACCCCTGAATAAATGAGGGATACACTGCTGCCATGAGCAGGAAAATTCAGTGTTGATAAAGATATCACTTTGCCCCAGTTTATCTATGGATTCAATATAACACCAAACAAAATCCCAGCAAGCTTTTTCAAATATGTAGAAAATCTGTATATATTGAATGGTAAAGTAACAAAGCTAAAACAACTTTGTAAAAAAAAAAAAAAGCTGGAAGAATCATGCTATCTCATTTCAAAACAGTATAAAACTGTGGTAGTCAGTGTGGAATGCATGGAAGGATAAACATTTAGATAAATGGAACAGAGAATACAGAAATAGATCCATGCAAATAGAGTCAACTGATTTTTTTTAAAGTTATAAGAGCAATTCAATGAAGAAAGAACAGTCTCAACAACACACAGTGTTGGTGAAACATATTTAAATGTACCAAGGGAAAAAGTGCATTGATACATACCTCACATCTTATACAAAAATTAATTCTGAACAGATTGTATACCTAGATGTGTAATGTAAAATTGCAAAACTTTTAGCAGAACCTTAGATAAGCAAAGCGTTCATAGTTATCTATGATACTACAAGCTAAATCCAGAAAAGAAAAAAAACATGCATTATATAAAAATGTAAAGCTTTTCAATCTTCAAAAGATATATCATTTAATTGTCTATTAAGATATTTAAAACACAACCCAGGGACCAGAAGACAATGACTGCAAATCATACTTCCATCAGAATATAAACAGAACTGTCAAAAAAAATGAACAAGTAAATGATAACCCATTTATAAGTGGGCAATAAAGATTTGAACAGACACCTTACCAAAGGAGATATAAAGATGGCTAACAAGAATATGAAAGATGCTCAACTGGGGCGGGGGCTATAGCTCAGTGTGTTAAGCCACTGTCTACAGAGCCAGCATCTCATATGGGTGCCAGTTCAAGTACTGTCTGCTTAACTTCTGAACTAGCTCCCTACTAATGTATCTGGTAAGCAGGGGAGGCTGGACCACGTGGTGAGACCCCTGCACCCATGTGGGAAAATGAAGCTGCAGGCTCCTGGCCTTGAACTGGCTCAGACTTGGCCATTATCACCATTTGGGGAGTGAACCAGCACATGGAAGATTGACCAATCAATCAATTGGTATCTCTCTCTGCCTTCAAATAAATAAATAAGTCTTGAAAAAAAAGATGCTCAATCACATTAGTCATTAATGAGATTTAAATGAAAACCCCAGTGAAACACCATCAAATGCCCACTGAATGGTTAGAATTCAAAAATTTGACAAAAAGCACAAAAAAGGATGATTTGTTTGATCTACAGGTACTTGTCATCTAGGCTGACTAAGACAATGAGGTGTTGATGCAAGGGAAAACATAGCAATGAGGACACAGAAACAGAACCACATGAGGACCCTGGGCTGCAGAGCAGGAAGGAAAAAGCCATTTCGTCCCTAGGTGGCACTGGGTCAGTTTGTTCTGCAGAAGAAAAGCATGACTCACATCCGCCAGGGCTCTGGTTTTCACAAAGAGAATGGTTTTGGTCTCTGGGTTGAGGTGGTACTCCTCTTGTAAGACGAGGAAGAGTTCTTTGAGTTTAGGGTTCTCATTGCCGGGATCCATGGAAATGCTTTCCAGTTCCTTCACCTTTTCTGTAAGTGGGGAACATTTTACAAACACAAATTCCAAACATTTAGAACATGCAGTAACCCTGATAGTTTAGGTCTCTCTGTCTTTGACTAGAATTTTCTGAGTTATAAATATCAATTTAAATGGATGTGGTTTTCAGGAAAGTCATCGGCAATATCAAAACAAAACACACACATTCTTTGAGGTTCCAACAATTCAACATCTCCAAATTTGAGACATAACTAATTTAAAAAGTAATGAGAGGGCCCAGCGCGATGGCGCAAGTGGTTAAGGTCCTCACCTTGCATGCCCGGGATCCCATATGGGTGCCAGTTCTAATCCCAGCGGCGCCCCCCTGCTTCCCCATCCAGCTCCCTGCCTGTGGCCCGGGAAAGCAGTCGAGGACGGCCCAAAGCTTTGGGAACCTGCACCCGCGTGGGAGACCCGGAAGAGGCTCCTGGCTTCGGATTGGCATAGTATCGGCCGTTGCGCTCACTTGGGAAGTGAATCATTGGACGGAAGATCTTCCTCTCTGTCTCTCCTCTCTGTATATCTGCCTTTCCAATAAAAATTTAAAAATAAATCTTTTTTTAAAAAGTAATGAGAGAGATTTCTAAGGATGTTTTTAAGACTGTGAAAAAAATTAAAAATGGGGACATAATTCAATAGATTATGGGCCATGTTAATCTCTTTTCTCTAGTAGAATTCATCAAGTGCTCATGAAGTATACGATGGCATCATTTTTCCCAAGAGACTTCTGTGTTCCCTTTTCGTCACACATGTGTTGGTTACTCAGTGGCACGTTATTTTGTCAGGCTGATATAATTTGTCGTTGATATTGTTGTTGTTGATGTGGATGTTATGAAATGATGTCAATCCAAAAAACAGTAATATTATTTCAACACCAAACAGCCTGTATCTCATACAATAAGATATTATGAAGTAACCAATGAACCAACAATCGATATGAGTCAGACTGCTTATGATCTACATCAAAGAATTGTAAGGCCCTATGCTACTCAGAAGTGGGGAGGGAGAACAGAGAAATCTTACATCACCCTAGAAGGAGTGAAGAAGACGGGAAGTATAACCTATCAGGATCATAACTGGTAACTCTGAGACAACAGACTCAAATCAGCATTAGACAATAACAAAACTACAAAGGCATGTGGGGGGAATCAGGAGCGATTCTAACAACCTCTTAACAGGAGGTCATATGCACAGAGTGGGGAGACCCCAGAGTAGAGCAGGCGGGCAGGAGGAGGCTTGTGTCCCAACCGTGAAGACTCCCAGATCCTCACCAAGGACACCCTAACTGCCAAGGAGATTATAGGGAAGTGGAGTGCTTCCAGAGGCCGAGAACTCTGAGGTCACCCACCCCCATTTGGATCTACCACATGGGATGAAAGAAGTCCAGATCCTGCCTTGCGGGATTCAAGGTCATCAGAACAACAACCAGGAGCACTGAGCGGTCCGCAGAAACAGAAGAACAAGAACAGTAAACTTCCTTCGGGACTAAGGAGAGGAACTTTCTCTGGTCCTTGCCTGGTTCTGACTTTGGGTCCCCACCCTCTCTCGTAATGACCATCAGGATCGCTCTGGAAACTCCTCAAAACAAACAAAAAAGCAAAAATAAAAAAAAACTAGAATAGAAAGAGAACAAGGAAAGCTTATAAACAGACAAGAAGTGGTCAGCGGGGATGCACTTATAACTCACTAGGCAGGACACAGAGATTAGTTACTCCTCACTAGGGTATTGAAGATTTCTCTGCACACCCCTCCTAAAACTGTTCACCTAAACTGTTGACATATGTCGTTACAGTTATAGAGTTAGACTACCCAAAAAACAGCCAGGTTCGGCAAAATCATGCTTCAACGCTATAAACTGCTAAACACTAAAATTAAAATAGACATGAGACAGCTGAATAGTAATCTATAGCCATTTTAGGTGTATACAACCCAGTTGTATATAAACTAATAATTGAAATGTCAATGTAGAAGTCACAGGATGTGGTTCAGAACTTGCATTCTTTTTTTTTTCTCTCTTTTAACATATTGGTTACTCAATACCATGTCAACTAATTCCATAACGTTATAAATTGTTACTGATGTAATGTTGGGGCTTTTAATTGATTGGGATGATACTCTGTTGGCTCTACCTTCAGACCAGAGATGATCTCCCCAAGAAACTGTTGAACTTATCTAGACAATGAGATGCTGGATTTTATGCTTGGTAGATGCTTGCAATGAAAGAATCTCAACTGAATTTGAACTATGGTAATGCAATAAGGTGGAGGAATCCACCAAGGGGGGCAGAATTGGGGAGCGATGGTGGGAATCCCAATGCCGATACATCTGTGTCACATAATGCAATGTAATCAATTAAATTTTTTTTAAAGATTATGGGCCATGCATTTAAAATTAAAACAATTTGGCCGTTACAATGAATAAGGAATCTAATGCATATGCTGAAATGGAAAAATTTGAAGATTTCATCTTCAAAAACATCTGCTAGATCCAAATCATAACAGATCGTGAGAAGCAATTTAAATTTCTGAGCTTGTGAGCCAGTTTTTCAATAATTAAAAATTTAATTACATAAACTTGTAGTTCAATAACTTAGATTAAAAACAAAGGCAGCAGGTTAGTTTCCATAGCTTCTTCCTCTGACAGCATTACTCACCGTCAAATCTCCGAGTCAGATCTTGTTCTGTCTCATCAAACCCTGCTGTTCGCACATCATTAAAGAAATTGAGCAAGTATTCCAGAGCATCTTTCATTTGGGCATGCTCACTGATAATGAGAGCATCATTGTATTTCTGTGTAAAACAAAAACTGTTTCAGTAGGTTTCTGATGTCTTGCATAGTCACTGTATTCAAGTTCAGTTAGCCGCACTTAACACAGTTACTTTTAAGAAAACTTCAACACTATTCCAACTCAGTTTTAAGATAAGTACCTTCTAAGGGTTCCATGATAAAACCTTTGAATCAAATACTGTTTTGAAAAATCTCAGCCAGAAATGTTGATTTATTACAATCACTTTGGATTCTAGAACTCTACCTAGAAAGAATATGAGTATGTAGAAATTCATGTCAAACATTTAAAAGCAGTAACAAAAGCAAATCAATTTCCACAACTACCTGCCCTCATAATTCAGACTCAAATTCTTCATACATCTGATACCATAACTAATTTCTAAACATATTTTTCTCATAATTGTGGCACTTACAACCTGCATCCAGTTTCAACTGAGCTTATTAAAATACAAATACATGCTAATTGAATGCATGTTAAAATACTTTCAATGGCATAGTAAGCAGAGAAGATGGTTATTCCTGCTACTCCTTAACTTTTTGGATAGCCAGGACTCTAAATTTCTTTAACAAGGGTAAAAAAAACATACACTTCCAGAAATGGCAACAGGATTCACTGACTGAACATTAGACATGGCCACCATTGTCACATACCAGGAGTTACATTTGTCATCATCGCAGTTTCCCTAGCCATGTCAGTCATGCGAGTGCAGGAGGCGCAGCATAGAGTCTGAGCCTTTGGTTCAGTTCTGCATCTTCAGTGTTAAGCTTCAGTAAATAAACTATGATATTAATAGGACAGCTTTCGGAGCTTGCTTTATAAGAACTTTCTGGAAAGTTTCCTAAGTGAGCTCTTGGGAGCAAGAAGAGTTTGTCAGCTGCCACAGTGCAGCCCTTCTGTGACTATCTTTTCAAATAACACACACACACACACACACACACACACACACACACACACAAATAAAAAACATACCCGCAAATGGGAAGTACACAGATACAGTGCTTTACAAATCCTGCTCTCTTCATCTTTGTCTGGCAGTTGAAACACCTTGCAGGCTTTGTGGACTTCAACAATCCACTGTTCGTATTTCTGTGTTCCAAATTCCCTATTCTGGAGTTGACATAAATTTTCTAGGAAGAAAATATATTTTCTTTCAATGGCATAGTAAGCACAGAAGATTTTTTTCCCCACTTCTTACAATTTTACTTTTTATAATAACTACACGGTTGCTTAGGGTAGAATGGATCTAGGTTTAGGAAAAATTGGGTGAACTCATTGTTCCCCAATTTGCCATTTCTTCTTGTTGTTTCTAGGGGAATGGGAGAGACAAAGGAGGAAATCACTGGCTAAGGAAAAGAAAAAGTTTCATTGTGCTGCATTGTTAATCATGAAAAACACATCGGTAATTCTGCAGCATGTTGTTTAACTTGATGTAAATCTTCGTTTTCCTGTCTGGAGCTGTCTCTTCCTCTTGCACATGCTCCCATCTGTCACAAGGCCTTGACCACAGCCAGCACATGCCCTTTCATCTTTCAGCCTCCAAAATTGTGAGCATCTTTTCCTTGCAAGGCACCCAGCCTCAAGTGTTTCACTATATGAAGGAGAAAGACTCATACCACTGGCTCTGCGATCTGCCTGACTCCCCTTCCTGCATTTACAAGGCAGAAGTGCCTGCACTCTCACTAGTCTCTTGGCCTTTATGCAACTGGTGAAGCACGCCTTACCACCTGTCTACCTCCAGCTGCTGCTTCATCATCATCATCTACTTTGGGGTTTACCATTAGACTAGACAGGAGGTATGTCTCGGGGTCCATGTTGTATTCCCATCACCTTGCATCATCGCCTAGCACTGCATGAATGAATGAACACGCTGAAAGAATTGCTCATCAAATAATCCACGTGGGAAGAGAGAACTGGAAAGATAAGTAGAACCTTATGGTTCATGAAGAACCATCAAGTTAGAAGGTTTACAGAGTTTTAAGCAGGCTTTTTACATAACAAAGGCGGTATTTTAAGAAGGCTATCCGGTTACATGGGAAGGAATGGAAGAAAGGACAGACAAGTCTACCTGTGTGAGACCTAACAACCTTGGAAAGAAAAAGGAAAGGAAAGAAGGGAAGACACCATGAAGTGTCCTTTAGACACCACAAATTCAACAGCTCCAAAATTCTAAACTCCTCTTGTGCTTGCTGAAGCTGCTTCCGTCTCTGGCAGGACAGCCTACTGGCAAGCCCCAGGTATCCAAATCAGAAGTGTAGGTGAAGTTACCTCATCTCTGCCCTCCCCATCCCCTTCAAATCCAGCTTTCCATTCAATCTTAGCTCTTCCAGTTGAAGCACCTTGCACATGACTTCTTCCCTTCTCTGACCTGTCTGAACTTCCTGTCTTGCCATTTCCATTAACTGGTAACCTCGCCATATCACTAAACAGTTTAAAACTGTCCCATTGCTTTTACAGTAAAATTTAAGCCCTGGCTGGCACACCAGGTCTTTCCTGTCTACCAATTGTTTCTCTTCTAATTTCAATCCTTCTCACTGTTCACATATTAGGATTATTAAAAAGTGCTTACAGCTTCTAAAACTTCCAGGCTCACTCTCTCCTTTCAACTTCCCTTGATTCTCCACTTGATTTGATTGACTTTTCAAAATTTGTTTCAGGGGCCCAGTGCGGTAGCCTAGTGGCTGAAGTCCTTGCCTTGCACACACCAGGATCCCATATGGGCACCAGCTCTTGCCCTGGCTGTTTCACCTCCCTTCTAGCTCCCTGCTTGTGGCCTAGAAAAGCAGCAGAGGATGGTCCAAAGCCTTGGGACCCTGCACCCATGTGGGAGACCTGCAAGAAGGTCCCAGCCTTTGGATCAGCTCAGCTCTGGCCATTGTGGTCACTTGGGGAGTGAACCAGCAGATAGAAGATCCTTCTCTCTGTAACTTCTCTCTGTAAATCTGCCTTTCCAATAAAAGTAAGTAAATCTTTGTTTCAGGCATTGGCTCCTCCAAAACTTTCCATGCAGCCCAGTCTGGGACAAAGTTCCCACGCACGAGCACGATAAGCAGTGTGTGCCTGCCAAACGCAACCATTTTGCATTAATAACAATCCCATTGTTTCACTATGAGCCTCCTAAGGGTAGGGATTATGTCTTTTTTTTTTTCAAATATACTTGAGTTTATTTTAAAAATTATTTTCCATGATACAGTTTTAGTTATAGGGATTCCTCCTTCCCCATAATCCCCTTCAACAATTTTTTTCCGCTATTGTCACAGTAGTATGGGACTATGTCCTTAATTTTAGTATTTCCTTTGCCTTGCGAAATACTCTGTGAATGGAGAACTACAAAGGGAAGAAGAGAGCACTTCGGGGAAGCAGAGCTTGAGTCTGGCGCCTTAGACCACTCGGCCATCCTGACACCCTGACAGCACTTCGGAAGAATAAAGAATCACAGATCACCTCCCGGGTCTGAACCTGAACCAGGAGAGGAATGGAGACTTCACTCAAACAGGCATCAATGCCACGACAAAAAGCTAATCTAGAATGTATAAGCAATGTTGACTTCATCTAGTATGACTTGATGCTATTTTTCAGCTGTGCACACCCAGATGAATTTACTTTGGATTTTAAAACAAAACAAACAAAAAAGCTGAGAATAGAGAGTGATTTTAAGGATCCTTCTAATCAGGAAAGTCAACCACTGAATATGGCCTTGACATTTTCTGAATTCAGGAGAATGTAAAATGACATTAATTAACAACATAGAGCTATTCCCAAGTGCGGAGAATACAGAATATAGGATTTATTTAACTGAAAATTGGAATGGAACTCACCAAATCCTTCAAAGATACCCTTCGCCTGGCTTTCTGTCTCCCTCATCAGCTGAGACACGACGCATTTAAATCTGTTGGTGCTCCGTGATTCAACTTTCCTGAAAACTAGAACCAAAGGAAAGTTAAATATATTTGGGAAAGAAAACATCATTGTTCAAAGTAAACATCACCAAGCCTTTCTCTGCCATTGTAACTTCCTTTGGAGAACCTGAGGTCCCAAGCTCACGTGCAGGTGATCTGATAAAACAAGAATGCCAAAATACAAGACAACAAATCAAAAGTAGAAATGGCTCCTTGTTGTTTACTGTTCTGATCCTAACATCCTAACGTCTGTTTTTTCCTCACAGTTTAGAGTTGATCTTATTTCTCACTCTGGCTTTCCGGCTACCTTGCCTCTGTACATTAATATTCTCCCTCCCCAACCAAGAGCATTCACATTAATATAATCATTCATGACTGTACGTTTTCAACACAAGTATTAACTGTCTATCATGTTCCCTGTCATGGTGAGACGTCCAAAGCGCACACTGTGTGTGTATGAAGGACTGTTCTTGGAAAGATACATAACCGTGTCGGGGTTTTCTGAGGAAAGTATGTGCAAGGTGTTACAGAATGCCAGGAAAGGAATCTAATTCTTCTGCGGAAGGTGGTGCCGCGGCACACGTAAGAAGCAAGCAGAAAGCGGTGTCACTGACAGCCAGAGGAAAGCAGAGGATGTGTGGGAGGAGCCCAGGGGAATGTAACACAATTACGCTTACAAGATCAGAGACAGAAAGCTCAGAGTGACCGCACCATGGGATACCCCAAAGAGAACACAAAGAAAGCTTGGGTACTTTCTCTAATTCTTTACAGACAGTTCCCCAATTCCCCCAAACAAGCTTAACTGTACCCTTCCCTCCTCCTTGGGCATTTATTCTACTGTAAGTCACCTGCTGCTCGGAGAGCAGGATGCACACATCTTCTGACCCTTTGTCCTTCCCAGGATCGATCTTACTTTTAAAAATCATATCCTGAGACAAGGCTTGATGAACACAGATATTGCTATTTCAGTTGTGATTTTCAGAAATTCAGACACCAGTGACTACAAAGCATCTTCCTCAGACCCAGAGCACAGGGAAGCACTGAGCCAGTCCTTGCTTATCTGCATGGCTAACTTTACTCAGCACCTCTTCACGACAGGTGCTGAAGAGAACTTAAGAATAAGGACGGATTGTTCATTACAGGCCACTTCTGAAGTTTACCCATTGCCTGAGAAGTGAGTTCAGTTAGAAGGCGAGACCGAACATGTGACTACTTGCCAAGTTTGGGTTAAATATTTTCTGTTAATTAGAGAAAAGGTCAAAATGTAGTGCTCCTCTAACTGGCTCTAGATGAGGGATTGGCAAGAATCAGATACTCCAAGGCCTTGTTACTGGATCCCGCTTACTTTTCTGGGGTGTATAAACAACTTGCTGCAGCTCCTCCAGGTTCTCTTTGACCGTTGCTATCACAGAGGCATCGAGACAGGCACACAGCCTGCAGATATGTTCCACAGCTTCAGCTGTGTTTTTGGCGTCCCCCACACCGACAGAGGCCGTCATTCCAATGACCTATAAGGAACATTCCAAGTTATCTGATGTCTGAGAAACAGGGTGAGTCTCTACGGCCCCAGGAGGAATTCTTCCCTGGTGGAATAGGCTTTCTGTTTTTCTCTCTGTTTCTTTTTCACTACCTTCAGATAGAAGCACACTGGGTTTCCCCTGGCATTCTCAGTGAAAATAAAAATGGAAAAAATCTTCACTAGGCAAAGTACCAAGTGCAGGAGTCACAACTTCTCAGCTAAACACGGGTCAGTACAGAAACAGACAGGAAACCCATCCACGCAGCACTACTCTTTTCGTAACTGTTGCATCCTTCATGTCGTGGAAAACACATGAAAGGGAAAAAGACTAACAACAGGCACATTTTCAGTGTGTTTCAGCCACATCATACTGGCCGAATGTCCTCGGATATTTATCTTTAGCTCTCCATAAAGTCGGGAAACAATCAGTATTTAAAAATGGTAGCTATGGGCCCAGCACTGTAGCCTAGTGGCTAAAGTCCTTGCCTTGCATGGGCCAAGATCCCATATAGGTGCTGCTTTGTGTCCCAGATGCTTCACTTCCCATCCAGCTCCCTGCTTGTGGTCTGAGAAAGCAGTCAAGGACAGCCCAAGTCCTTGGGCCCCTGCACCCACGTGGGAAAGGTAGAGGAAGCTCTCTCGGCTTTGCCATCTGGCGAGTGAACTGGTGGATGGAAGACCTCTTTCTCTCTCCCACAACTCCAACCTCTGTAGCTATGCCTTTCAAATAAATAAAATAAATCTTTAAAGTAAAAAGAAACACATTTCTAAAGACTGAGTATAATGGTCACCTAATAAATATTAATTTCTTCCACCAATAACCATGCAATAATAACTGAATAACCGACTCACCAGCAAATAAACTAGTTTACATCAATTTTATTCTGAAAGAAAAAAAATAAAAGATATGATTGTTCCCTCCCCTTTTTGGATCTACTGGCACCATACTGAGTTCCTTCTAAACTGCCTCTCCTAAACTGGGAATTATTAGGCCTGGAGAGCTGAATACATGTGCAGGTTGGCATCCCTTAAATTCTTGATTTCCAATTTCATTTGGATCCCCAATATAATGAAACAATCTTCAGTGTATTCTTCTCTGTTCTTCCTGTCATTTCAACCCCTCTCCATCCTCCCCCAAACTTTCCACCCCTTTTCCATATTGACAGTTCTCAGCAATTCATCTACTTTTTCTATTTTTAAGAGAAGAAGGGAGTTACACACCAGAGATTCTCTGCCCATCCAAGAACAGGTCTCTTGAGTGATTCTGCCTGCCTCTTCTCAGGTGACACCAAAGACGATTTTCCTCCTTGCTTTTCATACCAATTCATTTACTTGCCTACATCTACCATGCTGTCTGGTGTCACCAGGCATCTCTGTCTATCAATCATTCCCTTGTCCCATTTCATCTCCTTCCTCATGCTCTGGCCTCAAATATGGAGCACAGCACACTCTGGTACCTTTGTGCCTCTAGACAACCAGCACCCTCTTACTAAAAAGCATCCAGCTGTCCACCTGGACCACTCCATGTAGGTCCTTAGTTTGGGTCTAAGCTAGCACCTACTATATGGTGGCCCACTTTCACTGAACACACAGGAATGCTTTCATTCATGTTCTGATCACCCTCGTGTCAAGCTACCACAGTATGCTTGTAGCATAATTCTTACATATCTGACTTGCTAGGAAACTAATGCTACGTAACAAAGAAGATTATGTCTTTTCATACATGTATCCCCAATGCTTAGCATGGTTCTAGACACATGGAGGCACACAATACAGTCAGTCCTCCACACCCACAGATTCAACCAAATGCTTGAAAATATTAAAAACAAAATGTATCTCCACTGGAACACGTGTGAACTTTTACCCCTATTACACCCTAAACAATCCTGTGTAACAGCCACTTCCAAAACATTTGCATTGTGTAATCAGTAGTTCAGAAATAAATTAAATAAAATGGAAGGATGTATACAGGTTATATGTAGATATATACCCCACTTTATATCTTTAGCATGCAGCTATTTCAGCATCTGTGCAGTGTCCTAGAACCAATCTCCCAGGAATAATGAGGAACAACAGCATGTTAACTGAACACATGAATTAATCAAAATTGATCAACAAGTTGTCAAATGACTTAGGAGCTGGAAAAGACCACAGGAGTGTGGCCTTTATGGCCACAGGAGTAAGTGAACAGGATTTAGAGAGATTATTCCTCTCCCAGGGAGTTCTGGCTGTGGAGATACCTGAGGCAAGAGTTCTGAAGATCCTCCCAGCTTCTGATCCAGATAATAGAACATGATCTTATTGTACGGATGCTGTTTACGAGTGTTGTGGCATTCATCAAATATCATCAAAGTAAAGACAGAGAGTGATGGAATAGTTCCATCTTTCAGATTGTTCACAAGGATCTGGGGTGTTAAAATAATGATGTCATTGTTCTCCACAACCTGTTTCACAGGAACGTTCTCAGCTGTTGCTCCAGAAATACCTGTCACACTGTACCTGGAAAAGAATCAAAACCCCCTATTACCAACTGTAACATGAATGGGAAGCAGAAATCTAAGTGAACTTAACTGAGTAATGCTCGTAGGTCCAAAAGGAATACGTTTGCAGACAAGTTCGTTGTTCTAAGCCTGACATAGCAAATAATCAATAAATGCAAGGTAGTTTACAGTAGTATATCTTCACTCTTTCAAGTCACTAACAGCACAAACAGTAGACCAAAGAGGATTATCACATTATAAAAATCACTAAAAAAGATAAATGTGATATTTAAATGTCAAATTAGTGTGGGTGTTCGAGTTAAGATACACATGCTCTATATAAAAGTACTTGGGTTTATTATCTGTTAAATCACTTATTTTTACCATAAAAGTAAACTAGAAGGGTTTAGAATTTTTAGTATGTCTAACAAAAAAAATTAAGACTTAATTGTATTAGGAATTATACATAATTGATATAAATGCCAACTCTTATAAAATTATTTTAATCATGACTTAAAAAAAACAAAGCAGAAGCACAGGCATTACACAAAGCTAGAGAAAAAGAACATTGGAGCAATTGTTATACCTACCCAAGCTTTTCAAAATATTCTGAGAACACAGATTTCTGCTGTTCATACACAGGGACATGATTAGCAAAAAAAACTACTTTCCCTTTTCGTCCTTGAGGAAGTGTTTTAAGGTGATGTTCACATATAAGAAGTGAAACAAAGGTTTTTCCACAACCTTTCAACACAGGGAAAGAAGAAAACATGTAACTAACATTAGATCTGTCTTTTTGACTCCTCTAATACCATTGAACTAACCAGAAACTGGTCATTTACATGAGCTAGTAATTGCAGAATTGTAACTGAAAAAAGAAAGAAAATTAAGCTACTTCCTAGGTAACATGCACTCAAATAGGACCAAAAGCAAACCAAAATAAGGCATTTCTCCTCTTAGGTGGAGACTTCTTATAGTCCCTTTTGTCAAAAGACAAAAGCGACAGGAATGAGCTGGCCCATTTTGTCACAGTATTCAACAAAAGAGAAAAAAACAAACAAACTATGTAATATCAATTGGTTTACCAGTAGGTGCACATATTATCGTGTTTTTTCCATTCATAGCTGGAGAAGCAAGCTCTAGTTGGTAATTTCTTGGTTTCAACTGGCTGCACAACTTAGCCAAAGATACTTCTGTAAAGCAAATGGAACAAAATTACTGAATAGATACTGCTCCAAGAAATCACAGCAAGAGCTGTAATCCAACGGATATGAATTCTCACTGTGGCAAGGGAAACTTTTTTCATAAAGATAAACTTAGCTGGCCTTACTTAAAAGAAACATAAGGGTCTTAACATGTCAGATACATTTAAAGTAACTTACAGTCATTGATTTTATTCTAGAATGATCCTCCCCCAAGGGGCGGGAGGAACTTGCATTGTTTACTTGTAGAAGTAGCCCATAAATTTTTTTTCTATGAATTATCCTAAAATCATATTTTTTCTAAATGCTAAGCATTATTAATCCTAACTTCCAATATTTACCAATATTTATAAGGAACTGTTTATATGGCATACTGTGTAAATCTCTAGTTATGGAAATATGCTTCCAGAAATATTAGGGGGCCTTTTAGGACCACAGTGACCTTATACAAGAGCCCCTCTGTGTGTATGAGAAGTGAAGCTCCTTAGAGCATGCAAGTCTTTGGCAAACCGCACACCCTCTGTGACCCTTAGGCCTAGCACACGTGCGCAGTGCAACACCCTCACCCACTTGAATGGCACCTAGGATCTTAATAAAGGAAATTGCATACTAGCTCACAATTAATACAAGTATCTCTTTAGAAAGGAAGGTTGATTTAAAATTTTACACACACTTCTGGTGGGACTCATTGCATTTATCACAGAGACATGCACATACTTTTAGTAATAAAAGGTTTTTCCAGGACAGGGAGCAGCTATGGAAAAAGAATGGCAATTAGAATTCTAGAAAAGTCTCTATTTTTAAATTTTCTTTTCTTCCTTAGTCTTCTTTAAAAAAAAAAAGCTTTTCACAAGACTGTGACTTTGGGCATTGCCAAGAGAGTTTCTACATAAAATACCAGAGGAGCACTGTTATGGAAAAGAACGAACACCGCCAGTACCTGCAGGGAGACAGGAATTCTGACTGAGATTCTGGCATTCTGGCTCTTCCCGGTAGACAATATGGATGCTGGAAGTTCCCACGTAATCCTCCTCAAGATATTCAGTTTCGACACCTTTTGCATCTTCGTGAAATCAGAAAAACATTTCAGAACCTTAACATAATCTGAGCATAGTTCGATGGTGAACACCCCACAAAAAATAATTATTAAAATTCCAACCTTCCATTAATAATTCTGACAACCAACCCCCATTCGCTCTTAAATAACTTGAGTTTTATTTCCCTTTAGAGTTTGAACTTCAAAGTTATTCAGGATTGTATAATTCAAAGTGTGGAATGGGGATCAGCAACTTTGGGAATGTGTTATACTTGAGTTTCAAGATTCATTTTAACAAGACTTTCATTGAACACAAATAAGAATCATTTTAACAAGACTCCAAAATATTTATATGCATATTATATCTACATGAGAACAGCCTCCTCATTTAGCAGACACTTGTATCTTCTATGTCTGACCCACCCTTAACCCAAAAAATCAGATATGTTTTTATAGACAGTTTAAGAAGCTTAAACAAAGCTAAACTTGGATTATTTCAAAATTAGCCTTTAAATAATGCTTTGAGATGTTAGCTTCAAGATGCCAAATGATGACCCACATAATCAAACTGTCTCCTCTTATCAAGAGAACTAGGCAATGGCTAACATGATTCAACTTTGAAAAGGAAGTAAATCTTAGAACTTGAAATTGTAATTCTAGAATTCCCAAGGTATTTTTTAGATAATCTATGCCAGGATGAAGATTAGACTTTATCTTCTTCAAATTCGATGGGGAAGATGGCTTATGTTGGATGAGAGCAATTTGTCCTGGTACATTTTTAGAGATCATACGCAACCAAACAAATTCTGTAGGCAAGTAGCTACACTCCCTCCTACAACTAGACTTCATGCTGGTCTCTCCCTGGAGATGCATTCCCAGGTATCAAACGGAAAAACACCTCTGCTGGTAAGCGAAAATACACAGAATGAGGGAGCTCAAAGCACAGCCAGGAGGAGGACACTGCTCACCATCTATAAGTTCTTTCTCAGAATAACCTACCTTCCTCTGCCATCCAAAGTTTACTGAACTCATTGTCACCATACTCCAAAGCAAGTTTTAAAGTTTTGGGCCAGTTTTCCTTGTCTGATCTGGTAAGGCATTCAACCAGTTTCTCTGCACCTGCCATCTTCCCCCTATTGGTGCAAACCTAAGCAAGGCAAAGGCAGTCTATTGATCAATTATTTCAATAGTTTTTCTTGCATGGTATTTCAATAGCAAAATGTCAATTCAAGTACTACCTGATTTAAAATCACCACACAATACAGTACATTACCATTTTCCCTCACATTCATCAATCTTTTAAAGCACTCTTTCCTTTATCCTTATCCTTTAAACACTTGTATCATTATGTCAAGCCAAGCTTTCTTACTGTCCCTGAGCTCTTATTCCTTTCATTACCAGCAATATTAGGAAAAGAATTACTCCATTTGACAACCATTCACAATATGAAGATACTGGCACAAACTAAAATGCAGACAGATATAACAAAATATAACATGACATGACTTTTTAGAGTAGAGAGATTTACATGGTCTCAGTATTGATAAGAAGGGAATGCATTATGAATATATTATTGATAGACCAGGCATACGTAAATACTTAAAAAATATCAGCACTTCTACTATTCTCCCATCTTATGCATATCAAAAAATGGTAAGAAAAGCTAAAGTAACTTAAAATTATCATACATTAATAAATGGTTAAGCCAAGACTCTAAAAATGATTCTGTATCTACAGCCTAACTACTTAACTGTTAGTCTCAGCCTTTTAGTCTTTGTTTACTGAGCTGTTTCATTTTATTTCAATTTGCAAAAATTATTCAAATAATTTTAAGTGAAAATACAGAAAAATTTGAAAAGTAACACTGACAAAGATTAGTTCACATTAAAAGTACTATTCTAGGTAATTATGCATTATATAATAAGGATTTTTGTGGGTTTCAATGATCTTTCTCGCCTTAAACAGTGGAAACAGACACAAGATACTCTCATGTTCAAACTACTCCCCCTCATTTTAATGTTGTGCATGAACATACCTGCATGATTTCTTCATATTCCTGTTTAATTATGCAGTCAGATATTTCGGGAAGGATTTCTATTGGATCAATCTTGTCTTTAAATAATGGTTGTAAACGTTTTAAAAGTGATCTATGCTGTTCTAACTGTTCAATTTTTTTGAAATTCCAATTTACAATGGCTTCATGAAGTCCAGAATAACCTGAAAAGAAGAAAATAGGGAGTTAGATGAGCTAAACTAAATCTTAAAAATACATTGAAACTATTATCAGAGAAATTACATTCAAGTGTATAGAGAAGTAACTCAAGAAACTGGAACATTACCTTAATTTTTGAAAAAGGAAACAATATTCGTTTAAGGCACAAACACTTGAATTCTCCTAGCAATGACTGCTATCTTTAAGACAAACCGTCAATAACATATTTGAAGTTGTACATCTGCTTTGACCATAAAATTTTCCTTCCAAAGTGACCTTATAAACTTTGCCCATAACCCATGGTATGTCTAAATGAGTCAAATCCAACATGTTTAATTCTTAGTTCCCAGGAAAACAACTAAGAAAGCAAAGGAAAAGGGAAATTTTAAAGTGTACAACTTTTTAACATTATTTCAAGAAAAGAATAGTAACTAAATGGGAAACTTAATGAGGAAAAAGTAACTTCCAACTGGAACAATCCAGGAATATTTTGCTCTAAGGATATCTAACAGAATTGCAATCTTGCGCAACCAGAAGCTCACACTCTCTTCATTAGTACAGTAAGAGAATGGATTTTATTCCTATGTGCCTAAGTACCTAAGGCCATCTTAAAGAAGCTGCTGTGTGCAGAAATGGCTTTGAGAGGAGGTATTTTGAATTCTGTTGAGAGATATCTAATCCCCTTAATGCATATAGGTATAAATGAGCAAGCAATGAGTTAGAGACCAAGCTCAGCAAAGTGTATTACTAATATGCTAATGACATGAACTGTATGCCATCATGGTGCGGAGTTGTGGTATAGCAAGTAGAGCTGCTGCCTGCAATGTTGGCAGTTGATATGAATATAGGTTCACAACCTGTTTGTTCCACTTTAGACCCAGTTTCCTGTTAATGGCCTAGGAAAAGCAGAAGCTGCCCCTGCCACTCATGTGGGAAATAGAACATCTTGATAAGACCAATAACAAGTACTGAGATTAAATCAGTTACAAAAGCTCTCCCACCAAAGAAAAGGCAAGGACTTTACTGCTGGACTATATCAAATATCATGTAAGATCATGTTATCTGCAAAAATTGAATCAATAATTTGTTAGACCTAAGAAATAAATTCAGCAAAGTTGTAACAAATGAACATACAAATCTCAATAGTGTTGGAACAAATAGTGAATATTCTGAAAAAGAAAGAAGCAATCTATACCCAAAAGCTACCATAAAACAAACAAAAAACCAAACCCATTAAAACAGATTTTTAATGAAAGACAAAACTATGAAACATTCAAGAATTAATACCTTTAAAAGATACATACAATCCAGAGTGACTCACAGATTCAGTGAGATCCTATCAAAAGTATTAATGACATTTTTTACAAAATTAGGGGGAAAAAAACACTATGAAAATGTGGATGCGATGTCAAATAGCCAAATGAATCTTGAGCACAAAGATTAATCTGCCCTTGTATATGTTGTAAAGCTACAGAAAATAAGACAGTATATATTGTCACTAAAAGAACAACATATCAAAAAAGAGAGAGAGAGAACATATTGAAAGGAAATGAAATCTGAATTCAAGAAAGTGGCCTGCAACCCTATATTTACAGCAATATAAATCACAATAGTAAAGATATGGAATCAACTCAAATGTCCACCAACAGAGGAATGGATAAAGAAACTGAGGTACATCTACTCCATGGAATACTACTCAACCACAAAGAGGAATGAAATCTTGCCATTTGCAACAAAATGGTCCCAGCTAGAAATCATGATGCTTTATGAAGTAAGCCAGTCACAGGAGAAAAATAGCATATGTTCTCTCTGATATAAGATAACCAATTACCTCAACTTCTGAATAAAAGACTCGCAATGAAATTTGTAAATATTCCTCTAAAATACAATATGAAGTTTTCTACCTTTGCCTTACTTATTATGTCATGATATATTTAAATGTCAGAAAGTTAAACTTTTAACTTGTACTAAGGAATTAAACTATGTGATAACACAGGGAAAAATGGCATGAGAGGAATATGGGGGGAAGAAAGACAGGGAGGGATGAATCCTATACCTACAAAAATGCATTGTGAAAAGCAACAATGAAAACAAAAAACAAGTACATAGATCAGTTTAATAGAAAATAGTCTAAAAGCAAACACATGCATCTGCAGCAAACTAATTTTTGACCAAAGTACTAAGAACACACACTGAAGAAAGGACTTTCAATGAAGAAAGTCTTTTCAATGAGTTGTGTTTGGAAAACTGCAGAAAAATGAAATGAGACCCCATACCTTTCACTATGCACAAAGCTCAACTTAAAATAGACCAAATACCTAAACATAAGACAATAATCTTTGACAGTACTACAAGGAAACATACAGACAAGGGAAAACACTTCAGGATATTGGAATGGGCAAGGATTTTTGGATCATATCCCAAAAGCACAGTTAACAAAAGCAAAAACAGACAAATGAGATTTTATCAAACTAAAGAGTGTCTGTACAGCAGATGGGGAAAAAAAGAGTGAAGATGACATACAAAATTGAAGAACATGCTTGCAAAATTTACATCTGATTAAAGACTAGAAATCATAATAAACTCAATTCTGTAGGAAAAAAAGTATATAGCCAGATTTCAATAGACATTTCTCAAAGAAAAACAATGGCCAACAGACACGTGGAAAAAAAAAATATTTGACATCACTAGTCATCAGGGAGATGAAACTCAAAACATCAATGAGCTGTCCTCTCACACTGATTCTACTGGCTTAAATAAATCAAAACCAAAACTTAAAAGGTAACAAGTGCCGACATGGACATGGAGAAAAGAAAACCTTTGCATTTTGTTGGTAGCAATTATTTAAGTCATTGTGGAAAACAATGTGGCAGTTTCTCAAAAAACTAGAACAGAACTGCCATAGGATGAAGCAATCCCATTATGGAAATACAACCAAGAGAAATGACATGGGTGCCAAAGAGGCACCTGCATTCCTGCATCTGTTCCAGCACCATACACATTAGCCAAGAGATGCAAACCTAAGCGTCCACCCACTACAAACGGACAAGGAAAACATAATACATAAATTCAAGAAAAGAAAAAATAACAAAATAACAAAATCTTGTCACTTGCAACAACAAAAGTAGAGATCACTATGCTATGTAAAGGAGCCAAGCACAGAAAGACAAGTATTCTGACTCATATGAAATCTAAAAAAAGCTTATCTCATAGAAATTAAAAATATTCTGGAGGCTACTGAAGGCTAGAAGAGGACAAAGGAGCAGTCATGGGAAAGGTCAATTAATGGGTACTGCCTTACTTAGATAGGAGCAGGAAGCTCCACCATAGGAGGAAGTATGGGTAACATACTATACATTTTTCTAAGGAAAAAAATATATATCTTCTTTTTTTTTTTTTACCACAAAGAAATGTGCTCACTGAAGAAGCATGGAGAATGTTTATTAAATTTTATTAAATCCCAGCTGTAGGCAACTGCCTAGTTTGTGCTGTACCTAGGCAAGTGCCACACTGCTGCAAGAAGGGCAGTCACGAGCTGGTGGGCATCCTGGGATGGCCTGGTTCATGCCAGATTTGTGTTAATACCAGTGTGCCAGCATAGTTGCCTATTCTATTTCTATTTCTATTTCTATTTCTCTCTCTTTTAAGATATTGGCATGCCAGCAGACAGAATCTGGAGACTCACACTCATGTGCATGGCCCTGCTAGAGCAAGCAGGACCCCAGACTGGCAGAGCACACTGCCAGATGACTGGCCTTGGGGATCTGCGCACTCACAGCCATGGGGGCTGTGGACTGAACAGGGAAGCAGTTCTGAAGACGAGTGGGAAGGAGGACTGCCGAGGGAGAATGTGACAGGTGGGGAGTAACTTCCACCAATTGAGCTATTACACTTACAGATAAACAAGGGGGCTGAGACCAGGTGATTTAGAGGAGAGAAACCAGAGGATCTGAGGCCAAACTAATACATCCACTCATGTGGGAGATCTGAGCTGGGCTAGTTGGTACAGACCACCACCTACCAACACACAAAAGCTTTGGCTAGGGGGCCTTCGTGGCAGGGCTTGACCATAGTACCCACCAGTGAGTGTCAGGACAGAGCGTGGACCATTTAGACTGGGCCATGACACTAACCAGCTCACAAGAGAACTAGGTCTGGAAGCAGATTCTGTTGGGAGAGGATCATGGACTCACTCCTGTGGGACTGCCATGCCAGATGGTTTGCTTAAGGGCTGGGGTGGTGGTGGGCTAAGCTAGGCATGACCATGGAACTCACCAACATTCATGGGTACTACAGTTGGTAACAGGCCAGGCTGATCTAGGACACAGCATCGATACTCGCATCTAAGAATTGGGCATGGGGCAGGCCAGGCCGCAACATCTGCCAGCATACACAAAGGCTGACACTCAGGGCAGACTGTATCAGGTAAGGGTCTAGCACCTCCTGGTGTCCGTGCAGTAGGTGTTAATGACACGAAGGTGTGAAGAGAACAGCTCCCCTGCTTGGCAGGGCCTGGGGGAGCTTACAGCTGTTTGGCAGGGCCCGGCGGATTTCTCTCTGACCACCTTGATGCAGTCTCACCCCCTGTTTGCATGGACACTCAACCACCCCACTAAGAATTCTGCAATCTATTAGGCATAGTTTGCCCCTGTGAGATGGCTTTTACAACCAACATGAGCTTAAAAGTTAATGTTACTGATAATGTCTTGGTGAGTGGGCCTTTAACTGCGCACAGGAGTACAATTAAGCCCATGCTGTTTCCAGACACCTTATTGTGTGCCTACCCATTGCTCTGAGACCTGGCCCAAATATTTAGCATACTTTCTGGGAAATGGCCTGATAAGAGTTTCACAAACTAATGGAAGTGATGGGAGTATGGGTTGAAATTGCTATGACAAAAAATATAGCTATCCTGTTACTGGGACCCTAAAGGTTATCCTATTATAATTACTGTGACCCCAAAAGGCCATCCTGCTATAGCAAAAATATAGTTACTGTGACCCTAAAGGCTATCCTGCTATGGCAAAATATAGCTACTGTGACCTTAAAGGTTAGCCTGTCCTTGCAACTCTCAACTCTTTAGAACATAGTAAATGTAGTTGCTTTGGCTGCCTTCATAATTTTTAACTAGAGGAAATAGGGTGACTTTACTAACATCATGTATACTTTTGATTATTGTTTGATCATTTATGAGGTTGTAGAGCCTACAATTGTAGAGGGATTTAATGTTTGAAACTTTTGTCTTAGATTTTTATATTTTTTCTCTTTTGATGTATTTCTCTCATTAAGTGATGGATAAGTTATAGAATAAGAATTGTAGTAGGAATGTATTACTGAATAAGATGTGTCGTCTACTGAGAAAATGTTGGCTGCAACATCAGAATGGATAATGTCCTGTCTTAAGGTGAAACTATCTGTAGAGTTGTCTTTGGAAACATTTACTTGCCCATTGTAGAGCAGAAACCTAAATGGAGTAAACATGGCTCATTGCTAATTGCAGTTCCTTCCGTCGTTGTAACTCTTGCTTAGTTAGCAAACTGTGTGGGCCTGCAGACCTAATGACCTTTGGTGCCAATACCCTAATCCCCATAAACCAAGTTCTCAGCCCTTTTCCCATGCATAATTCAAGGTAGGGGTCTGGTTGTCACAGACAGCGCCAAGGAGGGGACCCAGACTTGAGGGAAGTAAGTAGGGGCTGGCAAGCCGAGATAAGCAAAGAATGTGGGGTTCTCCCTCACTCGCCTCTCAAGCAGTTGTAAATTGTGCCCCCCTTGAAGCTATGTCAAAATGCCCTAAAAAAGACTGTGTACTGCTTCTGTATAAATAAAGCGGACAGCTTTCTCGCGTGGTCCACAATGATGTTGGAATTGTAGTGGTCTGTCTCTTCTTTCTACGCCTACTTCACGCACCCTTCTCGAGCTCCGAACTCAGCTGGAGCTGGACTCCGGCAAGCACCCACTGGCATGCATGAGATCTGGGTCTGGGGGTGGGCCTGGTGTGCAAAAGTAGGGAACTCCCCTGTTGGGCTGTTGCTCCCACTGGTGAGCACATTAAGTCAGGGCTGGGTGTTGGTCAGGTTGGGCAAGGCTGCCTCACTTGTCAGCAGGTATATGGGTTGGCTCTGAGGGGGCAGACTGGGCAGGGCCAGGCCAAACAAGAGCACACTGACATGCACAGGAGCCAGATGGAGTGTGGGCAATGCCAGGCTAGGATAGGCTATCACACCTACCCATGAGAGCCAGGGCTAGGGGCAGGCTGGGCAGAGCTAAGCTGCAGCACTCACCAGCAAGACGTGGGACTTGGGGAGGACCAAGCTGGACCAGAACAGGCTACGGCAGCTGATAGCAAAGGCCAAATCAGGGAATGAGTTATGCCACGCTGGGTAGGAGCAACCACCAGCATGCACAAGATCAGTGGCTGGGAGCGAGCATGGTCAGGAAGCTAAGGGCACTCCCCGGCTGCCCTGTGGCTCCCACTCGTGAGTGCAATAACCAGAATGAGGGAGGTGAACTGGGCTGGACATGGCTATAGTATCTTCAGCATGCGTGTGCACTGGATCTGGAGTGTGCCAAGCTGGGCAGGCTCCAGAACTCATTGGTGCTTGAAAGAGCCAGAATGGGTATAGGACAGGATTGGCTAACTCTCTGAACTTGCTGAACCATGGGAGTACTGGATCTGGGGGTGGACCAGGCATAGTTGGGCTGTAATGACCAATAGTAAGAGTCTGAATGGATATGGGCAGGTTAGGCAAGGCTGCTGTACCTGCTAGGAAAAGAGGTGGACCAAATCAGGCTGGGCCAAAGACCCACTGGGAGGAGAGCTGACAGAGCAGCTTGGAACTCCTCTCCTAGGACACAGTCCCTGCAGGTGAGCACAAAAACATGACTGGGAGCAGTCCAGACCAAGTCAGGTTATAATATTCACCAGCATATGTGTGGGTCAGGTCTGGGGATGAGCAAGGCTGGGCCAGTTCACATCACTGACTGGCAGATGTGAGAATCAGGACAGCGTGCAGGACAGGCCAGATTGGGCCACAACACCAGCTCATATTAGGAACGGGATTGAGGGCAGGCTGGCTGGACTGGGCTAGGCTGTAGTATCCACCATCATGAGCTAGAACTGGGGATTAGCTGGGCAATGTAGGCTAGCCTATCCCCAGTTGCCTAGTTGAGATGAACCATAGCAGTCTGGGTCACAGCTCCCACCAGCACACCTAAGAGGGATGGGGTCAAGCTCAGTAGGGGAGCTGTGAGGACTCCCCTGTTGAGTTACTGTTCCCACTGGAGAGTGCAAGAGCTGGTACTAGGGGAAGACCAGGCTGGGCAGGATTACAAAGCCTGTTGGACTGCATGTGAGCTGGGTTAAGGGAAGAGCCAGGCTGGGCTAAGTGATCTATCCACTGGTACATGTATGAGCCAAAGTAAATGCATGCTGGTTGGGTTTTGCCACAGCATTGGCCAGCAGGTGTTGGAACTGGGGGCAAGTTCTGTCAGGTTAGACAATAGAACCACCTGGAAAGTACTATATCCAGGCCGGGCTGGACAGGCTGTAACATAAGCCAGTATGAGTATGAGGTGGATAGTGAAGTTGGCTTGGCTGAGCTAGGCTCCAATATCAATTGATGTGCACAAGAGCCAGACGGGATCTGAAAAAAACTGGACCAGTCTATTGTACATACCAGCATGTGCAAGTATAGAGGCTTGTGGTGAGCATAGTGGGATTATTGAGGGTCACTTCAACTAGGCTACAGTTCCCACTGGCATGTGTAAGGGCCAAGTGCATGGTGGGTAGGTTTAGGCTGGGCCACAGCATCCATTGATTTGGTTATAAGATGGGGGTGAGGACAGATCTGACCAGGTAACTGTAACCACCACTGTATGTATAGGCTGATGTGGATGATGGACTGGGCTGGACTCCACACTGGCTGGCACACACAGGAGTCAGGTTGGGGTAACCTCTGGTAAGGTTTGTTTGGGGATTCCTCAGCTGGATCACTGGACTCAAAACTCTGACCATGGTGAAAAATCACAGGATTGTGATGTGTGTGTCAGAACTGGTCTCTACAGTTGCTGAGGCCTATGCAGTAAAGGGTATATGCTCATAGAGGACAGGATAACCAGTTCTTTGAGGCCTGCAGAGGACATCTTGTACCATGGAGGGCAAAACATTTGACAGCTCTGCTGATCAAGCTTTGACATTGACTTTCTGGGCAAATGAAAATTCTAAGGTGGAATATGTTGGCAAATGGACCTTGGAAGAAATTGCTAAGCCTTGGATCAATGAAATCAACAGCATCTCAGAACTATCTAAACCACCTTCAACAGGACATTCAGAACATGCTCCACATTGGGGACCCTGGGATGACATCAGGTGGCCATCCCCCATTCCAGGGTACTAGTGGGGATGATGGGAGTGGCCTTTTTCCTTCTCTTCCCAACCTGCCCAGATTCACAAAGAAAAAAAGGGAAGTGGGAGGCAGTTGTCTCGTTCTGTTTCACCCATGCCTTGATCCTTCCACCCTAATCAATGGTCCTTAAGGGCATATATCACTCTCAACTACATAAACATCATCAACAATAAAATGGATTAGTATAAAAATTTCATTAAATATACAGAGCAATTGGAGATAACTGATATCTCTGTATCAAGTTTTTGCTCTGTGTGCACAGATGTATAATCCCACTTACGACTTGTTTTACGCATTTTATACTACTATCAATTTCTTCAATTTGGACTTTATACATTTAGCCAAAAATATTATTTTACGTTAAGTTTTCACTACTATTATGCACTTATTTTGTTTTCCATTTGCTTTCAGTGAGTAAAAATGCAATTAACATTTTCATAAATGATTTTACTCTTCTATTCAATAATCTTAATTCACTCACACATTCGTTAGGATAATCTCTGTAGACAATGAGATTATCAGGCTGAGAACAGTCTTGATTTATGTCGCTTCAGACTAAGACAAAGCATATGCTGAAACATCAAAACACATAGCTTGCCACATTTACAGCATTCTACAGCAAGTCACTTGGATTTGCAAAAAGAATAAACTGACCTGCATGGCTTAAGGCATCCAAAAAGCCACGAAACCAGCCGTCTTCCTGGAGCTGCAGCAGGTACTTGAGAAACAGTGAGGCAGCCTCCAATGCGCCCTTGTTGTTTTTCTCAGCCTGAATATACTGAATTTGTTCTACAAAGAGAACCAAGATTAAGCCATCAATTCCTTAAGCAGTGGAAGAGAAACTAAAAAGGGTTGCCAGACCTACCCAACTGGCAGAAAAGCATGTTAACAACTCATAACACAGGAAAGAACGTTCAGAGAGCAGAAAAATGTCTGCCAGCCACTGCCACATGCTTGTACATCCATCCTTCCCACATTCTATGGAAAATTCTAGTTATATATTAATGTCTGAGAACACATTCAGAGACAATGTCTTCAATACCTGAAAAAACCCACACTAAGGGGAAAAAAATCATGCCAGCAACAGGTTCAAAGGAAGAACTACACCTTCATCTGACATGTCGACTGCTTATTATTATTATTGTAATTAATACTTGTAAAAGGGCTGATTCAAACGCTGAATGAACAAGTGTGAGGGAAACACTTTGTGGTCTCAGTAACAATTACAATGGACTTAACGAGCAGTTAGAAGTCAACCAGGATTCTTTCACAGTGCTTTATCATGGTCTTTGTAACAACAACAAGACAGACAAAAAGACAATGAAAAAACAACTGAAGGGAATTAGAGAGCAATATCAGTTGCCAGAAACAGCCTACCAATGTGAAGGCCATTGTGACTAAAAAATGCCATGTCTAGACTTGACATGAAAATATTGCCTTACTACGACCTGATTTTTATTTTTTTTTTAAGATTTATTTATTTATTGGAAAGTCAGATATACAGAATGGAGGAGAGACAGAGAGGAAGATCTTCCGTCCGATGATTCACTCCCCAAGTGAGCCCAACGGCCGATGCTATGCCGATCCGAAGCCAGGAGCCAGGAACCTCTTCTGGGTATCCCACGTGGGTGCAGGGTCCCAAAGCTTTGGGCCGTCCTCAACTGCTTTCCAAGGCCACAAGCAGGGAGCTGGATGGCAAGTGGAGCTGCTGGGATTAGAACTGTCACCCATATGGGATCCCGGGCGCGTTCAAGGTGAGTACGTTGGCTGCTAGGCCATGTCACTGGGCTCCAACCTGATTTTTAAATTATTGATAGTTTACAGATTCCATGGGAGTAATCAAATTGGCTGGTTAACCCATGTCTCCTCTGAGATAAGAGAACCTGAGTGAGTGAAAAGAGGAAGGGTCATTGCTGGGCCTGCTAAGATCCAGTGTAAAGAGAGGAAGGAATGATGTCTCCTAGCTCTAAAAATAATCACTCATTCCATTAATCTCTATAGGTTTGCTATTCTCAGCATTTCACATGAATGGAATCACACAACATGTAGTCCTTATGACTGGCTTCTTTCACTTAGCATACCATTCTCAAGGCTAATCCATTTTGTACCATGTATCATTCCTTTCTTATTGCCCAGTAATATTCTATTGTATGAATCATATTACACTTTGTTTTCCCCCCTTTCAGTTAACACGCATTTGTGATGTATACACATTTGTTTACTATGAATAATAGTGCTACCAACATTCACATACAACTTTCTTTGTAAATATCTGCATTTATTTCTCTTGGCTATCCACCTAAGAGAGTTTGCAGGATCACATATTCACTCCATTTTTAACTCTGTAGAGAACTATCTAATCACTTCCCAAAGGAGCTGCACTATGTTACATTCCCACCAACCAATCTAGGAGGATTCCAAATTTCACACGTGTCTGTCAATTATCACGTGCCTATGATTATTATTATTTGCCCTTTGGGAGGCATAAATGGCCAAGACTAGAACAGCTGAAGCTCAGAGCCATAAGCTCATTCTACTCTCCCACGTGAATGGCAGAACCTTGAGCTCCCACCACTGCATTAGAGGGTTTGCTACAGCAGGAAGCAGAAATCCAGAACTAGAGCAAGTGACACACCAGGCACTAGCATGTGGGACACAGGTAGGTTAAGGCCGACCCTGTTGTCAGTACTTCTCTGTTCATCTGTATTACTGTCCGGCTGCTGCAGGCTCAAATTACCACAAACCATGAGGCTTAACACAATGTAAATTCCTTGTCTCACAGTGTCAGGGACCAGAAGTCTGAAATCCAGGTCTCAGCAGGGCCACACTTCCTCAGAAATCTCTAAGGGAGAATGCATTCCCTGCTCTTCCCAGCTTCTGGGGACTCTGACCTTCCTGGGCTTCTGACTGCACTCCCTCTAGCCCTTGTCTTCACATCACCGCTCCTTGGTCTGGCCTGTGGCAACACCACTCCCATCTGTCTCTGCCTGTCTTCACAGGGGGTGTCTTTGCCTCTCTCTGTCTATATACATGCTGTCTTCCTAAAGGGACATCAGTCATGCCCACCCTGGGAAGGGGGAAAGGGCTCACCTTACTCCAATTTCACCTCATATTCATGAACTCTGTAAGAACCTACTTCAAAGGAGCTCACATTCTAAGGTGCTGGGAATTAGGACTTCAACTTACTATTCGCTGGGACACAATTGAACCTCAAGCAGCAACCCAGCTTGTTGCTGCTGCTACCTTCCTTGGGCCTCAAATTCTACCCCATTCCTTCGCATCAGTCTATCCTGTTCTTGAACCCAGTCCTTAAACAGTCATGCCCCTGCTCCCAGGCTCCAATGCTGCTTTGTGTTTCTTTAGACATGTGACCAGTCACTATTGAGGTAGCACACGGAGGTGCAGATTTATCCAAGCCACAAATGGAGACACTAATTGCCTCACAGGATCTTGAGCTGTTTAGATTTATTGTGACCATGGTGAGACCCTCTCTGCCATCAGCTGGCCACATTAGAAGATGAAGTGATCATCTACTCAGAACACTAGGAGGAAAAAAACATCTTTGGGGGAAGATTTTTCCTGTGATGCCATCCTAGCATGCCATTTCCCATCAGTACATATGGATCCACATCAACATTTTACTAACTGTGCTGTTTTATAGCATAAAGCCATGTGTATTTAATCTACCTTTCTTCAAACACAGTTAAAATGTGTTTAGTACAAACACATCTAGGTCTTTGCTTGCTCTACCATGCCTTCCTGAAAATTAAAACTCAGATTAGGATGTGACTTAGCAGTGCATAGTATAAAGCACTGACATATGGTACCCAATGCCTTCCCAATGACTATGCTTGTTGACCTCCATCAAACCTTTGAACGCCCATTTCCCTCAACAACATGAATTTGCTCAATTTTTGCAATCTTGGCAAAGCCATGAGAAAAAACAGAGAAGAAAGGCTACTTTTAATAGTTTGTTTTGTCCTTTAGCAACTGTTTTCTTTTCTCAAGTTATATTTACTTGAAACTCATAGTTAGAGGGAGAGCCTGAGCTCTTCCATCGTCTTTCACTTCCAAACAGCTGTGCCAGTCTCAATCTGGGAGTCAGGAGCTTCTTCCAGGTCCCCCACATGGGTGCAGAGGCCCAAGGCCTCTGGCCATCCTCTGCTGCTTCTCCAGGCCACAGCAAGGAGTTGGATTGGAAGTAGAGCAGCTGGCATCACAGGCAGAGGATGAAGCCACCATCGTCGTCCCCAGCTGCTTTAACAAATGTTGTGTTCCAATTCCAGAGCAAGTTTTCTGCCGGGGCAATTCACCTTTTCTCTGAACTGGATTTGTGAGATTCCTTTGTGCATAGCAAGCTGTTCCGGTAATGGAAAATTACTTCTTTTTTTTTTTTTTTTTAAGGGTGTAGTGATTAAACAGAATAAATTCTAATAGCACCAATAATTCACGGAAAATTTTTTTTAACTTTTATTTGTTGTTTTCCTTTTAGCTGACAGGCTTTCTTTGGGGTCAATCCGGCTGTGTTTTTTTTATACATGCTTGAGTGAAATTCATTAATTCATTAGTTTAGTTTTGAAATAGGAATAAGTCCATTTTCTTTGAGTACACTCTTAGTAGTATCTAAAGATATGAACTATGTGCGCTTCTTCCTATCTTCAATTTGACTTTTTAAAGTTCTTTCTATGAGAGGCAGACAGAAAGAGAAGGCAGGGGAAGGGAGGGAACGAGGGTTCCCACAGACTAGGTCAGGCCCCCCAGATGGGCACAGTCGGCAGAGCTGCGCAGGTTTCAGGACCAGAAGCTGGCAGCACGATTTAGGTCTACCACCACGGTGGTGGGAGGAACCCAGCTGCTGGAGCTGTCACGGCTGCCGTCGAGGGTCTGCACTCATGAGAAGCTGAAATCAGAATCCAGAGCCAAGGCTTGAACTCAGGTCCTCCCAGGGAAGATGAAAATAAATATTTTGAAATTATTGGATAAAGGCTAGTGATTCTGAGGTAGAACATAACATCTAAAACTTATTTAGTGCCATCAACTTCAATCCTCAGTATGCTCAGAGATGTTTTTCTGATGTTCAGGATGATGAAACCAAGGTTTAGTCAAGTTAGGACATTTCCCCAAAGTTGAAGAACCCACATACTACAGAATAACATTGGTGAAGGTGCACTTTGAGAGAAATATGACAGACATGTCTGCTGGCAGATGCTGGCATGATGGATGGTGCAATGTGTTAAGCCACCACTGGTGACACTGACATCCTGCGCTAGAGTGCTATTTGAGCAAACCCAGCTGTTCTACTTTTGATTTAGCTTCCTGCTAATACAGTTGGCAGCTGGTCATGCAGTGGCCCAACAGCATGGGTGCCTGCCATTCAGTGGAAGGCCACAATGGAGTTCCTGGCTCCTGGCTTCAGCTTTGTGCAGACCCAGCTGTTGTGACCATTTCGCTGTCAACCAGCGAATGGAAGCTCACTCTAATCTCTCTCTGCTACTCAGAACTTTCCAGTAAGGAAATAAATCTACTAGAAAAGATTTTTCTGTAATCTAACACAGGGTAATTAAGACCGGAGGAGCAGGACATGGAGTATAAAATTGAATATATGGGGCCCTGTGCCATGCTGCAGCAGGCTAAGCTAACTCTTGTGGCAGCTGCCACCCCACCCTACCTGGGCACCGGATCATGTCCTGGGTGCTCTACTTCCAGCTGGCTCCTTGCTAATAGCCTAGGAAAAGCAGCAGCAAACGACCCAAGTACTAGGGCCCTTACACGCACTTGGGAGACCCAGGTGCAGCACCTGATCCCCCGGGTTTGGCCAGGCCTAGCTCGGGCCATCTGGGGGATGAAACAGCAGGTGGAAGATCTTTCTGTCTATACCTTTCCCTCTGTTATTCTGGCTTTCAAATAAATTAATACATCTCTTTTTTTAAAAAAAAAAAAGTCCATTTATATGTCTATATATAGAGAGAGATACATTTCTAAAATTGACCATATTAAACACATCCATGAGATCTTAACACTTCTCTGCCTTGTCAATACTAAACTAATACATGATGACTCAGAGCATTGGGACGCTGCATCTGTGCAGGAGACCCAGCAAGAGCTCCTGTCTCCTGATCGGATCAGCTCAGCACCAGCTGTTGCAGGCAGTTGGGGAGTGAACCAGCAGGCAGAAGACCTTTCTCTGCCTCCTTCTCTCTGCAGATTTGCCTTTGCAATAAAAATAAGTAAATCTTCATTAAAAATCTCAAAAACAATTGAACCTTAAAAAAAACTGGCTTATGGGCCCAGCGTGATAGCCTAGCAGCTGAAGTCCTCACCTTACAAGTGCCTGGATCCCATATGGGCACTGATTCTCATCCCAGTGGCCCCGCTTCCCATCCAGTTCCCTGCTTGTGACCTGGGATGCAGTCGAGGACAGCCCAAAGCCTTGGGACCCTGCTGCACCCACGTGGCAGACCCAGAAGAAGCTCCTGGCTCCAGGCTTCAGGTTGGCTCAGCTCTGGCCATCGTGCCTGCTTGGGGAGTGAATCAACGGACAGAAGATCTTCCTCTCTGTCTCTCCTCCCCTCTCTGTGTCGGACTATCCTATTAAAAAAAATCAATAAACAAAGCATAAAAACCAAAACATTGTTTAAAAAGAAACTGGCTGGGTAATAAAATCAGGGACCCTGCTTTACCCTCAAAATTCTGTATAGTTTTATTGTCTAGCTACTTTAGTATTATAGAGATATCAGAGACCAACTTGATACTGATTCCATTACAAGAAGTCTAAGTAATCTTACTAGTTTTTCTTCGATGCTTATGAAATCCTACCAAGGTACACGGAAACAGGATTCCCTTCCATTTAAACTAATTATACAGATTGCTGCTTCTTTCTTAGATGAGTGCAATTTTTCTTCTATTGTTTCTCTTTCGTTCTCTTATTGTACTCAAATTGTGCAATCGGAATTGCCATCAGACAGTCTGTCCACTACCATAAACACGGCCTCTGTTGCAATATTTACCTTTGCTATGTTTTCAAAAGACCTGGCCATACTTACTTTCCCTTCTTTCTAACTTGCTATGTATTCCCCAGTTTCTTCTTGCAGTTAGCTTACTGGCCATCCTGCACCTCTACCACAACGCCAACTCCACAGAAACCACTGCTGTGGGTGGTCCCAACAGTCGGCAACGCCAAAGCCAAGATAAAGTTGCTGGGGCTGCCATGACACTGGTGACACTTCCCGGCATGGCACCTGCGACACTGCATCTCCCATCGGAAGGAACACTAGTTCAGTCCTGGCTGCGCTCCCTCTAAGCCAGCTCTCTGCTAACAGACCTGGGAGAGCAGTGGAACATGGTCCAAGTCCTTGGACCCTGTCACCCCCACATTAGAGACCAAGGTGGAGTTGTGGGTTCCTGGCTTCTGCCTCAACCAGCCCCAGCAGCTGCAACCCTTTGGGGATCGAACAGCAGATGGAAGATCTGTCTGTGCCACTTTGCCTTAATAACATCAAGGGCTCTTCAGGTCTCCCATCCAAGTACTAACCAGGCCCGACCCTGCCTAGCTTCCAAGATCAGACAAGGTGGCAGCGTTCAGGGGGTTCAGGGGGTACGGCTATAGACTGTTTCTTCAGTTCTGATGTGTTCAGTTCTCATAGTCATGCTTCCCCTTCCAACCCCTCTGCCCCCAGCCCACCCCCTCCCGCTCTCCATTCTTACTCCTCTGCCTTGGTTTATCAGGAGGCCCCTTTGTCCACATAGCTTGCTGCTCTGTTTCAGCTCTTTCCTATCTCTTCCTGTCCAGCGACAAGCTCTCTCAGAGTCTTCTGTCCCAGAGCCTTCCTCCTCAGCTTCCGGTGTGCCATCCTGCCTCTCTCATGGTGGCAGCCAGGATCCCTCTGTGTAGGACTACCCAGATCGGCATCTTCTGTGTGCCTTGGATGCATTCGAGATGTTTGTCAGATTACTGACCACAGAGGTCTGGAATTTAGAACAAATGTCTTGGCTTGGGGAATGGTTCACACAGAGACCCAGGCTCAAACAGTGAGAGCAGACAAGACTGCACAATGAAGTGATTCCTCCAGCAATGTCTACAACAGGTGTGGTCTCACACTCATCAGGAGCCTGGAGTCATGAGAATGTCACTTCACGACTTCCCATTATTTGGGAGCACAAACAAAACCCGCAACACTAGCAGAGGAAGCATCAACTTCCTCTGCTGTTGGACATCATTGCACATCCACATGAGCTGTGCACAGCTGTCCTCACCCTTCGTGCCCCACCTGATACACACGTTGACTCTAATGCATCCTAAATAGGAAGGGCCTGGATCTTATTTCTCAACCTCTGATGCCAGAACAAAGGCAGCTACACAGCTGACCTAAAGATGAAAGGAAATGCATGAAAAGGGCAGCTTCTTTCCCCAGCTTTGGGCCCAAAGAAATGTGCACTCTAAGCAAGTCCCGACACCAAGGTGGTTCTGTTACCCTAGCGGGGCTTCCAAGGGCTCCTCAAAGTCCCCATCTCTAGTCCCCCTAGGAACACCAGTTTAAAGAAAGGACAAAAGCCTGGGGAAAGCAAGTCTTCAGTTGTTTTCTTATCCCAAGCGGGAGGGGCAGAAGGGGGCACGGCAGGCGCAGCTGGGGATCCACTCACCCTCCCTAAACCAGGAGCTCATGTAGCTCAGGATGTAGGTAGGGTCCAGGATCCTCGTCACATAGTCGCCGAAGGCTTCCAGGTTTTTCCGCTGCTGCTCCGCTGTCATGCTGGTCTAGGTTCCGGACCCGATCCACCGCGCCTGACTGCTGCCTCCACTGCTGTTTAAAGCAGGGCCGGAGAAAGCCTGCTGGGCAGGCTGGAGGGCGGGTCTTCACCCTGGCTGAGAGGCGGAGCTGCCTGGGAATTTCTAACCACCAGAGCAAGAATCGAAACTACAACTGGCTAAAGCTGTGGGCGGCCTCAGCTGGGCTCTTGGCAGCACACTCCCCAGCTCAGCGAGGTTCCGTTTCCAGCTCACCCCGGGGAAGGATACTTAAACATGTTTTAAAACAGCTTTTGCCTCAAAAGTGTGTGTGGTGTGTGTTTCTGTGTGTGTGTAAACTAAGTATTTCTCATTTAATTTGCACAGAACCTCAATGTCAACAACTAAAGCAATGGGCCTCGCAGTCCCATCTGGAGGTGTTTACATGGCATTTTGATATTGAGCCAAAGGTCAAAGAGTGAAGTGAGGAGAAACTAACTAAATAAAAAAAAAATAATAAAAAATAGGTGGTGAAAATCACGAATGTAAATTCGAATGATCTGTATTCTGGGAGTGAGTGAGTGAGTTGAATTTACCGACAGTGTCTGGGGCACTTTTGTGTCAGGATAGACAATGATGGGGAGTGGTGGTGATTGAGAGATGTCATTTCCAGTGTTCTCTAACCTAAGGGAAACTTGTAGGAAAAGTAGCACGCTGCACACCATGGTCATGAGAGCCTTGTAGACGCACATCCTAAACTCCACACACATGATTTCCATCACCTCTGATTCTGGCACTCTTTCATCAAGTTCTGCGAGATGAGTAGAGAAGTCAGAACTTTGCTGAACGAACAGAGAGAGCATTCCAGACGCTTCAGAATGCTGGGTCTTGGCGCCACAGGACTGTGTTTTCTGAAGGGACTCTGGACAGAAAAGAAATAATTTTATAAAGCAGTTTGCAGAACTCTTCGGTTTCCTTCCCCCTGGGTGAGCTGGAAAACCTCGCTGAGCTGGGGAGTGTGCTGCCAAGAGCCCACCTCGCTGAGCTGGGGGGTGTGCTGCCAAGAGCCCACCTCGCTGAGCTGAGGGGTGTGCTGCCAAGAGCCCACCTCGCTGAGCTGGGGGGTGTGCTGCCAAGAGCCCAGCTGAGGCCGCCCACAGCTTTAGCCAGTTGTAGTTTCGATTCTTGCTCTGGTGGTTAGAAATTCCCAGGCAGCTCCGCCTCTCAGCCAGGGTGAAGACCCGCCCTCCAGCCTGCCCAGCAGGCTTTCTCCGGCCCTGCTTTAAACAGCAGTGGAGGCAGCAGTCAGGCGCGGTGGATCGGGTCCGGAACCTAGACCAGCATGACAGCGGAGCAGCAGCGGAAAAACCTGGAAGCCTTCGGCGACTATGTGACGAGGATCCTGGACCCTACCTACATCCTGAGCTACATGAGCTCCTGGTTTAGGGAGGGTGAGTGGATCCCCAGCTGCGCCTGCCGTGCCCCCTTCTGCCCCTCCCGCTTGGGATAAGAAAACAACTGAAGACTTGCTTTCCCCAGGCTTTTGTCCTTTCTTTAAACTGGTGTTCCTAGGGGGACTAGAGATGGGGACTTTGAGGAGCCCTTGGAAGCCCCGCTAGGGTAACAGAACCACCTTGGTGTCGGGACTTGCTTAGAGTGCACATTTCTTTGGGCCCAAAGCTGGGGAAAGAAGCTGCCCTTTTCATGCATTTCCTTTCATCTTTAGGTCAGCTGTGTAGCTGCCTTTGTTCTGGCATCAGAGGTTGAGAAATAAGATCCAGGCCCTTCCTATTTAGGATGCATTAGAGTCAACGTGTGTATCAGGTGGGGCACGAAGGGTGAGGACAGCTGTGCACAGCTCATGTGGATGTGCAATGATGTCCAACAGCAGAGGAAGTTGATGCTTCCTCTGCTAGTGTTGCGGGTTTTGTTTGTGCTCCCAAATAATGGGAAGTCGTGAAGTGACATTCTCATGACTCCAGGCTCCTGATGAGTGTGAGACCACACCTGTTGTAGACATTGCTGGAGGAATCACTTCATTGTGCAGTCTTGTCTGCTCTCACTGTTTGAGCCTGGGTCTCTGTGTAAACCATTCCCCAAGCCAAGACATTTGTTCTAAATTCCAGACCTCTGTGGTCAGTAATCTGACAAACATCTCGAATGCATCCAAGGCACACAGAAGATGCCGATCTGGGTAGTCCTACACAGAGGGATCCTGGCTGCCACCATGAGAGAGGCAGGATGGCACACCGGAAGCTGAGGAGGAAGGCTCTGGGACAGAAGACTCTGAGAGAGCTTGTCGCTGGACAGGAAGAGATAGGAAAGAGCTGAAACAGAGCAGCAAGCTATGTGGACAAAGGGGCCTCCTGATAAACCAAGGCAGAGGAGTAAGAATGGAGAGCGGGAGGGGGTGGGCTGGGGGCAGAGGGGTTGGAAGGGGAAGCATGACTATGAGAACTGAACACATCAGAACTGAAGAAACAGTCTATAGCCGTACCCCCTGAACCCCCTGAACGCTGCCACCTTGTCTGATCTTGGAAGCTAGGCAGGGTCGGGCCTGGTTAGTACTTGGATGGGAGACCTGAAGAGCCCTTGATGTTATTAAGGCAAAGTGGCACAGACAGATCTTCCATCTGCTGTTCGATCCCCAAAGGGTTGCAGCTGCTGGGGCTGGTTGAGGCAGAAGCCAGGAACCCACAACTCCACCTTGGTCTCTAATGTGGGGGTGACAGGGTCCAAGGACTTGGACCATGTTCCACTGCTCTCCCAGGTCTGTTAGCAGAGAGCTGGCTTAGAGGGAGCGCAGCCAGGACTGAACTAGTGTTCCTTCCGATGGGAGATGCAGTGTCGCAGGTGCCATGCCGGGAAGTGTCACCAGTGTCATGGCAGCCCCAGCAACTTTATCTTGGCTTTGGCGTTGCCGACTGTTGGGACCACCCACAGCAGTGGTTTCTGTGGAGTTGGCGTTGTGGTAGAGGTGCAGGATGGCCAGTAAGCTAACTGCAAGAAGAAACTGGGGAATACATAGCAAGTTAGAAAGAAGGGAAAGTAAGTATGGCCAGGTCTTTTGAAAACATAGCAAAGGTAAATATTGCAACAGAGGCCGTGTTTATGGTAGTGGACAGACTGTCTGATGGCAATTCCGATTGCACAATTTGAGTACAATAAGAGAACGAAAGAGAAACAATAGAAGAAAAATTGCACTCATCTAAGAAAGAAGCAGCAATCTGTATAATTAGTTTAAATGGAAGGGAATCCTGTTTCCGTGTACCTTGGTAGGATTTCATAAGCATCGAAGAAAAACTAGTAAGATTACTTAGACTTCTTGTAATGGAATCAGTATCAAGTTGGTCTCTGATATCTCTATAATACTAAAGTAGCTAGACAATAAAACTATACAGAATTTTGAGGGTAAAGCAGGGTCCCTGATTTTATTACCCAGCCAGTTTCTTTTTAAACAATGTTTTGGTTTTTATGCTTTGTTTATTGATTTTTTTTAATAGGATAGTCCGACACAGAGAGGGGAGGAGAGACAGAGAGGAAGATCTTCTGTCCGTTGATTCACTCCCCAAGCAGGCACGATGGCCAGAGCTGAGCCAACCTGAAGCCTGGAGCCAGGAGCTTCTTCTGGGTCTGCCACGTGGGTGCAGCAGGGTCCCAAGGCTTTGGGCTGTCCTCGACTGCATCCCAGGTCACAAGCAGGGAACTGGATGGGAAGCGGGGCCACTGGGATGAGAATCAGTGCCCATGTGGGATCCAGGCACTTGTAAGGTGAGGACTTCAGCTGCTAGGCTATCACGCTGGGCCCATAAGCCAGTTTTTTTTAAGGTTCAATTGTTTTTGAGATTTTTAATGAAGATTTACTTATTTTTATTGCAAAGGCAAATCTGCAGAGAGAAGGAGGCAGAGAAAGGTCTTCTGCCTGCTGGTTCACTCCCCAACTGCCTGCAACAGCTGGTGCTGAGCTGATCCGATCAGGAGACAGGAGCTCTTGCTGGGTCTCCTGCACAGATGCAGCGTCCCAATGCTCTGAGTCATCATGTATTAGTTTAGTATTGACAAGGCAGAGAAGTGTTAAGATCTCATGGATGTGTTTAATATGGTCAATTTTAGAAATGTATCTCTCTCTATATATAGACATATAAATGGACTTTTTTTTTTTTTTAAAAAAAGAGATGTATTAATTTATTTGAAAGCCAGAATAACAGAGGGAAAGGTATAGACAGAAAGATCTTCCACCTGCTGTTTCATCCCCCAGATGGCCCGAGCTAGGCCTGGCCAAACCCGGGGGATCAGGTGCTGCACCTGGGTCTCCCAAGTGGGTGTAAGGGCCCTAGTACTTGGGTCGTTTGCTGCTGCTTTTCCTAGGCTATTAGCAAGGAGCCAGCTGGAAGTAGAGCACCCAGGACATGATCCGGTGCCCAGGTAGGGTGGGGTGGCAGCTGCCACAAGAGTTAGCTTAGCCTGCTGCAGCATGGCACAGGGCCCCATATATTCAATTTTATACTCCATGTCCTGCTCCTCCGGTCTTAATTACCCTGTGTTAGATTACAGAAAAATCTTTTCTAGTAGATTTATTTCCTTACTGGAAAGTTCTGAGTAGCAGAGAGAGATTAGAGTGAGCTTCCATTCGCTGGTTGACAGCGAAATGGTCACAACAGCTGGGTCTGCACAAAGCTGAAGCCAGGAGCCAGGAACTCCATTGTGGCCTTCCACTGAATGGCAGGCACCCATGCTGTTGGGCCACTGCATGACCAGCTGCCAACTGTATTAGCAGGAAGCTAAATCAAAAGTAGAACAGCTGGGTTTGCTCAAATAGCACTCTAGCGCAGGATGTCAGTGTCACCAGTGGTGGCTTAACACATTGCACCATCCATCATGCCAGCATCTGCCAGCAGACATGTCTGTCATATTTCTCTCAAAGTGCACCTTCACCAATGTTATTCTGTAGTATGTGGGTTCTTCAACTTTGGGGAAATGTCCTAACTTGACTAAACCTTGGTTTCATCATCCTGAACATCAGAAAAACATCTCTGAGCATACTGAGGATTGAAGTTGATGGCACTAAATAAGTTTTAGATGTTATGTTCTACCTCAGAATCACTAGCCTTTATCCAATAATTTCAAAATATTTATTTTCATCTTCCCTGGGAGGACCTGAGTTCAAGCCTTGGCTCTGGATTCTGATTTCAGCTTCTCATGAGTGCAGACCCTCGACGGCAGCCGTGACAGCTCCAGCAGCTGGGTTCCTCCCACCACCGTGGTGGTAGACCTAAATCGTGCTGCCAGCTTCTGGTCCTGAAACCTGCGCAGCTCTGCCGACTGTGCCCATCTGGGGGGCCTGACCTAGTCTGTGGGAACCCTCGTTCCCTCCCTTCCCCTGCCTTCTCTTTCTGTCTGCCTCTCATAGAAAGAACTTTAAAAAGTCAAATTGAAGATAGGAAGAAGCGCACATAGTTCATATCTTTAGATACTACTAAGAGTGTACTCAAAGAAAATGGACTTATTCCTATTTCAAAACTAAACTAATGAATTAATGAATTTCACTCAAGCATGTATAAAAAAAACACAGCCGGATTGACCCCAAAGAAAGCCTGTCAGCTAAAAGGAAAACAACAAATAAAAGTTAAAAAAAATTTTCCGTGAATTATTGGTGCTATTAGAATTTATTCTGTTTAATCACTACACCCTTAAAAAAAAAAAAAAAAGAAGTAATTTTCCATTACCGGAACAGCTTGCTATGCACAAAGGAATCTCACAAATCCAGTTCAGAGAAAAGGTGAATTGCCCCGGCAGAAAACTTGCTCTGGAATTGGAACACAACATTTGTTAAAGCAGCTGGGGACGACGATGGTGGCTTCATCCTCTGCCTGTGATGCCAGCTGCTCTACTTCCAATCCAACTCCTTGCTGTGGCCTGGAGAAGCAGCAGAGGATGGCCAGAGGCCTTGGGCCTCTGCACCCATGTGGGGGACCTGGAAGAAGCTCCTGACTCCCAGATTGAGACTGGCACAGCTGTTTGGAAGTGAAAGACGATGGAAGAGCTCAGGCTCTCCCTCTAACTATGAGTTTCAAGTAAATATAACTTGAGAAAAGAAAACAGTTGCTAAAGGACAAAACAAACTATTAAAAGTAGCCTTTCTTCTCTGTTTTTTCTCATGGCTTTGCCAAGATTGCAAAAATTGAGCAAATTCATGTTGTTGAGGGAAATGGGCGTTCAAAGGTTTGATGGAGGTCAACAAGCATAGTCATTGGGAAGGCATTGGGTACCATATGTCAGTGCTTTATACTATGCACTGCTAAGTCACATCCTAATCTGAGTTTTAATTTTCAGGAAGGCATGGTAGAGCAAGCAAAGACCTAGATGTGTTTGTACTAAACACATTTTAACTGTGTTTGAAGAAAGGTAGATTAAATACACATGGCTTTATGCTATAAAACAGCACAGTTAGTAAAATGTTGATGTGGATCCATATGTACTGATGGGAAATGGCATGGAATCTATCGGTGAATGAGAAAGAGTAATTCGATCTTTATTTTAATGTATATAATTTGATACTCAGAGGGCTATTTTCCAGAGTATTATGTGTGATTCTGTGTGGTGTGGCTTTTTATTTGTACTTGTCATGCACTGCTTAAAATGTTTACATTGTGGCTGTGTTTATTTTTATCATCGGAAGAGCAAATTTTATTTTGAGCAATAATACAAAATCTCCTTGTATGCTATTCATTTGTTGTAATGAACAAGAAACAGGCCTAGTGGTTCTTCCATTTACAAGTTCACTCCCACATGGTGCTAGGGCAAGTAATTGAGTCATCACCTGCTACTTCCCAAAACATACATTAGCAGTGCACTGGAAATGGGAATGGAGCCAATTTGAATCTAGTGATTCTGATATGGATGTGGACATCCTCACGCAGTGTCTTATACACTGACGCAATGCCCAGCCTTCAGCTTTCTACATCTGCACAATCATTATTCCTTTCTTCTTCCAATGGGTTTGATTTGCTCTTTTACTGAAGGAAGACGTCTAGATTACTGATTTTTCTTTTTCATAAACTTCCTTTTTCAAATATGAAAAAGCCTAACAGCTCATAAATTTTGAGTTTTCAATGTCATTTCAAGTTGAGACAGTTTCTAGTGTCCATTTTTCAACTTATCTATTACTTAGAAGTATGATGTCCATTTTTTCAATATAGGCATTTCCTAGGTTACTCATCTCATTTTAATATGCATGTTCACAGAGCATATATAGTAAGATTTCAACTTTTTGTAACTTCACAAAAATTTGGTTTGTGGTCAGCACATGCATTTTCTTTGCATACAGGTATACCTAGCATTGTATACTCTGCAGTTCATGGGTATACTTATATATTCACATATATAAAGCTTATAGTATGGTTCAAATCTCCCTTATCCCTACTTTTTAAAAACTCTCAAGTAATTATTAAACTCTTCAACTGTATAATTTTTCATGTTCTTGCTTGATAAAATTCGATTTTTAAAATTATTATTAATATGAGACTGTGTTCTGACCCATTGTTCATTTCCCAAACACCTAAAATGGCCCAAGGACTGGGCTCAGGTTCTGAATCTTCTCAGCCTTTCAGTGCAGGTCTACTCCTTGAGCCTTCCCCACACATAAGCATTCTAAGGTCAGTTAATGGTTTGAATAAATTTGTTATATACAAGATTTCGGGTCTCTATGCTTCCTGTTTCTGAAATATCTGGAGAAGAGCTAGGTGGACACTGAGAAATTGAACAAGGAATCAAATTCTACCTTGCAAATCCAGTAACTCTGTCTGCAGGTCCTTTTTTTTTCCCCCTAAGACTTATTTTTATTGAAAAGGCAGATTTACAGAGGAGACACAGAAAGATCTACCATCTTCCACTGATTAACTCCCCAAACGGTTGAGATAGCCAGAGCTGAGCTGATCCAAAGCCAGGAGCCTCTTCTGGGTTTCCCATGTGGATGCAGGGTCTCAAGGTTTTGGACCATCCTCTACCGTTGTTCCAGGCCACGAGCAGGGAGCCAGATGGGAAGTGGAACATCTGGGACAGGAACTGGGACCATATGGAATCCTGGTGCTTGTAAGGTATTCAGCCATTGAGCCATCATGCCAAGCATAGGGTTCATCATTAAACACAGTGACTCTGGCTTTGCTTCATTCTAGCCTCCATATAGACTTACACAGGCTTTCAGATGAAATGCCAATAAATCATTCTTACCCAGTGCAATTTCTTTGAAAGGTCCGTCTGCATTTAATGTGTTATTTGTCTAGAGGATCCTATTTTTTCCAACAGTTCTTTTTGTTTTGCCCATGCTTAGAATTATTTTTTCCTGAAAGCTACTCTACCCCTGCCTGTGGGTCTGGGTTTCTAAGTGAGAAAACTTTTAAAAATTCCTTTGAAAAGGTAAAGACACACTTTTCTCCCACTAGTCAAAAATACACACACACAATATGCGTTCCTGAGTGACAAATGGTTTATAAGATTTCAGCAAATACAGTGTCAACTCCAATGTAAAAGGACTGGGATCTCCGACTGGAGTATTTTGGAACCTACTAACCATAAGATTGATAGGTAAAATTTGATCAAAGTGAAGGAAAAAAAGGAAATGTCATGGAACAGCCTGGGCAGAGATCTTAGACCTTCTCCTCATCTGGGCATTAATTCAACAGAGCGGTAAGGGGAAAGAATGTCCCTTATGAACTTAAAGAGCCTGACAGGGAGAGGAAAAAGCAAAATGTACAAATACAAATAAAAGTCATTACCAGCTGTGACAGGATGTAGGGGAAAATAATAAGGGATAAAGGATAATTTTCTGAGAATACATTTCAGTTGAATCCTTAACATTGAGAAGGAATCACCCAATTTAAAAAAAAATGCACAAAGGGATCAAAGGCAAAGCAGAAGACACTTGCAGCAGGAACTGTGAATAAGGCAGAAATGGTATATAATGGAGTTGAAAAGGCCTTTTGTGCAAGGAATGAAGTTCTGTGGAAACATATTGCACAGTTTTAAGTGAAGTAACATGATTAAAAATTTTAAATACCTCCCTGGCTCTTACCCAAAATGCAGATGAGTTCAAAGGGGACTCAAAGAGATAAGGGCATAGAGAAGGAAGAGGCTGTGGGGAGTAGAAGTAATTGTTTGATATACATTTTAGACTGGGGACTGAATGACTGATAGTGAAAAGGGGGAAAAAAAGGATGTATTTCAAGTATCTGGTTTGACACTTGAGACATGACTAAAAATGGAGATGGTAAATTCAGAACTTCACCATATATTCCAGGGCAGGAAAAAGAAAAGTAGGTGTTAGGTGATTACCTCTACAATGAAAACATCAAGGAATAAGCAGTAGTAAATGCTATTTACATTGGACGAATTGGTCAGGGAAGCCATAAAAGATGAGAGTCTTTTGGGTGAAGTGTCACTCACAGGGCAGCAAAAGTAAAAAAAAAAAAAAAAAAAAGAAGCCCTGGCAGAGGAGGAGTAAACTCAGGCTGCAAAAGTAAAGGACACAGGCAGGGTCGCCAGAATGAGTGTGGCAAAGAATGGCAAACAAAGCAATTCACACAAGGCCTTGCAGGCTGTAATGATTTTGGTCTTAAACCCTTGATATGAAGGGAAACCACTGTAGGATTTTAATGAGGAAGGACAACATGATCTGATTCATATTTCCAGACTACAACTGTGGCGGAGGAAAATACCAGTGACAGGTTAAGAGAGGGACTAGATAAGCTATAGCACTAACTCCAGCAAGAGGATGGCATCTTGGATGAGAACTATAGCACTCTAAGGGTGAATTTTCAGAACATAACTCCTCAAACCCCATGATCTGATGAGCTGAATACAGAATATATGAGAAAGTCATTAAGCAGAACTTCAATTTGTTTAGTCTGAGTAGCTGTGAGTGATACTAACACAAGATCTTGGAGGCAAACCTGCTTGCTGTTAAAAAGGATCTGCAGGGAGTGCTTCTAAAACACAACGCACATGTGACATCACCCAAGTCTTGGTAAAGGCTGACGCTGCCAGTCAACAAACCAAAGAAAAAGGTTGATAACCAAAAATCCTAATTCTTATTAAAATGAGGTTAAGTAAAATATAGAACACATGATTTTCAAACTGTGGTCTGCAGATCAGCATCTTAATCACCTGAAAATTCTTGACATCCCACATCTTCTGCAGACCAAAGATCTGCAGAAGAGAATCAGAGACCAAAAGGAACAGAACTTCATTCATTAAACAGTTCTGAGCAACTTTTACAATATTATCTTTGCAATTTCTTGCATCAGTAGTGGAGCCCAAGGACTATAACAGAAGGTGAAGTGAAGGTCTATCAATCCTGAGCCCAGACTTCAAGCAAACTTACACACTTCAGAGACCCCGGCCTTCTCCTGGCCCAGGAGCACTTAAAGCCTCCCTCCTGGGTGAGCACCCGCGGGAGATGGCTGGGAGCTGGGGGTAAATTCCTAGCTCTCCCCTGCCCCCGCCAGCCAAAAGCTGGTGGCAGGACAGGTCAGGTGGGTCCCAGTCTCAGGACAAGGGGCACACTTAACCTCCCATCAAGGTGGCACTTGTCGGGGGCGCTCCTGCCTGATGGAACCCCGCCGGGGCATCTGCCATAGTCCTCGCTGCAAGGCGGGGGCAGAGGCCTGGCTTTGGGCTGCCAGTGCACCAAGTGGTGCCAGGTTCTGCCTGCTGGCCGCCCAGGCGAGCTCTGGGGTTTTGATATGAAACAGCTGCTTAGGGATACCCAGAAGTAAGACCAGCGTTAGCGTAGGTGAGACACTAATTTCTGGAGATTCCTAGGAACCGGGACATGAAACCTTAATGCAAGTGCAGGACTGAGACCTGAATGTTCGGCCTAAGCAAACCTTAGTCCACAAACATGATTGGAACACAGGGTGCAGCTCAGGACATGCCCAGCTTGGTTTTGGCTCCAACTGGTCCACATTAAGCACAGAGTTGAGCCACGGTGTCTAAGGCAGGGGTTGTGACAGGTGGATGAGGCTGCAGTCAGGTCTGGATACAGTTGTCGTCCCCCCTTAGCACAAGTGTGGACTGGAAAAAGACGTACCGGGCCAGGCCAGACCACAACACCTTCTGGCGCTTTGGAGTACCAGGATAGATGTGGGACAGACTAGGCTAGGTCCCAACCCCAACTGAGCCATATATGAGCTATATGGGGGTGTGGACGACCGTGGCTGGGCTGAAACACCCTACAGCAAGAACCAGAATGGGATGAAGGCCAGTTAGGAAAAGCCACTGTTCCTGCTAGGACAGGAGGCAAACTGGCACATGGACCCACTGGTATGCGCGAAACCTGGCACATGGAGGGGTTCTGATAGAGGAGCCCGGGCAACTCCTCTGGCAGGACACAGACCCTGCAGGTCAGCGCAAGAAACATGGAAGGTAACAGCCAAGAGGTCATGGAAAGTGTCCCACTGGCATGCATTTGGCATGAGTCGGGGGCAGACCAGGCAGGGACACAGCACCTGCGCACCTCATGTGGACCAGATTGGGTGAAAACCAGGCTGGGCTGACTTTTCCCACTGGTGCAAGCTACAATCAGAGTAGGTGAGGGTTGTTGGGGCTTGGTCGTAGCATCAGCTGGCAGAAGCTGGTACAAAGGGTTAGACATGTCAAGTTGAACCACAAGGCCAACTGGAGAGGGCACAACTGGAATGGGAGCTACCTGGGAGGGAAATAGTGGGCTCCTCCCTCTTGGGTCATCACCTTTCACGGGAGGGCATGGGAACTAGGACAGGGGCTGGGGTGGCTAGACAGACACCCAACAACATCCATTAGGGCCGGTTGGATGAGATGATTGGATGCAACACCCGTTGGCAAATATATGAACAGAAGAGTATTTGGGACAGACTGGACTAGTATGCCATACAGACTGGCAAGTCAGAGTAGGGGGTGGGCCTGGTTGGGGTTACTGTGGGCCGCCCTGACTGGGCTGCAGCTCCTACTGGTATGTGCGAGGGCCAAGTGTGTCCAGGGTGGAACCAGGCCGGACTACAAGAGGACACGGGTGGAGACAGAATCGACCCAGCAACTGCAACCACCAGCTGATCGGGGCAATGGACTGTGCCGGGCCCTATGCTTACTAGAACACACAGGAATTTGGACTGGGAATACCTCAAAATTTCTTTGAGGATCTCCCCAGTTGAGACACCAGACTCAGAGTCCTAACCAAGAAAAGAACAAGTCAAGCAACAACCTCAGCTATCTGTTGGCAGCAAAATACTGTGCAAATGGAGACTCTAGAAGGGACTGTGTCAATCAATGGACTCTTCCAACGACCACATCGTGCTTGGAGTGGCGAGACTGGCAGTGACCCATGAATGGCGAACTATTGGAACCACTTGATCAAGTATCTCAGAGCATGCCCCTCATCTGGGACTTAGGATGGGTGGGAAACTGGGTGGGGCTTCTTCCTCTATATCCCCCTTTAGGCCTTGAACCTTTTTTACCCCAATTAAATAAGTAAGGATTGTCAAAATTTAAAAAAAAAAAAAACCCAAAAAATTAAACACATCTTCTAAAAAAAAAAAAACTTCTCTGAGATCCCTGTAGTCATCACTTTAAAAAGTTGAGATTAATAGCTAGATCACACAGTACCTCACTGCAGTTCAGTGATCTTCAAGACCATCTTAGATCAGCAGCAGATTGAGAAGACTGAAGACATGGAGTGCACCGGTCAGGACCAACAATGAAGTGGGCAATGTTTCTGACAATAAGACACTGTTCTTAGAAAAAGACTGGCATTGAGCAGAACTGCCCAAAGTAGTAATTACAAGTCAGAGGCTCAGGGGCTAGCACAATGGTTCAACTGCCCAATCCTCTACCTTGCAGCACAGGCATCCCATTTAGGTTCTGCTTTGTTTCCTGGTTGCTGTTTCCCATCCAACACCCTGCTTATGGCCTGGGAAACCAAACAAGGATGCCTCAAAACCTTGGGACCCTGCACTCACACACTCCTGTGGGAGACCTGAAGTTCCTGGCTCCAAATCGCCTCAGCTCAGGCCACTACGGCCATTTGGGAAGTGAACCAACAGATGGAAGATTTGTTTCTGCTCTCTGTAAATCTGCTTTTCCAATAAAAATAAATCTTAAACTAGGAGGCTTAAGACGTGCATTGTGGAGCTGTGTTAACCTGACACCTGCAATGCCAGAATCCCATATGAACACAGGCTTTGAGTCCCAGCTGCTCCACTTGTGACCCAGTTCCCTTTTAATGTCCCTAGGAAAACAGCAGAGGATAGCCCAAATACATGAACCCCTGCCACCCACATAGGAGATTCAGATAGTTGCTGACTTCCAGCTTAAGCTTCGCCCAGCCCTGGTCATTGCAGCCATTTGGGGAGTGAATGAGCAGACCCAGGATCTCTGTCTCTTGAATCCATTGTTTCCTCTATTTCCATTTAGACACTGTGTTTTATTTGAAAGGCACCCATATGGGATCCTGGTGCTTGCAAAAGTAAGGATTTTAGCCATTTACCCATCATGCAAGACACCACCCCCCACATCCACTTTTAAAAAATAAAATTTGAAAAATTTAGAAACTATCCATTTAGGGTGGGTTGAAGCCAGGCACCAAAACTTCCTTTGGTGCCCTATGTAGGTTCCGGGGCCCAGCGACCTGGGCCATGCCCCACTGCTCTCCAGGTACACAGCAGAGCAGCCAAGAGTTAAACTAGCACCCATATGGGATGCCAGCATAACGGATGGAAGATTTGCCTATATGCCACAGCACTGACCTCTGCTTTTCAAAAAAAAAAAATCCCACCATGATACTCTGCCAGCTCTACCTTCAGACCAGAGATGGTCTCCCCAAGAAACTGTTGAACTTACCTGGACGATAAGATGCTGGACTTTATGGTTGGCAGATGCTTGCAATGAAAGAATCTCAACTGAATCTGAACTGTGGTAAAGCAATAAGGTGGAGGAATCTACCATGGGGGGAGGGTTTTGGGAGGGGTGGGGGGAAACAGTGCTTATAAAACTGTCGCATAATGCAATGTAATCAATTAAAAAAAATCCCACCACAATTTTTTTTTTAACCTCCAGCTATTTCTATTCATTACTAATTTGCCTATGCTCTGACTAATCTCTCCTAATTAAAAACTCTGCAACAGGAACTTCTACTCCTCCAGACTCAACAAAACCTCTGGCCTCCTTCTCCATGTTCAAAAAAGCAAATCTTCCTAAAAGGAACTCATCCTTTTGTAGTGTTTGCCTGTTGAAGTGCTGTCAAGGAGAATGTAGCAACAAGGAGGAAATGACTAAGGGAAACGGCACCAAAAGCACTTTTAGGAGAAAGGGTCAGTCATGAGTATTCTGGTCCTACCTGAAAGCTTTATGATGACCTGGCTTCCCGTGTAGGTTTTGCTGAAGGTGTACGTACGGAATGGATCTATACCAATTCCTATCTCAACAATATCTACATTATCATAGTAACTTACCGTTAATACTTGCAAATGTCCATGCTCTACAGGCTATCATAAAAATTTTGGCGAAGAGAAACTTCTCCCTGTATTTCCAATTCCATCAACCAGCAGTAGAAACAACCTTAAAAGGTATTTTGACCCCAGTACCCTAAAGTGCCTATAAGCAAAAATTTGTTACTCACTACTCGAGATGTACTACTGGCTGGATCAGCAGGTTCACATCCTCCAGTGGTAGGGCCAATCTTCATAAGGGAAGAACTTGCTGCAAATCTGAATTGTCAGCCTATTTTGCCTCTGTAATATACCATCATCACTGCAAACTGGATAAGCTTAGGACTGGATAGTTGCCAACAGGAAAAGTCAAACTGGACTACTAGCGGCAACAAGTTTTCATTCTCTGAACCCAAGGAAAGAACACTAATATGCAAAGCATGAAAACCTGAGGTAACATACCAAATATATATAACTTAAAAGAACGTAGGCTAATGTGGACAGGCAGCACAGCTTTCCTAAAACTAGAAAGCTGAAGCACCTGTTCAGCTATCAGTTCAAATACAACTAATGCAAAACAGCGAAAGGATTATGGCAGCACACTTAATTAATGTTGCCACAGAATTATAGACTGGTGCAAAATAAAGCATTCAGTAGTTACCAGCTGTGATATCTCTGAAGGAATGTTTAATTGTTCATAATGTAATTAAGAGGAGACATACTTTAACAGGAACCTAGTTTTTCCAGGGGCGAATTCAATTCCCAGAAGGAAACTGTCACATATGAAGACTCTAATGTAACTTGTCATGTGACAGTAAACTTGTCATGTGGCCTTAGCACAAACAGTACTACAAAAATGCTGACAATAGACTGGA